TTAGCCAGTCTATTAAAGGTCTGAATAAAATAAAAACTTGGGTAAGAAAGAATTCTTTCTCTCTGTCTCACTGTCCAAAAGATGTGACATTGGACTTCTGCCCTTGGACTCTGACTTGGACTCGAACGGTAACTGTCGTTCTGGATCTGGACTTCTCAGTCTCCAGAACTAGGTTACCACGAAAGCCAATTTCTGATACCTAGTCCCTCTTTTTCTCTCTCTCCATGTGAGAGATTTCTCCTAATGCTGCAGATTCCCTGGAGAACAGACTAATACAAGAGTCTCACAACCAAATGAACTTCAGCACCACCCTGTTTTATTCTCAATAGCATTTACTATCCTCTGGTCAAAGAACGCTGGTCGAGTGAACAAGCAAACCCAGGGGTGCGCCCAGGGTGGGGCAGAGTCATTGGGCCGAGTGAGAATGGTCTGCCAGGCCAGCCTTTGGATCACAGGAGAGGGGGAGGTAAAATAGCTCACTCTGTATACTCTGAGCATTATGATATCCCGATGCAGTTGTCTGCACCAGTGGAAGGAGGGGGCCACAATGCTCATAGCCAACACAGGAGGGTAGGTGTGTATTAGGGTCCTTTGGGATAGCCCTTTCCTAACTACTTACCATATGGGCGGCCATGTTCAGAGCAAGGGATGCTGGCCCCACCCAGGCCACAGCTGATTGGACCAAGGAGGCATCTGATCCAGGCTGGGCCAATCAAATCCCTTCCCTGAGACTTTGGAATGGGGGCAGGAGCTTGAGGGGGAGAATTTGGGGAGAAGGAGAAAGTGAGTGTGGGCTCTCTGGGTGCCTGCATCAGCGCTCACGGAGCCAGGCACTGTTGCTCAGTCTCCTGGGGAGCAGAAATGGAGCAGATCCACAGAGCGAGGATGAGAGACAGAAGCTCAAATTCCTTCCTGGATCCTCTGGGCATCCCTGCACAGAGGTTCTTGAGACACCCCTGAGCCTGATGAGCCAGTTCCTTTTGTTGCTAGATCAGCTCTAGTGTTTCCTCCAGCTTGAAGCTATAGTCCCTGGATGCATCTATTAACCACATTCTCCAAACTAGCATCTGGACCTCAGTGGCCTTGCTTGATTTATGCAGATTTCCTTTCCCTGACACATTTTGCTTAAAATGTTATATGATAATATATATTTTAAAAGACGTAATATTCAATTGAAAGAGTACTGATCTGTAGTGACAGATTGCAAACCAGTCATTGAAGGGCTGGGGTGTGAGAGGCGTACTGAGGGAAGGGCAAGAGGGATCCACTGAGGACAACGGGTGAGATCACTATGTTGATTGTGACGTAGGCTTTGTGGGCATAAACATATGTCAAAACAGACCACTATTGTGCACGTTGACTATCTGGAGTTTGGGAATGTCAACTTTACCTCAGTACAGCTGTTTAAAAGCATATGTAATATTCTACAACCATTCTGATTTCTTGGAAATAAAGTGTGTATCATTGTAGGCAAAATAACAAGAGAAGGAGAGCACCAAGCACCATGCACCCCAAAACAGCCCCTGTGTATAGCAGACTCTGATACGACTTGGACGAGAACAGGGTTAATATAAACAGTTGGTGTTTCAAATAATCTAGGCTTTTGAGTTTTTCCTGTTAGGTCATTTTTGTGACTTTCTGAAGGTTACAAGTGTAGTAAGAGATGAGATTTGGGATTTGAAGCCATTTCTGAGTCCTCAGACCAGCAGCTCCCCAGCACCTTCCAGTGCTTCCTCACCCGGGCCAGTCTCCCTATCAGTCGAGAAATCCCAAGCTCCCTGGGAAACAGGAGCCAAACAGGGGGCGCTGTCTCTGGTCCTGAAAAGCTCAGCTAGCCTCGATGCTGAATCACGCCTCCAAGTCTTTTTTGTTGCCTTTTCCATTTACGACAGCCTTGGTTACCGAGCCCAAATGGGGAAAATGCCGGATACACTCCTTTCCCCAGAAAATAGTGACGCAAACATAGCCCGAACTCCCTGGGCACCACATGCCAATCAAGGGGGTGAGGTCCAGGATCCCTGGAAAGTTGAGGTCAAGCTCCCTTCACCACCAAGGTAGGGCAGATTGTCCTAGAAAAACTGCAATGTTAAAAGACACAAGCAAATATCAACATCTTGCCTTAGAGATTCCAGGGCCTCTCTGTGAAAACGTGCTGGAAAAATCTGCAACAAAAGGGTCAAGATCTCTGGAACATAAGCTCACGGGTTGATTGCCTGCATGCTGAACCACTTCATAGATTAATTCCATTTATCCAGAAATTCCTTGTTTTCCAGTCCTTGTTAGGCAGGGTGCAAACAAATGGATGGCGGTTACTAGGGGGAGCTGGTGAGCAGGATCACGACTGCAGAGTCTCAGCGATGGCCCCCACAAAGCTGCACCTTCCCTGCAGGCCATAGCTCTGCACCCTCCCCACCCCAACCTCGGTTCACCTGGATCTTCCATTCAGCCTCAGCCCAGCCCTGGAGGAGGGCGAAACGCAGGGTCTGAGTAGGAAGAAGCAGTTCTCTCCAGAGAATCCATTATTTTACATAATCAGGCAATCTTGGAGAATATGAGAGCTACAGATTCTTACCAAGGGGGCTGGCAGAATTGAGGACTATGGGGACACTCCAGAGCTTCTATATTCAGGGGCCGGTTGTGGGGGGTCCAAGCAATTGGGGGTCAAGCAAATTTGGGGGTTGATTAATGCAAAACTGGACTAAACACAGACCCCATGACATCAAAGGGCAGGAGCCTCACGCTGCAGTGCACCCCCAGGGCACCAGAGACTGCAAGGAGAGCACAGCATGAATAATTTAACAGGAATCCATTTCTAGACCCCAACTTCCTCTGTACTCCTTCCTAAAATTGATCTGCCTCCCTTTCCCAACCTACTCTTCCCTGACTTTGCAGCTCTCAGCCATGCTGCTCTGACACCAAACAGAGGGGGTTCACAGCTGAGGGTATCAGTGAAACCTCCTTCAACCCAGGCCCCTCTTAAGAGACGTTTCAATTATCAAAAATGTTAAAACATACTGGTGCTACTTTGGCAAGCTTCAATCCAGAAGAAAAAAATTCAATGTTGAATACTCATGGAGACAGAAACTTTAAAATTTTTTAAAGTTTTTAAATCGCGTGGCAGGGTTAAGCACATTCACATCATATGTCTGATCTACAGAACTGTTTTCATCTTGTCAGAAACTCTCTACTCAGGAGGATAATCTGTCCATTTCACATACATTGCATTCAGTCATTTCAGCATTTCTGTCCACCAAGCGCCTTTTGCTCACTTTCATAAACCAATTGCTGCTTAGTAGGATTAAAGCTGATAGACAAAAGCACATACAAAACTGGATTTTAAAAAATATAACTTACATTTTAGAATATTTTAGATTCAGAGTTTGCAAAGATCTTACAGTCTTCATCCAGCCCAAAGCAATCTCCCTATAATTACATGAGTATACATGCATGTGCATGCTGTCCTTGGAAGGACATCCCTGAGCAGCCCACACTTAAGGGGTAGGGACTTATGCTCCCCCTCCTTGAGGGGGTATCCATATACATTATCTGGAATTTTTCTTCACAGGAAATTCACTTATGCTCTAAAATAATCAAGGACACAAGGGGTGTGGATGACTGGGTGTGAGAGCAGAGGTGGCCCCTGGAGGTTTTCCTCGCACTGCTGGTACTTCCGTTCTCTGTCTACCTGTGCATCTCACTGTCACCTGCCTCAACCATGAGAAATATGTCCAGATCCCCAAAGTGTGCTTTCTGCACATTTTGTTCTTTGCAGAACAAAATGGCTAACTTCTTTGACCCCCAGTTTAGTCTGGTGCCTTCCCAGATCCACTGCCCTTGTGCTTCCCCAGCCCTCACTCAGTGCCTTCCCCAATGCCTAGAAACTGGGACAGAAACCAGAAATTCTCTCTCCCTCGCCACTGGCTTCCCAGAGGCCAGCAAGGGACCTGCCTTGTAGCCAGCGGAGTGAGGAGATGAACTCTGGGCTCCGTTGGGGCCACAAAGCCTCAGTCTCAGGTGTACCCCGCAACCTGGGGCCGGGCACCCTGTTCCACTGTTCAGCCACTGTTCCAGGAAGAAGGCCGGCCAGTGGTTCACGACACATGCCCATTCCAGCACCAGAGGAATCCAGGGGAGGATGACAAAGCAGGGTCTGAGATCTCTGAGAAACTCTTAAGAAAACAAAATTGTTGGGCCTCCCTGGTGGAGCAAGGGGTTGAGACGCAACCTGTGAAGCTACCAGTTTGATACCTGGCCAAGGAGCAGTACACATGGTGCTGCAGACCTCTCCTGTCTCCCCGCTGCTCCCCTCAGCAGTGTATTTCAGTGGATCTGCCTGTTCTGTTCCCCGCTCTGTCTCTGGTGAATCCTCTCACCCCCCTGAAAGGTCGATGCAGGGGCCAGGAATGAGGAAGCCCACATAGAAAAAGCAAGATGGCCCTGACACCAGGACCAGTGATACCATCAAACTGAAACTGAAGCAATGAACAGGAGACACAACTTGGCTCCACAAAAAACAACTTTGTTCTGCCTAAACCTGTTTCCAGCCCTGCCAACCCAGTCCTCCCACCTAACCTCTCCTCACCCTAAGAACGACCCTTCCCCTGACAACGGGCATGACTTCACTGACCCCCCCCCCCCCGCCACTTTGGGTCCCCGAAGCTCGTCTGGGGTGCAATAAATTTTCCCATCCTTTCAGAAAGTTTAGCCTGGCTCTCCTTTTCTTTCCCACGCCAAAGCTTCACCGCCCACAACTCTGGCCTGAACCCCAGTTCTTGTATGCATAAATAAATAAATCTTTAAACAAACATTGTCAAAGCTGGGCGTGGGGGGCAGCTGAGTCTCAGTCACGGGCCCCCTTCAACGCCACTCACAAAGATGGCGGGCGCGGCGCCCCCCCCAACATGGCCGCCCTCAGGGAGCGGGGCGGAAGTGACGCGCGGACCGGAAGGCCCGGCCGCTGGCTCCGGGCTCTCGGCTGCGGGCGGGCTACCTGCGGGGCGATGCCGTCGGCGGGGCGGCTCGGGGGCGCCGCGGTGCTGCGGCTGCTGCTGGCGGCCCAGGCGGTGGCGGCGTTCGAGCCCGTCACCACGACCCTGGTCGTCGGGGGGGCGTTGTCGCTCCTCACCGGCTACCTGTACAAGAACCCGCCCTGCCGCTTCTCCGAGTGCTGCCTCGTCGAGCGGCCGTTCGACGCGGAGGGTAGGGCCTGCGGGGCGCGCGCCCGCGGGGTCACCGGGCTGGGGGGCAGGGACGGCCGGGGGGACTCGGCGCGGGCGCAGCCCTGGGAGCGGAGCCTGCACGTGGGGGGCTGCCCGCGCCCGCTGAGGGTGCGGGGTCCTGTCACCCCCACTAAGTGGCTCTCGTCTGTGCAGCCCCGCCCCGAGAGTCCGCAGGGGGGCCTTGCTTTCCGTGCAAGTTGCAAGGAGAGGGAGCAACATGGTTCGCTTCCTCGTGGGGTGCAGAGGCCTGAAGGAGACCCCCCCCTCCACGCCCGCACGCACCCTCCGTGCGCAGCCCGGGGGCTCTGCAGTGCAGACCACTTGCTCCTCCCAGCCTCCCCCTTGGCCAGTGGGCTTTTCTGGGCACCTTTAATGTGTATTTTTCTCTCTTCTCGCCCGGCTCCTGCAGCTCTCAAGCAAGACTTGGAGAAAAAGCTGTTTGGGCAGCATCTGGCCTCTGAGGTGATTCTCAAGGCACTGACAGGCTTCAAGAACAACAAAAACCCCAAGAAGGCGCTGACTCTTTCCTTACACGGCTGGACCGGCACCGGCAAGAATTTTGTCAGCCAAATTGTGGCCCAAAGTCTTCACCCCAAAGGCCTGAAGAGCAACTTTGTCCACCTGTTCATACCGACGCTGCACTTCCCTCACGAGAACCAGATAAGCCTATACCAGGCAAGGGGCCCTGTCCCCTGGCTGCGGGGAGACCTGATTGCTAACTCCGCTGCTTTTCTCTGCACCCCTCTGCCGAGTTCAGGCACACTCGCCCCTGGGAACACTGTGCCCTTTGCAAAACTCTCCTACCACTTTTTTCTCACTTGATTACAAAATTATTTGGGTAGGTAGATGATGATGTTCTACTCCAAGAGAGGCAAGCTTGCAATCTGTGACCTTGTAGCAGAGACAAAACTGAAACCAAAACCCCCCAGTTCTCTGGATCCCCAGCCTTCCCAGCGCCGCCCTTGGCGTTAAAGGGGATCTGCATTTGCTGGGACATGGCTTCCCTTAACGCTACTGCAGTGTAGACTCGAGGAGTTTCTTTGACCTCAGTAACTTTCATTCCCTGTGTCCCTCCCCTACCCAGATCCTTGGCACTGCTTGCTTGCTTCCAACAAAAGCCTCAAATGGATCTTAAGACCCATCACCCTTTGAAAGTCGTCTCTCTACGTTTCATTTCTATTAGACTGTCTAATCGGGTTCTCATTTAAATGCGGGTCGTCCTGGTGAAAGTTCATGTTCCAACTGTTAAGTCAGGACTGAGAATAGAAATAGAAACTGAGCATGGAAGTCAAAGTGGGAATTGCCACCCACACTGTAAGAGAACTTGCCAGAAGGAAAGGGTGATTTTCCCATTTTCCAAATTCCTTCATAAATCTCTAGAAGTACAGTAAGATAAAAAAAAAAAAAAAAAAAAAGACCAGATAAACACACAAGTAAAGGTGTTTATGGTTAGGCAGGCGAGGACGCCTCCTGAGCAGGTGTGTGGTCAGGTTAGTCCATGTTTGGGGGTTGAGGACCTGTTGCTTGGGTGTCTGGGTGTTTGTTTCAAGAAAGCATAGGAACAGTTGCCTGTATGAGTGTCATCTCGGTGGGCCCCACTGGCCTGGGGCGCCGTCAAGTGGCCATCTAGTTTCTTACTCCTCTGGTGAAGTATGTCTGGGAGAATTAACTGGAGCTTTCTGCTGCTGTGAGATGAAAGACTGGGATTGGTTAACAGGGGGTGATAAATGTTCACGTGGCTTCTAGCTCTCTTTAAAAAGTTCCTTTAGCATGTCATTTGAATAGGAAGAAACTTTGCATTTTAACGCGGACCTCTCCGCCAATTTCCACTCCATAGATCAAGTTTTGGGGAAGCTATTACCCTGGAAGGTTAGGATGCGGCTTCGTCCTTGGCTACACCCCTTAGCGCTCTGCTCTCTCCTCTTTTGGAGCACGAGGGCCAGTGTGGTGCCTGTGCTCCCCTCAGTGCGTCCCTTGAACCCCGGCACCCTCTTTCTTCCCCGACGGCGGGTGTAGGACCAGTTACAGAAGTGGATCCGGGGCAACGTGAGCGCCTGTGCCAGCTCCGTGTTCATATTCGATGAGATGGACAAGTTGCACCCAGGGGTCATCGACGCCATCAAGCCGTTCCTCGACTACTACGAGCAGGTGGACGGCGTGTCTTACCGGAAGGCCATCTTCATCTTCCTCAGGTCAGCGGGAGCGCTTTCTCTGGGGCGCACAGACCCCTCATCCTCCCGGTGCTATGACCCGGGGCAGAAGTGCCAGGCTGGCAAAAGTGACTTGCTGACAGCTAGCGGGAGTCAGCATGGCACAGAGCATGGGCAGGAGAAAACGAATGCAAGGAATGATGGCTGGCGACCGGCAGTGCCCTTAGCTGCATGCGCCGTTCCTGAGGGTTATGAAGGGCCGTAGCCATCACGGCAAGTTCTCAGGAAACAGATTTTAAGCACCTTGGGGGGAGATGCTGTTCTCCTGTGTCCAGTAGCAAGTATTCCTCCATTAAGAATCAGCCTCAGGGCCTCCCCGGTGGCGCAGCGGTTGAGCGCTGGGTTGCGAAGCTGCCCGCAGCCTCTGCAGCGCCGGTTCGATCCCCGGCTGCTCCCCGGCCACCGGAGGAGGGTCCCGCATGGCGCGCAGACCTCTCCTGCCGCCCGCTGCTCCCCTCAGCAGTGTACCTCGGTCCTTCTGCCTGCTCTGCTCCCCGCTCTGGCTCTGGTGAATTCTCTCACCCTCTTGCGCTTCTGACTGTACCTAGTGCTTGAATAAATAAATAAGTAAATCTTTAAAAAAAAAAATAATCAGCCTCAGTGGGCCTCCCTGGTGGTGCAAGGGGTTAAGCACCACACTATGAAGCAATCCACAGCCTCTGCAGCACAAGTTTGATCCCCAACCAGGGAGCAAACCACATGGCACAGCAGACCTCTCCTGACTCGCCCGCTGCTCCCCTCAGCAGTGGATGTCAGTGGATCTGCTTGTTCCGCTCTCCACTCTGTCTCTGGTGAATCCTCTCACCCTCCGAACCTCTGGCCTGTACCCAGCTCTTGTATGCATAAATAAATAAATCGTGTAAAAAAAAAAAAGAATCAGCCTCAGAGCAGGTTGGTTTCCTAGTTGGAGACACATCTTGATCGGCAATTTTATTCTTCTTCTTTATTCTCAGCAATGCTGGGGGGGACCTCATCACCAAAGCAGCCCTTGATTATTGGCGAGCAGGGAAAAAGAGGGAAGACCTTCAGCTGAAGGATCTGGAAGCTATGCTCTCTGTTGGCGTCTTCAATAACAAGCACAGTGAGTCCTCCCAGGAGGAGCCCCCTCCCTTTGCCCCTCACCCGCAGAGTCAGCAGCTCACCCTCCAGAAAGCCACACATACCCTCCTGCCTCCGTGGCTTTGTGGAAGCTGGGACTTTTTCTAGAAGCTACTTCTCAGGGGTTGCCCATCGATCCTTACGTCAGGCTCACTGCACGCTTGACAGAAAGAGCATCTTGATGGGGAAGGCTGTGAAGAAGGCGCTGTGGGTTGGGGTTTCCACGGGCCCTGATAGAGCAGCGAGCTTGGCCAGGTGACAGCGGTGTCTTGTCTCCCAGGTGGCCTGTGGCACAGTGGATTGATACACAAAAACCTCATCGATTACTTTGTCCCCTTCCTGCCCCTGGAGTACAGACACGTTAAGATGTGTGTGAGGGCGGAGATGCAGGCCCGCGGCTCTGCTGTCGATGAAGACGTGGTCTCCAGGGTGGCGAATGAAATGACGTTCTCCCCCAAGGATGAGAAAGTCTACTCAGACAAGGGCTGCAAGACGGTGCAGTCACGGCTGGACTTTCACTGACCTCTGGTCCCAGAGGGGCAGCGCCCCGGGGGTTTGGCATTCAGGGCCTGGTCTTCTGGAGAGACCTCTTGGGTTTGCACGTTTGCACCTGTGCACTTTCCGGATAGAGAAGTTTCTAAGAATGGGTTTTTGCCGAGCTGCTGATCTGTCAAGTGCTCTTGTCATTTTGCTACCCGCGAGCCATCTGTCTGTCTTTGGCCCCCGAGGGCGAACTTCTCAACCCCTACACTTGCCATTAGGGACCTCGCACAAGTGCCTGGAAGCCAGCCGTGGTGGGGACCTCGTGCTGTTTCTGGTCCCACAGCGCCCTGACCTCAGAAGCTGCTGTTAGAACTGAAGGAGCTCAGGCCCCGGCTGCAATTTGGGAGTGAGACGCTCTCGCCTGCGAAGACATCCTGCTGTTTGTCTTTGCAGACTGCTCACTGGATTCAGGTACTCAGTTAAATGCAACAGTACCTTCAGGTGCGGACAGCCTGGTGGGCCCTCTCGGCCCAGGTGAACCATCGCACTTGGCGTGGGGCTTTCTGAGGCCCCCACAGCCCAACAGGACACCCAGGGGCGCGACAGCCCTGGTCCTTCACCCTTTCCCCGACGGTGTGCATCCCAGCTCCCAGCTCCCTTCTCCGCTGGAGCCTCACTCTGGTGCTACTTCGGCGTCCCCACACGACAACGTCACTAGCGCTGATTCGGGAGACTGTTGGCTCTGTATCGGGGCCCTTGGCTCCCCTGGTGAGAGGCTTGCTGTAATGTATGCGCGGGCTGGCCGCTCACGTTACTCCACAGAACCATTCGAATCCACGGGAAACCCTCGTTCTCCACCCCCGACACCTGCCCAGACCCAGTGGTCGCTGCCAGATGCTACGTTGCCAAAGAGGAAGGTCTGTGGGCTGCAAGCGCTCGCGTCTCCAAGGATGTGTGTGTTTTTATAATGTTTTTACTTCTGAATCTTAAATAATAGAAATATGGGCTGTTGCTAATTTTAAAACATGGGGACACTGGAATGGGCTAGTCTTAAATCGTTTGAGTGTTTATTGTTCAATGCTGAGCTCTGAGGTGGTGGCTGCCTGTGGGCTCCATCTCTCAGTGACACTGCGTGGCAGCGCCAGGACTGGCCTCTGGGCGACAGTCCTGAGACTCTGGCCGGTGGCCATGGCTCGGCGGCCTCCTGGTCGCAGGGCCCCTACGGGTGTGACTGGGATGACGTGCAGCTGCTTGTGTATGTGCTGCACTAGGATGAGTCTTTTTGCTGTACGGAGCCTACAGAGCAAAGTGTGTGTTATGCCTTAAGAGGACGGGGCTTTGTCTGCTATAAAACGCCAAGGTGGAGGTGAAATTTTTAGTGCACGCTCTCAAATTGGAGCTAAACTACATTTTTAATAAGCTTCTGGTGTCCGATCAGGAGATGAGATTTTCTGTTTACAATGACGCAATAACCCTAACACGTGTCGGCCACCTTTGGCCTGTCGTTGCCGGCTGTGACATGCAAAGGCCTGGCTTGACCGCGGACCGGCCTCCCTGCCCGGTGAGAGGGAGATAAGAGCTTGAATTGACCGACTGAATGTAAAATGCCCCGTGATGATGAATAATAAAGTCCATATTTTATGTGAGCTGGCCCTCGCGCACTTTTGCCCCCCCTGGATTTTTGGTGACTCTGGGAAGCTGGCACGTGGGTAGAGGCTCTCCGGCACCTCGGGGGCGCTGGGCTCGCGAGCCTGGTGGTGCCCGCTGGCAGATAAAACCAATGTTTGTCCCACAGGCTGTTATCCCCAAAGAAACACGACCTCAACTTAGATGATGGGTTAAACGTCTTCATGATTTAGGAACGAAAATATCAGGAAGAGCTGGTCTCCTTTCTAACCAGTGGATTCTGAAGGAATGTCAGAAGGATACTGAGGCGCCGGGAAAGACTCGCTGCTGATGTCCTGAGCTCCCGCAAGGCCAAGCTCAGGCCTGGAAACCCAAGCGCCAGGTCTTCCCGCCCAGACCTGAGGTGAACCAGCTCTCGGCTGCTCAGGCTTCACTTGGCCTCTTGTCTCTAGCCTGGGAGCTGGTCACAGACCTGCTCCTTCGTGGACTAAGCATTAGCTGAATGAAAAGCAACCCCTGCTAGACCAGAGGTCAGTCAGCCTGTTCACTAAAACTGGCCTCTTCTCTCTGAATTGTAACACTAACCCTCTTCCCAGGCCTGAAGATTAGCAAGCGCGTGTTCTGGAAGGTGCACTCTTTGCCATCATCCCACCCACTCCCCTCACTTCTCCAGGGGGACAAGTCCCCAGAGCTGCCCCCTCATGTCCTTGCTCGGACCACTTCCAGCCAGGTTTCTGCTCTCCCCACACAGCCTATGTACAAGGCCTGAACTTGCCAATTCAGTCAGGGGACTTGTGTGTGCCCTACTGAGGGACCCCCAGGTGCTGGGGACGGCTGGGGACGTGGCAGCAGGTCAGGTCTGGCTCAACACGACAATGGTCTGACATCTGGGCTGGCCTGGGAGGTCTTATAAAGGAGCCTCTCCACAGGCAGGGGAGCCAGGCTGCTGTGCCCCTGGGAGCGCTGTCTGGGCACGCACACTGCAGAGCCCCTCCTTTGTCAGTGTGAAGGCTTGTGCACGAGACCAGGCACCTGTGTCTCCTGCAGCATCTGTCCTGCCTGGCGGCTCCGCTGGTTATGTCTCCACTGAAACTCCACAGCTGGGTGCCCAGAGCCACGGACCCAGCAGGGCAGCAAGCAAGTGGCCAGCGCTCCGGGACCTGAGCCCCCCGTTAGCCCATTTCACTCCAACAGGATGGAACCTGCTGGCCCCTGATTCATGCCATAAGCAGGCAAAGCCTACGAGGGTTTCCTCCTCTGAAACTGTCTTGACAAATCTCACATTTGCCTGTCAGGTGTAGCTGCCTGCATTTATAAAACACTGTTCTCGCATCGTCGGGGAGGCAGTTCTGCTTCTCTGGGAGGTGTTAGGAGTGATTAAAATATAACAAAATCAAGTTTAAAAAATATCTGGCAAAACTCGCCATCAACGTGGTGCCTTCAGGAACGGAACAGAGAAGGGCCTTGCGTGGCCTCGCTGAACTGGCCACCACAACCTGCGGACCCCTCAGTCGAGAAGGTGTTTCTGACAGCCGACCACAGTGTCACCAGAACATTCCCGCGGTTCAATGTCACTAGGATGAAAGCCCCAGAAAGGCCACTTCAGGCTCCTCTGGCTGCCTGAGTGTGTCTGACGTACTTGTTTTATTATCTAAACACACCACTACCCGTGTCACGGCCTCCTGCAACAGCCCGGTCGCTGCTGCAGCCCCGGTCCCTCGGGAGGGGGTACCGCTAAGAACACACGCCTTTTGCAACACAGACGTTTCACAGGAACTTAAAAAAACACAAAGCCAACCACCTGAGAGTCAGAAGTTTCTCATAATATTAAAAACCATTTAAAATAAAGTCATTACATTTTTTTAGTAAAACTTATTTATCCTTCCTTGAAACAGAAACGTGAAATTAAAACATGATTTTTAAAAAATCATGAGCCCTAATACTAGGGGGCTGCGTGTTGAATGCTTCCTCCGAAAGTTCGGGCCGAGCCCACAGCCGCAGGGTCTGCCAGCTGCGGGCTCAGCACCCCGAGGCTAGCTCCTGTCAAACAGGACAAATCCATGTTGCTCTTACGGGGGAAGGCCGGGGTCAGGTCTTGTTTCCTCGATGAGCAGCGATTCAGTCGTCGTAGTAATAATCTAACTTTGTGAACACGGTTTTGCAGCCTTTATCAGAGAAAATTCTCTCCTCTTTGGGAAAAATGTCATCTCCTCGGCTACTCTGGTGACAATGTCCTCATCAATTTCATAGCCTCGGGCCTGCATCTCCACGCGGATGCACATCTTCAGGTGTTTGTATTCCAGGGGGAGGAAGGGAACAAAATAGTCGATGAGATTTCGGTCAATTAAGCTGCTGTGCCAGAAGCCACCTGGGAGAAGAAAAAAGGTGCCATGGGCCATAGTCCAGATGCGCCACCCTGCCAGCACGCGCCTCCGGAGCCGACTCCGTGCCAGGCCCAGTGGAAGTCGGATCTGGTGAGGAGGGCCGGCCACCAGGGAGGTGTCAGCCAACAAAGGGGACCACTCCCAACACCGGGGCGGTGGGAGGCCTCAGATGCCACTGCGGTCTGAGGTGGGAAGAGGCCCCCCAAGTAGGGGAGCAACTTGGGGACCAAAGCTAGAACCTGCAGAGTACCTATGACACACAGTTAGGGTCCAAAGGCATGCACTTTGCCACATGCTCCCCCAGGAGGAGGGCTGGCACCCAGGCCCCCTCCTCTGGGACCACACAGCACCCTGGGGGTCACTCCCTGGCACCTCTTCACATGAACTGTTTTCCTTTCCTTCTGCTTCCCCGGCCTCGGCTCCAGCAAGCTCCTGAACGCCTGGCCCCACCTGCCCGATCCCCGGTGTCCCACATACCACCCAGCAACTCTATGACACCAGCTGGCGCCCTCCCTGTGCAGCCAGTTCTGACGCCCCCCTCCATGCCCCGGACAGCAGCAGACTCCACAAGGGGGAGTCCCCGAGATGGTGCCCCCTTCAGACACCAGCCATGTGTCCACCCATCACTGGTGCTTTAACTGAGCAGCTACGATCAGAGGTTCCAGCAGCTCCTCCAGGGGTCTGATGATTTGCCAGAGCCGCTCACCAAATTCCAGGGAACATGGGCCTCCCCTGGTGGTGCAGAGGTTGAGCACTGGGCTGTGAGGCTGCCTGCAGCCTCTGCAGTGCTGGTTCAATCCCTGGCCACCGGCGAGGGTCCCACATGGCACGCAGACCTCTCCTGCCGCGCCCGCTGCTCCCCTCAGCAGTGTATTTCGGTCCATCTGCCTGTTCTGTTCCCCGCTCTGGCTCTGGTGAATTCTCTCACCCACCTGTGCTTCTGACTGTACCCAGTGCTTGTATAAATAAATTAATTAAAAAAACAAATTCCAGGGAACATTCTGCTCACTGGGTTACTGGCTTCTCAGAAAGGATGAGGGTCGGGAGGAGACGCAGAGGGCAAGGTATAGGGAAGGGCTCAGCTTCGTTGCCCTTTCCAGGCACCGCTCTCCCCGGGGTGCTCCAAACCCCATACACTGGGGCTTCTGTCTCATCAATTTGCCCGGCCCATCACTTCACCCAGTGGTGCTGATGCAGCCTGCACCCCTCCCCTTCCCTGGGGGCCTGGCGCTCCAGTCACAGGGTGGGCGGCCCCAGTGTCCAGCCTCCATCCCCAGGCGGGGCCAGAGCTCACTCCACTCAGTAGGGCCAGGTGTGGTTGGAAGGGGTTTGTTATGAATGTCAAGACACTTTAAGGCCCGATCGCTGGATTTTCTAGGAGTTTTAGGAGTCCTGAGCCAGGAAGGGGGATGGGCCAAGTAGCTGCTATTCCCAGTCAAAACGTCACGCTGCATTTATGCTTCTCTTTCCAGCAGGATTTATACACACCTGGTGCTCCTTAAATACCTGCTCAAGGAGTGGCCAGAGCTGAGCCGTCTGCCCGAGGTCCAGCTGGCCAGGCTCATCCACTTTGAAGCTCGCCTGGCATCTCCCATCACCTCCCAGATGTGGGTGCGAGGCGACGGGGTTCATATTTGAGGGGGGTGTCAAAACAGGACGAGATCACAGATGGTGGAGCACTGGCCCGCCCCAGCAGCGTTCCAGTGGCACCAGCGTGACGCCCCATGGATTTCTTGGTGAGTGTCCCTCTAGGACACCTTTTGTTTTGTTGAACCCGAGGAGGAGGAGGAGGAGTTTGCAGTGACCTGCCCAGCCCACAGGTCTCACGCCGTGAGTCAGTCAGTCTCCCGCGGGGTGGCTTCCACCCCCGAGGGTTCAAGGTCAAAGGTGTGTGCATGAGTTCAGAGGAAAAGCAGTGATCTTGGGACTTACAAGTCCAGGCTCTGGAGCCAGGGACTCCCGGCTGGCCGTGTGGCCTTGGGCGAGCAGCTGTTCTCCCCGAGCCTGCTTCCTCAGCTGAAAGATGGAGACTGTGGTAGCTGCTTCTCCACCGGGTTATGGGGGTGGTCAGAGGAAATGGACAGGCAGGGTATGCCGAGGGTGCTAGGGACGGAACAAGGGCCCAGCCATCATCTGGCGGTTGCGGTCAGTACAGAACCAGAGTTCTGGGGAACCCATAGAAAGGAAGGGGCCCTGTGGGCACCTCGTCCTTTGGGAGCACCCAAAGGCACCTTCCTCATCCACCTGCTGTTTTTCTTCTACAGAGAACAATAATTTCACTAAAGGAGATAGGCAACTAATTTTCAACGATAACAATGCCCCCTTCCTTTAAAGAGCTCCTCTCACACTCGTCTTAACACAGGTCCCCTCAGTTTCAGACTCCGCAGGCCCAGGGATGGGGCTGAGCATCTGCATTTCTAACCAGCACCCCGGAGATGGAGACGTCAAGGCTTTAAAACCTAGGAACCTGGGCATGTGGGGCACCCCAAACTCAGTGGAGAAGAACAGTCTGGCCCAGCAAGCCAGCACCACAGCACCGGCAGCCCCAGCCCAAGGCCTCTGGGGTGTATGTCTGGTCAGTACCCCCAGGGAGCTAAGCCCAAGCACCACAGCTGCTGGCTGGTGGGGGTGCCGAGAGCCAGCAGCCCCCCACTGGTTTCACGCTGGGTGCGTCTAGGCGCGGCTAATGGCGGGGAGCGGGGATGACGGAAAAGCAGCCGGGCGGGCAGCCCACTCACTGTTCTTGTTGTTGAAGACCGACACGGACAAGGCGTGCTCCATGTCCTTGAGCTTGATTTCTTCCCTCTGTTTTCCCCTTCTCCAGAAATCTAAAGCCACATCTGTGATCCTTTCTGCTCCCGCATTGCTGCAAAACAATTCCAGTGAAGCAGGGCTGGGCTTCCCCGAGGCCCACGGGCTCAGGCCCAGTGCTGTGCCGCGTGGCGCCGGCCGGGCCTTACCTGAGGAAGATGAAGATGGCTCTCTGGTAGGAGATGCGGTCCACCAGCTCGTAGTAGTCGAGGAAAGGCTTGATGGCGTCAATGAGGCCGGCGTGCATCTTGTCCATTTCATCGAATATGAAGATGGACCTCGCGCAGGCGCTCACATTGCCGCGGATCCACAGCTGTAACTGGTCCTGAATCACACGAGAAGCCGACACAGGCCCTCAGCGAGGGTGAGCAAGGCTGCCCGGCCAGTACAATCACCGCCACAGCGACGGCAGCTGCAGGTGAGGGCCTGGCAACGCTTTTGCTCCCACCGCCCTCGTCGTCGTTATGGGCGCTGGCATACCCACCTTCCAGAAGAGGAAACTGAGGCACAGACGGCTTCATCAACTTGCCCAAAATTACAAAATGAGCAGGTAGCAGAGCTGCGGTCGGAAGCTGCGTGGTTCCAAGCCTGCCCGACTCTGACTAGGGTTCCTGTGCGGTTACGTCGCACATCTGAGGTGGGTCCTCTATCATTACAGTGACCATGTGAGCATCCCAGGCTGCTAGCAGCCTTCCTGGAACTGGAACCGGGTGACCTACTCAGCCATTCAGCCCTCAGGATGGCCTGGAGAAGTGGGGAAGGGGGGTACGAAGAAAGCCCCGAAACTGAACTCACACTCACACCAGCTTTGTGATGAGTGCCACTGGACAGACACCCTGAGCGAGGGCATCTTCAGGTCCTGCTCGAACACTAAGCAATCAAGGTAAGGAGGAGAAGCCCCTTAATCAGAACCAGGCCATGGCTCTAGGGCATGTTTTACAAATGTACCCCCTAACCTGTTACCTGAGGAAAACTCTCTAAGTTACAATGTAGGCCTTGAGTTCTTCTGCTTTAGTTTCTGCCTGGCATGCTGACGCAGGTAACAATGTTCCAAGTGTGTGTATCTAATCTAAGCTGTCATTCTGCGAGCTGAGGGTGTGGACTCCTCTGTGGTAAGAGCAGGGACCTCCAGGGACCTGAAGTGTCCCACAAAGCCAGTCACTGTTTAAGCAAAGATGCTCTGGGCCCCCTCAGGCTCCCACAGCCGAGGTCTTCACACTCTGCTACCCCAGAGTACAGGCGTAACCGAGAACACCTAGTGAGCATGCGCCACGGCTGGACCCAGTGTTGAGCACGAGGTACACCTTAGCGTGCCCTCCCCAAGCCCCTCGAGGCAGCAGTTAGCTCCTGCTCTGCAGGGGAGGGCCCTGAGGCACAGAGGTTAGCCCTGTGTCACAGCTGTGAAGGAGTGGAGCTGGGATGCTAACTAGGATGACCGGTTTGTTTGGAACTTTCTCAGTTTTAGGACTAAAGCCTGAATACTGGTGACCCTGACAGGCACCCAAGCAGAAGGGGAAAATGCATTCACATGGATGAGGCTAAATACCTGACCATTCTGCCAGCTTGCAGGCTTGTGAGAGATTTAGGAGGCAATGGTTGACCTTTATAGCCCGCTCGTTGTCAGGCACACTCGCTACCTGACAGACACAGCTCCTTGAATTCTCAGAGCCACCATATTAGATGAAGAACGTGAATCCCAGAGAGGTCAGGCGACTTCCCCAAGATCACACAGCGGGGAGGTGGTCCGCTGCCCCCAAGGCCCAGGCTGTTAATCAGTGGGTTAAACTGTAAGGTTTGTGATACTCAGTTAAAGACACACCTCTCTGGAAATGCTTCCTCTCGTACAAACTGCACTGGCCCTGCTCATGTCCATCTCAGAATCCCTGTGGCCCCACTTGCTGACTGCCACCCTGAGCCTGTTTTCAGAAAACACCACAAACCTGTACAAGTGTAACTGCTTCTGGGCTCACACCCCGGGTGCCTTTCACACCTTTCTAAGGAGGAACAGACCCCGGAAGCCTTCTTCAGGGCTCACGCATTTCAACGTGGCCTACCCAAATCCCACAGCACCACAAAGGAAGCCCGCACCCCGGTCACCCAGGAAGGAGTCCCAGACGCTGCCTTGCCTTATACAGGGTGACGTTGGAGGCGTGCGGAAAGTGCAGCGTGGCCACAAACAGGTGGACGTAGTCACTGTTCAGGCCCCCCTCATAAATGTTCTCTGCGATGATCTTGCTGACAAAATTTTTGCCGGTGCCCGTCCACCCGTGCAGGGAGAGGGTGAGGGGTTTCTTGGGCTTCGGGTTGCTTATGAAGCCAGACACGGCATTTACGATGACCTTCTTGGCGAGGTGCTGTCCGAACAGCTTGCTGTCCAGATCCTTCTGCAGCGCTGGGGAAATAACAGAACCCGTCAGGCGGGGGTGGGGGCCCGGGGCGCACCCGGCAACACCCCGCCGAGGCCACAGGTTGGTGTGAGAGGCGGCCGAGCGCGGGCGCCGCCGGGGAAGGCTGCGGCGGGTCAGGGAGGCGCCCGGCCGGGCCGCGAAGGCGGGCGCGGGAGGCCACCGTCCGGCGGGCGAGCCCCGGGCCCGGCTCTTCCTGCCGGGGGCCGCGGCCAGCTCTGCCAGCTGAGCTCGGGCCTCCGAGCACAGTCCGGGCGGAGGGCGGGGGTGGCCGGGGCAGGCCCCACGGCACCCCCGCCGCCGCTCGGGGTCCGATGCAGCCCCGCGGGCTCGGCCCCCCCCCCCCCCGGCTCCCGCCCCGTCCTACCCGCCCGGCTGAGACTCTGCTTCTGGCTGCAGCACTCGGCGAAGAGGCAGTAGAGGCGCGGGTAGGAGATGTAGCCGGTGAGGACGCCAGCCAGGGCCAGCCCCAGGCTGATGGGCTCCACCGCCCGCACCGCCCACGGCGCCAGCAGCAGCAGGCCCAGCGCCGCCCGGCCCAGCTTCATGCCCGGAGCCGCGCCGCGCCGCGCCTGCTAGCGCTGCCGGCCGCCCGCGGGACGCCCGCCGCGCTTCCGCTTCCGCCCGCTGCGGCCGCCATCTTTGGGCGGGGAACCGCCTCCTGAAGCCGGCCGCCGCCATCTTTGGGAGGGGCAGGGCCCTTCCGGGTTCCGCTTTACGGCAAAACAGAGGCGACGCAGGGGGACCCGCGGCCACCGCCTCGCGCAGGCGCGCGGGCTCCCCGTTAACTGGGTGACCTGTGGGTAGAGCATGGCTGGCTGAGTTTATTCAGATTCCCTTAGGTTTTTTTGTTTTAATTTTTTTAAAAGATTTATTTTTATTTATTTATTTGTACAAGCACTGGGTACAGTCAGAAGCGCGGGAGGGTGAGAGAATCCACCAGAGCCAGAGCGGGGAGCAGAGCAGGCAGAAGGACCGAGGTGGGACCCGCCTCCGGTGGCCGGGAGCAGCCGGGGATCGAACCGGCGCCGCAGAGGCCGCGGGCAGCTTCGCAACCCAGCGCTCAACCGCTGCGGCCCAGTTTTTTGGTTTTTTAACCTTTTTATGAGGCAGGATCCCATCCAAGATGCCACGTTGTCCTTGTTGCGTCTCCACGTGCTCCTCTCGGATGGAAGTTTCGCGAGCTTTCCGCGCGTTTCCTGACCGTGAGAGTTTGCGGGAGTTTTGAGCAAATCTTTTGTAATATCCCCCACTATTGGAATTTGTTGTGATTCTCAAGATTGGACCGTGGCCTTGGGTTGGGGGAGGAGCAGAGGTAACGAACAACGTGCCAGCTTTGTAACCTATCAGGGGTACAGACTGTTTATGACCTCTGGTGCTGACCTTCGGGTTTCTCCACTGACACCCCACTCCCAGCCCCCCTGCTTGAAAAGTCATGAACAGCGCACACGCAGGGGCTAGGGGCTAGGGAGTTAGGCTCCCCGCTTGAGGGCAGAATAGCTACGCACATCATTTGGGGGAATTCTGCGCGGGTTATTAGTCTTTTCTCCCCCATTTACTTAACTTATCCTGTTGTTTGTAACAATATGGATCCCCTGGATATTTATATTATGCTGTGGGTTGCCATCCAGTACTAATTTTGTTAAATTTGTTTCACCTTTGGTTATTGGAGCTGTCAGTTGGCTCCTCTGCTCCTTTGACTGAACATCCCCACCAAGAGTGCATTTTGTCGTCCCTTTCACATATCCCGACCAAGGGTGGTTTTTTTTTTTTTTTTTTAAGCATTTCCTTACTTTCCAGCACTCCATGATGTTCCAGGTCCATCATAAGTATTTCCTCTTCCATTTCTAGAATCAGCAATTTCAATGGACCCGGTTCATTTTATGGGAGAACAGGGTTAGAGCTGGGTATGCTCCTTATTCATGTGGTATCATTTCTTTTAAACCCTCTCACTTGAAAAAGAATTGTGTAGACCAACCCCTGTGTGTGTGTGTGTATATATATATATATATATATATACACACATATTCTTAAATATTTCTAAACGTAATCACCTGTACCTCTGTGAAACTAAAGCATGAATTCTTATTAACATTATCTACCCTACTACATGGGTAACGTGTGCCTTCTCCCATGCTTCTCTAGAAATTCCCACTCACTGGGAGCCAGTGAGAGAGCTGGCTCCCACCCTCTGGTGGCCATTTTTATGTATTACTATTTTTTGAAGATTTATTTTTATTTGTGTATACAAGAACTGAGGTGTAGGCCAGGGGTGCAGGGGATAAGAGGATTCATCATAGAGTGGGGGGCAGAACAGGCAGATCTACTGAAATACACTGCTGAGGGGAGCATCTGGCAAGACAAGGAGAGGTCTGCTGTGCCATGTGGGTCAGCTCCCTGGTTAGGGATCGAACTCTTGCTGCAGTGGCTGGCAATAGCTTGATAGTGCTGAGAGTTCAACCACTGTGCCATCAGGGAGCCCCTGGTGGCCACTTTTATACCCTCTCCACTAATGGAAACTCTGGCAAGCAACAACTGCAGCATCCACTTATTTGCCCACCCATCACCTAGTCGAGTGCCCGTGTCCGGGAATGAGCTAAATCCTAAGTGTTCACATTGGTTGTCTGCACACTGTGGGCAACCGATACATGCCTGTTGAAATATTTTTCAGTTTCAATTTTTTCATGTTGTATCCAAAATAAAAATATTGAACACCATTTTTAAGTCAAATAATACCACATATCATCTCTAATCCTCACAAAGTTGGAGGTAGGGGTTACCTACCCATCCATTCATATTTTCATGGCCTGCCCACGTGTTTGGTTAAGGACTAAACCTGGGGATTCAAAGAAAAAAAATGAGGTACACCCAACTCCCACCGTAACTGACTCTGCATTCTCATTGGGGGTGGGGAGCTTACATTTTACAGAATAGAAAACAGTCAGAGGGAAGGGGTTTTGTCCAAGGACATACTAGTCAACTATGAGCAGGGTTCGGATCTGACTCCAGACCCAAACCTCTCTAACCTCAATGCCTACTTTGACTGAGCCCAGAAGCCAACCCACCTGTTTATTCCTCATCCCAACTCATTTAAATACCTCAGGAAAAATGGCAGTGCACGTGACAATGTACTTGGCAGCCGGCAGGCTCTCTCAGAACTGCCCAGCCCCCAGGCTCTGAACATACTACCCTGGGTTGGTGTGAAGACACACAATACAAACAAGAAGGTTGGAGTCATTTTGTATTTAATTAAGTGCTGAAAGTGCAAGAAATTGTTTTTCTTTCTTGATGAAAAGAAACGGGTAACTTTGCAAAAGTCAGAAGATACTCATCTCCCTTTGATCCCACCCTGGACGTTTCTGCCTCAGGTGGGCCAATCGCAGATAGTGAAGGATGCATCTCCGAACCCCATGGCGGGTACTGGAAGGCAGACAACGTGGTTGCGTATACATTAATAAAAGCACACTCTGCAGGGCCTCATCCCACCCTGGACACACAGCTGTTTTCTCCTGACCCAGAGCAAATACTGAGAAAGTCAACATACTTATAGACAAGGTTTAATAAGGCTCACAAGAATAGACTTTACCTCCAAATAGGAAAAGGACACGTTGCTTTGTTTCAAAAGGTTACAAATTCAGTGCCTGAAAAAATCCAGCAGGTAAGCAGCAGAACTAACAGAGTCTGTTTGTGGAAACATCTGCTAGCAAATGAGCAGGCTTCAGTCCAGGAAGCCTCTGAAGGGGGTGGGGTGGGCAAGGCGGCTCTCCACATCCCTCCAGCACTGTTCCCCCAGCACCCCCTCCCCCCAAGTCCCTCTCAGTACCGCCTGTTCATCTTCTTGAACTTCTCATAGTGATAGTCATCCGTGGCCTTCTCGTTAGCGGGACGCTTGCGGTTGGGCGGGGACCCTGAGAAAGACAAGAACAGCGCTGTTTGCCAAGCTCGAGGCCACCGGCAGGCAGTTCCCCCCGCCAGCCTCATCCCCCCCACCACCCCGGGCCTTTGTTACTGGATGGAGTGAAATAAATACGTGGTAGAGGCAGGTGCCAATCAAAATGTGCTGCCCCAGATGAACAGCAGTTCCCGCGAGCTTGGCCATGTGCCAGGCTCAGTGCTCGGTTTTCCTAGACGTGGCTTCCTTTAAACCTCCTCCTGGAAGGGCCGTGTTACCATCCCTGCTCGGAGGTTAGGGGACTTGCTCAGGGTCACCCAGAAAGAAAGAAAGGTAGGTGGACAGTTGAACCCAAGTCCGGTTTCGCCAAAGCCCTTGATTTGCTCCGTGTTAATAACCCGAACCTCTTCGGGAATCGGAGACTACGTGACCAAGATATTGCAGAAAATAATTTCGCAAGTAAAAAGGAAGACACAGCACCTGGCTGGGCTTTTCGAACCTCAGCAGATTTAACATTTCCTGAGACTCATCCACTGGTGACGAAAAATATGACCCCACCGGGGCCGCTGAGCATGTGGGGAAGGGGAGCTGCTGTGGCTGCTGCTGGCGGAGAGCAAACTGGCATCCTGCTCTTGAGGCCCATCTGGCCTCAAGATGTAGCCCCAGGACACAACAGTCTAGACTGACCACCTGAACACTTGGCTAAGACAGGGCGGAACGGGACAGAAGCAGAGGGGAAGGTGTGTTGACGGCGTCCATCTGGCCGACGGAGCAGGAAGTGGCTGCTGAAAAAGCCTGTCTTCACCAGCAGGGCCTGGCGGGACGCTCTGGTAAGAAGCGGAGCTCCTACTAAGCCTGGACACACCATATACGGGTATCTCACATAGGCAAACATTAAAGGAAAGCCTGGCAGGTCGCACGTAAACCATTAAGAGAGGTTGTCTTCAGGAGGTGAAAGCACAAGGAGCTTTCCAGTTACTTTTGCTCAGTGACTCTCTGGGGCTTTAGTCTCCGTGGTGCTTTGCAGCCCAGGGACGCCTCAGTGCACCAGAGGGAGGTTCGACTACGAGTCCCACTTTACAGATGCCGAAGCTGCTGCTTGGAAAGGGAAGGCCACGGTCCAGAGCAGGGACTGGCCGCCCAGCCTCTGAGGCCTGGGTACTCACGCTCAGGCTCCGGCCTCTCTGTGTCACCCACTCGCAAGGGCCGGGCTTTGGGCTCTTCTTTGTTTCTCCGGATAGGGGCATTGAGCTCCTCATGATAAACTGGATAGGAGACAGGAGGGGAAGACACGTCAGAGAGGAGGGGTGGGTGGGGTGCAGGCAGGGACAGGGCAACCCCACGCAGCTTACATCGGTTGTGCTGCACGTAATTCACCGCCATGTTGGTGGGCACGAAGGACGTCTCGCTGTCTTTCTTCTTGTTCTGCTGCTCCGCCAGCAGCCGGGCCTTGGCGTCCTCCGTGGAAATGATATTTTTTATTTTCGCACTAAGGGAGAAAGGCCCACACGTCAGATGGCTCCCGTGTCCTCAGATGGAACCAAATGGCAAGGCCGGCAGCCCACCACTGCGTGAAGCAGTTGTGGCTCTGGGGCATGGCCCTAGTTTGCCGAGCTCCCGCACGGTCAGATTATCTTGGGGTGCTCAGGGCCATCAGGGACGCAGGAGTTACTCTCCTCCTGATCAAGTGGAAACTGAACCTCAGAGCAGCAAAGCAACTGCCTTGGCCCCAAAACTAGTCAGGCCAGAAAAGCATGGGAACCGGAAGCCTGGATTTTCTACTCAGTGATGACTCTGCTTGAGTTTCCTTCATGACAATCCCCTTTTAGAGCAAAGGTTTTGTAGTAAAATGAAGGGGGGATGGGGAGGAGGGGGAACGAAAAGTAGGCAGAAGGCTGCGGCACTTCTGCCCTCAGCAGCCAGGACCCCTAAGTGGCTCAACTTCTCTGACCAACCACCCCAGGAAACCCAGCCAGAGACAGTATCATTTAAATCCGTGGGTTTCCAAGGAGACAGGTAAGCATCCCTTAACTTTTGCCCAGAAAGAGGGGCTCATCTTCCTGCCAGGGCCCGAGAGGTGAGGTGTGCGAGGGGAGGCCCAGGGAACGTACTCGATGCCAGGTCCACCTCTGGGATGCCGCTCAGCATCTGGTTAGAGAGCATCTCCTCTGTCTTCTTTGCCGAGGAGACGCGGATGTTTTCTGGAAGTTCGTAAAGACAGTCCTCTGCGTTCTTTGGCTTGACTTTCTGCTCCTCGTGATCCACGATCCCTTCCTCTTCTTTAGCTCTGTCTCGATGTACTTCATCCTGAAATGAGATACCCACAGGCCTCAGGAGGGCAGGCTGTGAAGCCGGTGGCCCCGGCGCTGGTTCTTAGCAAAAGGAGAACAAGAAAAAGAGCTCTTGAGTTTTTTTCATGAAGCTCAAAGTTTTCAACTAAAAGCTCCAGCCTTTATTGTGGGATTATGTGCTACGGTCCACCGGCGGCGCGTGTAAGGCTGTCTAGAGACAGAAAGATAGTGGCAGATGGGGGATGCTTGACACCCTTGATGGCAAAGAAGTGAGCCAAATTCAGTGCTTATGCCTCCAGTGTCGGGGAGCTATCAGAACCTAGGAACCCAAGAACCACTCTTTTCAGGAACTTTTCAAGATTCTCAAACCTGGGAGATGTGGCGAGAGGGGTTCATTTTGACATCTTTGGATAGTTCTAGAAATGCCTTCTGCAACTAAATATCTTGGACTCCCTCTGGCTGAAGTCCACCCCCAGCTGGTCACAGGCAAATAGACCAACACCTACATGTCGGCGTCCTCGTCCCTGCGGTTGGTTTCTGCGGAAAAGGAAGTTCCCAGGTGGAGGTCTTCCTCTTCACTGATCCTAAACAGGGAAAATGTGAAGTCACAATTCGGTGAGGCCAGGTTTGATGTTACATGAACAAAACAAGTACCATCAAAAGCAAATATAATACCTCACTCACAGTCAGAGAGAAAGAAAAATATATATATGCACATATGCAAAAGTTGAAAAACTAAAAGTACAGGCAAGCTGTGTCCTCTTGAGATACTTTGGGAGGTGAGCAGATACTTTCATCTTTTTACTTTTCCATTGTTAGAGTGTATTATTTTCGTGACTGTATTTTTACGTTTTTCTTAAAAATGAAGAAAACGCCACGTGGGTTTGAAAGACAATAAAGAATGTATATTTACTTAAGGAGTCTACCCATGTCACTGTGAGCTAACATCTGAACAGATTTTGCTTTCTTTTGCTCTTAAATGACATGCTCATTACAAAGCACAAGGACACCAGAGGGTGTGGCATCACAGCTGCAGCCCCAGGCCCAGCTCACTGAGGCCTCACAGCCAGCAGGGGCTACCTGTGAATGAATGTCTCCCAGTGGCCTGCACTCACTTGTCTTTGCCCCTTTCCTTCAGTTTCTTCATGTCCACCATCCCGCCGGTTTTCATCTGGAAGGGATCATCCTGCCAAAGGCAAACATGGCTGAGAGGAAGCATCTCCATAACTGGCAGCAGAATTCTTTTTTTTTTAGAAAACTCAATCATCTACCTAAGGGCAGACACATTCTCCCACTGCCCAGGGAAGACCCACAACTCACCACTAGTGTGGTCTCTTCCTGTACCTTCTCTCCCACTAGCAGGGCCACCGCACTGAGCAAAACCAAAAAGGAAGAGAGAAATGGTATAATTCAGAGATGCACAAGGACCTTTAGGAAGTTTGTAGGTTGCAACACATGGTCAGAGTGACACTCAAGGGGTGGGCGCAGGTCAGGTGGAAAAGCCTACAGGAATAAAAGCAGGCTCCAAAAACATTTGAGGCCCTCGGGTGGGGGTGGGGGTGAAGCAAGTGGTATACCTCCCTATAAAGTCATTCAGCATCATTTTGGTTTAGTTATCTCATTTTTTTTTTTTTTACAGATTTATTTATACAAGAACCGGGGTACAGGCCAGAGGCGCCGGAGGGTGAGAGGATTCACCAGAGACAGAGTGGGGAACAGAACAGGCAGACTGACAAACTACACTGCTGAGGGGAGCAGTGGGCGAGACAGGAGAGGTCTGCCGTGCCATGTGGGTTTCTGCCTGGCTGGCCAGGATCGAACCCACACTGTAGAGGCTGCAGACAGCTTCACAGCGCAGCGCTCAACTGCCCGCCTCACCAGGGAGGCCCGTTAGCAATCTCATTTCTATGATTCTGCCTTCAAGGAAAATGAAGCTAAAGACAAATGTAGGTAAACATCTGGCGGCCTTATTTGATGGTGAAAATTTACAAGATAAGCAAACCATGAGACCGCATGGCTCAGGGGTGTCCTGGTTAAACATGTTCGAGGCGCTGGCCCCGCTCCAGGAAGTGGGTGGCAGACAGCAGGTCAAGAGCTAGGGCTGAGGGTTATTTGTGATAGCAACCTGGGTGGGGTCATGTCTGTCATACTAGAATCCCCCTCCTCCAGGTACCACTCCCATATGCCCCCCGACCCGGCCCTATATGCCCCCTACCCACCTCACCCCATTGGGTCTCTTCCGTAAGTTCTGCACCTCTCGGGTTTCTTCCAGTTTTAATCTGAAAAACAGGCAGTGCACAGGCTGAGAGACTCTCCCAACTCAGAGGCAAAGGCCGCTTCCGTGAGCACCCCCACCCCATAGGCTACCGTGAGTCTAGACCCACCGGGAGTCAGATCTACTCTGCATCTGGGGACATCTCTCCCAGCTGCTTGGCCTTGGTGGCTTAGAGTTTCTTCGTTCGAAGAAGAGAATTAACACCCGGCTCACAGCTAGTATGGTGTCCATGAGGCGCCAGGACAACAGTACCAACTTGCTAAGATTTCAATTCCATGTTTGTTTGTTTTTTAAGATTTACTTATTTATGCATACAACAGCTGGGGTATAGGTCAGAGATGTGGGGGGTGAGAGGATTCACCAGAGACAGAGTGGGGAACAGAACAGACAGATGGACCCAAGGCACTGCTGAGGGGAGCAGCGGTTGAGACAAGAGAGGTCTGCTGTGACATGTGGGTTGCTCCCTGGCCGGCCGGGGATTGAACTCACACTGCAGAGGCTGTGGACTGCTTCATAGTGTGGTGCTTAACCCCTTGCGCCACCAGGGAGGCCCCTCAATTCCATGTTTTAAAGGCTCGATTTAGACAAAAGCGGTTTGTAGTTTGAACTTTACTTACTTTTATGTATTTTTTTTAATCAAGCTAGGTTCTTTTTTTAAAAAAGTTTTATTTATTTATGCATACTAGAACTGGGGTAGAGGCCAGAGGTGGGGGTGGGGTGGGGGTAAATGTGAGAGGATTCACCGGAGACAGAGTGGGGAACAGAACAGGCAGACTGACTGAAATACACTGCTGAGGGGAGCAGCGGGAGAGACAGGAGAGGTCTGCTGCATCACATGGGTGAGCTCCCTGGTCCGGGATTGAACTTAGACAACAGGGCTGGTGATGGTTTGATAGCACTGAGAATTTAACCCCTGCGCCACCAGGGAGGCCCTCATATAATGTTTTTATTTTTTTTTAAATTTTATTTCATTTTTTTTTAATAGAGGCATGTTTTATTCATTTATTTATTTGTTTGTTTTGTTTATACATGCACTGGGTACAGTCAGAAGTGCGGGAGGGTGAGAGAATTCACCAGAGCCAGAGCGGGGAGCAGAGCAGGCAGAAGGACCGAAGCACACTGCTGAGGGGAGCAGCGGGCGGCAGGAGAGGTCTACGCGCCATGTGGGACCCTCCTCCAGTGGCCGGGGAGCAGCCGGGGATCGAACCGGCCGCGGGCAGCTTCGCAACCCAACGCTCAACCGCCGCCCCACCAGGGAAGCCCCATACAATGTTTTTAAAAGTGCTATTGAAACTTAACAATATGAACATGTGCAAGATGGTGTCAGCTAAACTGTTGTACTGCTGAGTGGTTGTCAACAGGAACACAGTCACTGACACTATGTCAATGGCAGAAATGTCCATCACATTTTTTACTTGAAATACCAAGAACTTGTGAAGATTTATTGAGAGTGTCTGGGAAAGGTGACTCTGCTGATCTAAACAGCTCTCCAAACACACTTGAGACACTGGCCCCTGCCTTGTCAGCAGTGGTGCTAAACCACACAGCAGTCTGTGAAAGATCTTGAGACACTGCTCCAGCAGTTCACCGGGCACTCCTGCAGACAGCAGTGCTAGCGGTGCATGGGTCTCAGGAAAATAAGGGAAATCTGTTTCCTGCCCCAACAAAGCTACTCCTCCAAGGCACAGGGTCAAGATGTCAAACAGTCCCTCTAAGTAACAATTTTATCAGCTGGCCTTGCCTGCCAACACCGGGACGCCTTAGCTCTTGCAAGGAGACTGACTTTGCACTAGCACTGGACGTCAGTTCCTGGCTGGTTAAACCCACTCCTCCAACTCTATGAAAGGTACATTTCAACTACATAAGGCCTTTATTTCTTTCCTCTTCCCTGTGCCTGAACAATAGAGTAAATCATCTATACCTGGTTTGGAGTCTGTTCCTGCAGTAATGACTTATTAAGAAGTAGTATCCTTTCCGCCACTGACCTGTGGGGCACTAGTACTATAACTTACAGATTCCACATAAGCCTGTGCTGAGATATCGGCAAAGACAATCTCATTCTCTGAGCTATAATTTTTGCTTCCCCTGCAAACAAAATAGTCCCCGAAATGGGCCTCTCTGCCCCGTGGACGCCTCGCTCCAAACTCACCGAACCTCCTCTGAATCTTGCTCATCTTCCTCCGATTCTGAGTCGGCCCGGCGCCGGCGAAAAGTCTTCCCGGTGACCGGCATAGTGGCGCCGGCCCCGCGGTCCAGCCGCTGAGCCGTGGACCCGGGTGCTTCCGGCGCGCGCCGCTGTCGTCAGAGCGCCGGCCCCGCCCGGCCCCGCCCCCAGCGCGCCCGGCCCGCCCCCGCCAGCCCAGCGCGCCTGGCTACGCCCGGATCCGCGGCGTCGGCCTCTCGCGATTGGATGGCCGCGGGGGAGGGGGCGGGGCGCGGCCGGGCGGTCCCGCGACCCTGCGCCGCGCCGCGGAGGGCGCGCTGGGCTGACAGGCGGCGGCGGCGCGCTTGCGACAGCAGGTGAGTTCCGGGCCGCCGCCGGCTGCTCCAGGGGGCCGGGCCTCTCCGAGCCGAGGCGACCCAGCCCTGCTTCGGGCCCCGGGGCCCTGGCCCTGCCGGGCGCGCAGGACGCCGCGGCCAGGTGAGCGGGGCCCGGGACCCCAGGCCGCCCCGCCGCCCCGGGGAGTCCCCGAGGGCCCCGGCGCCCCACGGCGCGCCCCCGGGGGCTCGTCGCCTCCGGGCTCGGGGGCTGCCGTCTCTCATCCCCGCCGGAGCCCGGCCCCCGAAGCACGCCAGAGGTGCCTCGGGCGTGGACTTGCCTCCCGGGGTCTGGGCCCTGACGTGCATTTTTTTCCCTTTGGGGACAAAAGGTGACCACTTCTTGGGGTGTTACAGCAACGTCCCAGCGCCTCTGCCCCGCCTGTCGCGGCCTTAGCCTCTTCTCCCCAGGAGAGGCGCACCTGGGGCTTGCAACCCCCTCGGGAGGCCTCGGCCGAGGGCTGCACCGCGTGTGTGCGGGCCTCGCCCCGGGCCTTGGGCCTTTGTCGGGAGGGCTGTTACTCTGCTCTCCGCCCCTTCCATCCCGAGGATGCTATGAGATTGCAATTGACTTGGAAAATGGGGGTCCAGAAACGCTTAGGAAATCACTCAAAGCATAAAGAATGGCTCACGGGACTTTGAGGACCCTTAGATAGTAGTTTTCCTTTTGTCAACATAGGCCAGGCTTTTCCTTTGAAGGAACTATCTCTTAAAGCACTTGCTAGGTGGCGGGCACAGAGCTAGCTGGGCATTATCTCCTCAACCACCCCAGCAGTCCTGTGGGGTACAGTCAGTTGTTTTTCATTTATAAGTGGAGATACGGAAGCTCAGAGGCTATCAGAGCCTCGAGTTGCCCAGCTGGAAGGTGGGGCAGGCATGAGTTCCAGGCCTATCTCAGCTGCTGCATGTTTGGCAGTACCTGGCACAGTAAGATTTTGGAAATGTTTGCTGCGGCCGCTGCTATTGCAGCTACATTGCTGGGGGAGGAGCTGGAGGCCTCTTTTCCTGGTTCCCTCTCTGGAAGACCCTTTTGAAGCAGGGCAGCATTTCTGGGATGCTTGGCTTTTTTTCTCTGGAACCATCTCTTCTGAGACTGTTGTTCTCTTCCTCGGACTGAGACAAATAGTGTACTCAAGACAAATAGTGACTCAAAGCCTTTTGGCTTTGGTCAAAAGCCATATATTAAATATGTCGAAGTCTTGCCCTCTGCAGTCCAGTTCTGCCAGACCCAGGTGCATGTGGGAATTGCTGGACGCGGTGGTTGAAGGAGAGGCCCCTCAGGAGTCACTGCGGGAACCTAGGGTGTCTCCCACCACAGCACAACACTCGCAGGCAACTCAGATTCTGCCCTCCCTCCAGGGGTACTGGACAGCGCTAAGGAGAGGGCCAGGAGGCCACAGATATCTCTGGTCCCCCTCTTGGCTGGAGTCCCAGGGAGGAGCATCTGGTACAAATGAGCTGCCTCCACCGGGCGAGGCCAGAGTGCCCAGTGGTACCACCTGGTCTCTGGCACATGGAACTAAGGCTTGTTTAGCAAAGTACTGCTGAAAAACTGGAGCTGTGAATCTGGCGGTGGGAACCTGGTTGGAGGGACTGCAGACCCCCTGAAGTCTTGCTGGGCTGTCTCGGGCGGGGGGATGAAACTGCTTCTCAGAGGGAGCCTTCAGGAAACGTGGGCTCTTTTCAGGTCAGAAATGAGTCTGTGGCTTCGATTTTGTTTGCGTTTCATTGTTCAGGGAAATATACAAGTTTGGCTTGGATTTTGGTTGGTTTATTAGCTCCTTTCTGAAACCAGATGAAATGACGGCTTGTTTCAGGGTTCATGAGCATTAGTGTCTGGTAGACCTGAGATCCAGCTAAGTGATCACATTTCACAGCCTGGCCAGAGTAAGTATTCAGTGAGTGTTTAAGAGATTAATTTACTTATTCAATAAATAGTGAAAGCTTTTATTTTATGAAACGGGCATCGTTCTAGATGCTTGAAGTCAATGAGCAGAAGAGACAAAGGATCCGTGATCTAGTGGACTCTACATTCTCATAACGTAGTACCTGAAGCATGTCCAAGGCAATGGATGTTCTAGAAACCAAAGGAGGCAAGGGATCAGGAGTGGGAGGGAGGATCGGGTTCTACATTTAAGTTAATATATCCTTGTTTGATATGGTTGATAACTTGACAAATGCAGCAGTGGACTGAAGAATAGGCCCTGAGGTCAAGTCCCAGTTCTGGCAACTTCCCATGTGACTTGGGGCAGATGCCTTTTTCTCCCTGCCATGTCCCTGCTCTGCCTTTCCTAGCCGTGTGATATTAGTCATGAACCCCTCAGACCCTCACGTGCTTTGTGGTCTGTGGTCTTAGTCCAAGATCTGCGTATACCACAGGGTTTGCAGCTTCTCAGTGATCTGTCCAGTCTCTGCTAGCAGCCTGCTAACCCCCAGGGACTGCCAGCCTGTGACAGCCCCAACCTGTGCATGCTCCAGTTAATTGGCTTATATGGGCCCAAAGCAGAGTGTAGTACCAGACTTGGGGCTCTCTAGCCATGTTACCCTAGACTTAAGGGATTTAAGTTGAGCAGAAAGATGCACTGTGAAGAATGACTCAGAAGAGGCTCTTGTAAGGGAGGCCCCCCCGGGGGCTGGGAAGGCTTTCCCTTGGAGTGTGAGGAGGTAAAGATCATGCCATGCTAGCTGGCGCTTTGGGAGAGGTTGTAGAAATGACTGTTCAGACCCATGATGATGAGCAGATAGTCCTGGGTTTGGAGCTGGTTCAGTTACTTAGTAGCGGTGTGACCACCCGCTTCCCTCTCCCAGTCTCTCCAGTTCTGATGGCAGTGCAGGGGATCTTGCTCCCACCCCCCATCCCCCCCCCTACCCCGGTGGTTATGAGGATTCAGTGAGGCTTGTTCATATCAGCTCCAGCACAGGGGCCTTTGGGGCAGGAAGAGGCCTGAGGGCTCTGCTGTGAGAGCCAGAGGGTGCGCCTGTAGGGAATGGAATCTGGCTTCAAGGAGGGCTGATTCAGTGTTTAGGGAAAATAGAGTTGTTTGGAAGTAGAATAGAGGGTTGGGGGAGCAGGGAGGAATATGGGTGCCAGTGTGAGGGGGTGGGATGGCTAATGTCAGGAACAGGGCAGGAGGGTGTCCCTGTGTGGGTGGGTGGCTTGGCGGCCTCACTGTCTGAGGAACTTGGCTCTTGCCTGGGGGGAGGATGTAGCCAGAACCTTCAGGAAAATGATGAGTAATGGGCACCTGAGGCCTGGACTCAGCTGCTGGTGCCAGGCCCCGGGGGTGGAGGAGCACTTACCCCCTCATTAGCTGCACGCATCCGGGAGAGAAAAGTGCCTGCCTTTAATCAGGATGAAGCCTCTTGAATGAACTTCCGGGGCCTGGAAAGGGAGGGCTCTTTGCCAGACCTACCTCCCAGCCTGCCTCCTTCCCTCTTGCTTTCTTGTCCCCAAGAGAGGAGCGGGACTGGTGGGTCAGGAGGGAGAAGTGCTCTGGTGGGACGCAGCCCCACAGCTGGCATTCAGGCACTGAACTATGGGGTGGGCACCTTGCTACCCCCAACACAATCGGGCCAGCTGCCCGGATCCAGGTTTCTCAGCAGCAGGTTTTCCCCTCTGAACTTTTATTAGATGCCTATTGTGCACACTCCATGTGTTTGGGGGGGCGCCGGGGGCATGTGAGGTAGGGAGGAAGGACTGAGGATGCAGACCCAACTGCTCGCCCCAGTTGTGTCCCTTCCTGGCTGCGTGGTCCTGGGCACGCACTTCCCATGCTCTGCTCCCCAGTGCGATGAGCAGCGGTGAAGCTCTCGGCCTTGTGCCTTCCTCCAAGTAGGCCTGCATCCTGGGCTGCTGCTGTTACGTTTGGGTTGCCCTTTCCAGTAACCTGTCCCCCCTCCCTGCTCCTAACTCAAACTAGGGGAAAATACAGAAAGTTACCAGAATAATAGTGAATTCCCACTCATACCCTTTACCTTAACTTACTAATTATTAACATTTTCACCCTCTTTACTTTCTGTGTGTTTAAATGCAGGTGACCCTTGAACAGTGTGGGTCTGAGCTGTGCACACCACTTGCGCGGAGGTTTTTTTTTGACCCTGGGGCTCTGCATTCATCAATTCAACCCCTGCAGAGCCCCAGCCCTCCTTGTTCAGGAGCCAGCTGTGCTCATTATCATCATCCCTATTATTGCTGCCCCATTTAGGAATAAGTTGCAGACATCACGACCCTTTACCTCTAGTTTCAGAGAGATTCTTCTGAGAACAAGGACATCATAATATGAACCAGGAAACAATTTTTCTCTGCAGGAACTTGCCAGGGCTGCTGTAACCAGGCACCGCAGCCAAGGGCCTCCGCGCGGTTCTGGGCTGAAAGTCCTCAACAGCCTCTCCTGCTGAAAGTCCTGCTGCAGCCTCTCCTGCTGCGGGGGGCTGTCTGCGGTATCCTCACCCTTTCCTGTGTGCAGACATTTTGGTGGCTTTCCTGGAATCCAGATTCCCTTCTGACCAAGTCAGATTGGTTTAGGGCCCACCTAATGACCTCATTTGAACTTATCTCCCAATAAGATTACATCCTGAGGACCTCCCCTGGTGGCGCAGCGGTTGAGCTCTGGGCTGCAAAGCTGCCGCAGCCTCTGCAGCACCGGTTCCATCCTGGCGACCAGCAAGGGTCCCACATGGCGCGCAGACCTCTCCTGCAGCGCCCGCTGCTCCCCTCAGCAGTGTCCTTCGGTCCTTCTGCCTGCTCTGCTCTCCGCTCTGACTCTGGTGAATTCTCTCACCTTCCCGCGCTTCTGACTGTACCCAGTGCTTGTATAAATAAGTAAATCAATCTTTAAAAAAAAAAAAAGTTAAAAAAAAAAAAGATTACATCCTGAAGTATTGAGGGTTAAGGCTTCAGCATATGAATTTGGGGGTGGAGGGGTGAATCCACCCATAGCAAATACTGTTATCTACTGTGTAGTCCACTTTAAAATTTGTCGCTTCTCCCAGTAATGTCCTTTCTCCCCACAATGATTCAGGGTCCAATACTGTCTTGTCTCTTTAGTGCCTTTTAGCTAGAAGTTTCTCAGCCTGTGTTAAAAAGAAGGGTGTCAAGTTGCCAGGAAGCAGAGGTACTGGCGGCATCAGGAAGGATTGTGCTCCATTCCCTGGGGTTGCTTTTCTGATGTCAAAAGTGCCAGGAGATGAGCTCCCTGAAGAGCGCCATTAGCCAACATTAGTCCCCGGCTGTGTGCCCCACTTCCTCAGCCTGCATGTTTCTCAGCTGGGCTAGTGACCCATCCCCACCTGGCAAAGGAGCCCTTCGAGGAAAGTCGGTTGGAGGGTCCCCCTGGGCTCGTGACACGTTCTTCCCAACTGCAGTTTCCTGATGTACAGAACATGAACAGTAACACGAATTTCAGTACTAAACGATTTTGAACATTCATACTGGGCAGATAAATGCCGAGCTCTGCCGGAAGTCCACGGGTTCTGAAGTCAGGGACACAAAAAGATACGTGCTCTATGCAGTGTCTCGCTTCATCCTTTAGTAAGCCCATCTGTTAGCAGCTGTCTTTGTCCCCATTTCATGGATGAGGCAACTGATTTCTCTAAAGACACACACCTTGCAAGTGACAAGAACACAGAGCTGCTACAAACACGAATCATCATATTGTACACCTGAAACTAATATGCTCCACGTCCGAGATATCACAGCTCATAAAAAAATTGAGCTTTTATTTTTTATTTATTTATTTATTAAAAATTTTTTTTAAAGATTTTATTTATTTATTTATTTATACAAGCACTGGGTACAGTCAGAAGCACGGGAGGGTGAGAGAATTCACCAGAGCCAGAGCGGGGAGCAGAGCAGGCAGAAGGACCGAAGGACACTGCTGAGGGGAGCAGCGGGTGGCAGGAGAGGTCTGCGCGCCATGTGGGACCCTCCTCCGGTGACCGGGGAGCAGCCGGGGATCGAACCGGCGCTGCAGAGGCCGCGGGCAGCTTCGCAACCCAGCGCTCAACCGCTGCGCCACCGGGGAGGCCCTGAGCTTTTATTTTTTAAAAAGATTTATTTACTCACGCATACAAGACTCGGGGTACAGGCCAGAGGTGTGGGATGGTGAGAGGATTCACCAGAGACAGAGCAGGGAGCAGAACAGGCAGATCTACTGAAATACACTGCTTATGGGAGCAGTGGGTGAGACAGGAGAGGTCTGCCCTGCCATGTGGGAATCTCCCTGGCCAGCCGGGATGGAACCGGCACTGCAGAGACTGCAGATAACTTCACAGTGCTGTGCTCAACCGCCTGCGCCACCAGGGGAGCCCCAAAATATGAGCTTTTAAAGAAAAGGAATTTGCTAAAGACAGGGCTAGCCGTCTGTGTTACAACGTTTTGCAGTCACAGTGAGACGCAGGGACACCAGTATGCAGAGCATCTGATTCATGGTAAGAGGACCAAGTGGCTGCCTTTGGGTGAAGAGAAGGCCCCTAGTGGCACCATTCAGGTCCCTTGGAGCTAAAGTGGATCTCTGCACCCAGGAGAGCAGGGCCCCAGCTTGCTTGTTTTCACCATCCAGGTCATCACCTGAGTTGGTGATGGGGTCCGTGCTGGTTGGGCACCAACATAGAGTGCAGACCTTCAGGCAGAGGAAGCAGGTCATGTGCAGTCCTGGCAGACCCCCGATTCTGCGGTGTCGGGTCCGGGGGCTGGCATCTCAGGCACCTAACCTTTTCCATACTAGAACTCCACTTCCCCCGCTATTTTTTTTTATTTTATTTTTTTAAAGATTTGTTTATTTTTTATACAAGAACCGGGGTACAGGCCAGATGCCGGGAGGGGGAGAGGATTCACCAGAGACAAAGTGGGGAACAGAGCAGGCAGACTGATGAAATACACTGCTGAGGGGAGCAGCGGGGAGACAGGAGAGGTCTGCCGCACCCTGTGGGATTCTTTGAACCTATGCTGCAGAGGCTGCGGGCAGCTTCACAGCTCTGGCCTCAACCTCCCGCGCCACCAGGGAGGCCCCCTCCCCCTGCTTTTAAACACCTCTTTTAAGCCTGTAACTTAAAAAAAAAATGTATACCTTGAACTTTCTAGGTTGGGTGTGTTCCTGCACTTTGGTAGGTAGATAGATATATATGGTCTCCCTGGAGAGAAGTTTGTCACTGTAATCCAGAGCCTTCAGGACATACATTTTGATCTGTAATTTTTCTTCTGGCCAAAGATGTATCAGATTTATATTCTGAAATATTTCTCACAGCCTTACTTACAATGGACAACCACCCTGTGTGCCGCAGCAGAAAGTGTTATGTGTGGCATTGTAGCCTATAAACTGTTTGTGGTATAATAGTCAACCCTTAGCAATGAAGTTGTTAAAAAGACAGTGACATGGGAAATGTATATGCTATAAAGTGGGAAATCTGTGCACAGACTGTTACATTCCAGTTCCATACCTGAGGTTATGTGGCCGCACGCATGAGTAAGGCCGGCGGTTCTAGAGTCCCCTCCCTCTACCCCATAGTAGGGCCTCGGGTGATTTTTTTTTCATTGTCTTCCAGCTCCTACAGAGTAGCGTATCCATTTTATTAAAACCAAACAGAACTGCCTTTTTCCACCTCATTTTCAAGATAGGTAGAAGAATATGAAACATGGTAATCCAAAACAGGTTAACAAGGCAGAAACGAAGGTGCTAAGAAATCTCCGAATTGTGGGGAAAATGTTGCTTTAAAGCCATCCTGGCAGCAGCTTGGGTACTTCCTCCGTTGGGGCTTCTGGGACCACTGAGATCCTGCCTCTGGAATGGACTGCAGGTGTCTCGCTCACACCATGTGGGCCTGGGGGGCTGCAGGGATCGAGATTCCTTTCCCCCCGAGTGTTCTCAGGGGTCTGAAAAGCAAGGGCAGTCCCAGGAGGGAAACCTGATGTAGGAGAGAAGTCAGTGAACTTCAAAATAAAAGTAACCCAATCGGTGATTTGTTGTACAAAGGGAGCACAAATTCACGGTGGAAACTGCAGACAAAGCCTAAAAGGACTCTCCTTCCCAGTGGTAGAGCTGAAGCAAGTGTTAGGGATGAAGGCGAAAGAAAAGGTTCAGAGGCTGGGGCACTCCGAAGCTGAGTTCCAGCCGTGCCTGGGAAAATGACCAAGAACTTGGAAGCCTGAGGACTTAGAGGGAAATGTCATTAGTTTCAAGATAGCAAACCTCGAAGCAGGAGGAACTCGAGAACCTTGGGAAAGATAAAGTCAGAAGGGGAGAACTTTTAAACCTCTGATGTCTACCAGTTATGTAAAGTTTGTGATCTGTTGCTATTTAATTTTTATATCTGATAGGAGGTAAGGGATAAAGTTAATTTTTCCCTCATCCAAAGTTCTCTTAACCATTCATTTATTTATTTATTTTTAATTATTTATTTATTTATACATCCAAGAGCTGGGGTTAAGGCCAGAGATGTGGGGGGTGAGAGGATTCACCAGAGACAGAGTGGGGAACAGAACAGGCAGACTGACTGAAATACACTGCTGAGGGGAGCAGCGGGCAAGACAGGAGAGGTCTGCTTCGCCATGTGGTTATCTCTCTGGCTGGCTGGGGATAAAACTCGTGCTGCAGAGGATGCGGATTGCTTCATGGTATGGTGCTTAACCCCTTGCGCCACCAGGGAGGCCCTTAACCATTCATTTAAAGGACTGCCTTTTGCTTGTCTGCTGAGTTACATCGGTACCTTTATTGAAAATCAGTTGACCACAGGTATGGGAACCTAATTCTAGATTATTCTGTTGAGCTGTGTCTGTTTGAGCCAATGGCCCATTGACTTGATTACTGTAGCTATATAGAAAGTCCTAAGTCAAGAGGGATAACCCCACTTATTTTTTTGTTGTTCTTTCTCAAAATGATCCTAGGTTCTTTGCTTTTCCATCTACATTTCAGAATCTGCTGGACAATTTCTACCAAAAAAAAAAACACACCTGGGATTTTGTTTCCAACTGCATTGAGTCTGTAGTTTGTGGGGAAGGGACATCTTAGCAATATTGGGCCTAGTAATCCATGAACATGGTCTGTCCATTCATTTAGATCTGATTTAATTTCACAGATAGAAAAATTCAATATTTGTCCTTTTGGATGACTGTGTAGTGCAATGTGTGGTTGTGCTGATGATTATTTTTATTATTCCAGAGAATATGTTATAAAGATTGATGGTTGCCCACAAAGCCTAAAATATAGAATTACATACCATTTTATAAAAATATTTAATATTTATAGAAAAGTTTTCAGACCCCCGATTCAGAGCAAACCTCTGTACCTTGTCCGTGTTTGGTTCCTTTGGTCCTTAAGCTCCAATTCTGTTCTTTCACCTGTAAAAGGAGGCAGTGAGGGTGCATAGAGGTAGGTTAGCCACAGAGTTTGCTTTGTTTTTGCTATCTGAAGTTGCAGTTAGTCTGATTGCTTGTGTGAATCAAGTGTGGGCCTGTCTGCCACCCTCATCCATTCTCGTGGTACCGGGCACCAGGGTCCTAACTCAACTCCCATGTCATAGCAAAGACACAAAAATCCCACCTTCTGCATCTTAAACTAGTGTGGGTCTGGCCTCATGGTCTCTGATTGGTCTAGGGAGGGGACACCCCCTCCTAGAAGAATTCTGGGCTATATTCAGCCTATAGTCAGTACTCAGAGTGATGTTTAAATGACGGAACTACAGGAAGTGTTGGCTTGTTCCCCCAGGTTCCCGCGGAGGCCTGCCCTCACTCCAGCCCTCTGCAGCCCGCCACTGCCAGCTGTCACCGGGTTGCCCACGGAGGATGCAGATGTGGATGGAGACTGCTTCCTGGGGCCCTGGCTTTACTCAGAGGTAGGCCCACTGCCTCCCCTCTGCAGCCCTTGAGCAGGGACTGAGGAAGAAGTAGGGTGTTTTCTCTTTAGGTGCAATAATGGGATTGTGACTTTTTTCTCAAGGCCCTGTTAGAGAAAGATACATAGGTGGAATGATGTGGTGTCTGGGATGGTCTGCAAAAAGGAGGTGGAAGGTTGAGATGAAGCAAGGTTGGCCTTGAGTGGCTGCTGTGGAAGTTAGGGATGGGCACGTGAGCCTGCCTTACCAGTCTGTTTCTGCTAATATTTGTTTTTTTCCCTGACACAGGCAGAGTGAGCAGTGGCGAGGCTGCCAGACTCTGGGCCACTTTGGCTCTGCTTTAGCTCCAGTGCACCTAACTGTGAGGCCTGGGACAGGGAGTCTTTTCTCCTAATCTGTGGAATGGGCTGATCACAGTTTCCTCCAGTATCACTGGGGGTGGTGTGATGCGCTAATGCATGGATTCTGGTGCCTGCTCCTCACCCCTACTGACTTGGGTTCTGGCTGGGAGTCTAGACCAGTCGAGCTCTGGCTGACAGCTTGGGTGGGGAGAAGACTTCCGGGAGGAGCCCGGGGTCCACCTCCTGGGTCCAGTGGCCATACAGCTCCCACCTTTGATCAAACCCTTTTCTCCACTGACATTTGGTGATTTTGAGCCTTTCTTGGCAATAGCTTAGAGCTAGAATTTGCAGTCATTCCGGGGTTTGCTCAGAGAGTGGGTGGTTGAAACACTTGGTTATCTTTAAGCAGTTTCTTTTGAAATAGAGATTCACAGGGAGTAGCTAGAAATGTACCAGGAGGGTCCCTGGGCCCAAAGGGGCCACATTTTTGATGCTCCTAGAACAATGTCATAGCCATTGAATAGAATAATGAAAAGTGGCGCTGGTACCACCTGCAGAGCTTGCTGTGACTTCACCAGTTTTACAGGCGCCCATGTGTGTATGCGTGTGCACATGTGTGTACACACACACGTGTGCACTTAGTTCTGTGCAGTCTTACTGTGTAGAGCTAGAGGACCCACCACAGTCACACAACTGCTGTTGCCACCAAGGGGTGCCCTCCAGGGAAGCATTTATTTTTCAAAACAGAAATAGCTTTTTCTCTTCAGATTTAAAAAGAAATCACACACAGAAGAGTTGGGAAGGACATTTGCCGCGTGCCCTCAGCCATGGGCATGTTGCCCTTTTTTATACCGTCCGAGTTTGGTTTTTATCGTGGGCACTTTCTTTTTTAAAAAACAGCAGAACTTTTTTTTTTCCCATCGCTTGACATCTGTCACCCAGATGCCCTGCTGCTGACGCTGGGGAACATCTCTCCAGGCCTCTTTCTAGGTTGGCTCAGGCGCTCGCCCCTCTTAGAAGGCATTTTCCGAAGGAACCACTATTCTGACGGCCCCCCTGGCTCATGTTAAAGGGCTTTGTAGGCGAGGGTCTCATGGGAGGTGGGATCAGTGAGCCTTGGGGCGCTCGGCTTCTCCGAGGCTCTGAATGGAGGGTCGCGCTGGATCGGAGAAGTCATAGTCTCCGTCTGCTTCTTGCCTGCCCACTCGGCTTTGACACCCAGCCTCTCCACACTGCCCCCTTGGGTGGCGTGGTCTCATGGTCATGGATCTGGTCTCTTTCTTGAAAAGCACCAGAGTGTGGGGGCTCTCTGGCTGGCAGCTCCCTGAATGCAGGCAGGACTCTGGCATCTTCCCTGTCAGTGCCTCTAACCACCAAGTGCAGTGCTGACCACCTACCCTCCTGTGTGGGCCCGCCGCCTGGCCTTCGACACATCATCTCTGGGAATCCTCCAAGCAACTGGCTGGGAAGATGTTCTCCAATAAGAGGAGGGAGGCTCAGAGAGGTCAGATGCAGCCAGTCACCGGCTGATGGCTGACGCGGCGCAGTAGGGACCAGTCACGCCTCCCCCCTCCAGGGGCTGCCTTTAACCCAGGACTCTTGGATTCTCTTCTAGGTGAGCCCAGGCCAGTATGGGGGAGCCCAGGGACCTTTGCCCTCACCTGGACTCAATTGGGGAGGTGACCAAAGAAGACTTGCTGCTCAAATCTAAGGTAAAGGGCCAGGCCCCTTGGGGCTGAGATCCACACCCAGGGCCTGCGGTGCAAAAGTTTCTGAAGCAGGGGAACAGCTGGCTCCCGCATAATCTCTGCTTCACCTTTTGTGTAAAGCACAGCAGGCATCTGTGGGAGGCTTGCTCCCAGGCTGTGGCCTAAGAGCCATTACTGATGGTTTAAAGCAGCCCTCTGGGAGCCACTAACTAATGGGCCTGCCCATTAGCTGGTGGGGCCGAGGCACAGAGCCTTACTGAGACTGGGGCTGAGTCATGCCAGAGCTGTCCCTGGGCATGAATGTGACCTGAGGGAGCACGGGGAGGCTCAAAGCAAGAAGCGGGCCTCTTTGAATGAGGAAGGTGCAGTGTTGTCTTTTTTGCTCAATTAAAGGTTTTTGAATAGGTAACACTTTCCCATGGGTTAAAACTGAAACAGCATTAGATGATAAATATTAACAAGTGCCCCTCCCGGCTGGTGCCTGTCCTCTGATCCCACCCTCCAGTCACTCCTAACATTAGTTTCTTCTGTATCTTTTCTTTCTTTTTTTTTTTTTTAAAAGATTTATTTATTTATTTATACAAGCACTGGGTACAGTCAGAAGTGTGGGAGGGTGAGAGAATTCACCAGAGCCAGAGTGGGGAGCAGAACAGACAGACTGACTGAAATACACTGCTGAGAGGAGCAGCGGGTGTGGCAGGAGAGGTCTGCGCGCCATGTGGGACCCTCACCGGCGGCCGGGGATCGAACCGGTGCAGCAGAGGCTGCGGGCAGCTTCGCAGCCCAGCGCTCAACCGCTGCGCCACCAGGGGAGGCCCCTCTTCTGTGTCTTTTCAGAGTTTCCTTAGGTGAATAGATGCAAATGTACTTGTTTTTCATTGCCCCTGTATGTATGTAAGTGGTAGCTGCTGGTGGCCCTTCTGTAACTTGCTTCACTCACATGACAGCGTGTCTTGACGCTCGCGCCACATAGCACATGACACGCATTCTTTGGTTGTCTGGAAGTCGCGTCTCTTTCATTGTGTGGATCTTTCCCTCATCCTCTCTGGGTGGACACCACGGCTCTTTGCAGCCTCTTTCTGGTGCAGAGATGCTGCTGTGAGTGGGCTGGGAGGGATGGCCCTGTGATGTGGACAGGCAGGTAAGGGCTGCACTCCCAGCAGTGGAGTCCTGGGCCAGAGGCCTGGCACACCTGGCTCTTCCTTCCAGCCGCCTTGGGGTGCTTGTTCAGCCCTCTGCACCAGCAGGTTCTAGGCGGCCGCCCCAGCTGATTTAGTCTGGGCCTGCCTGAGGGAGTGGTTCTTCAAAGGAACGGGGGCTGCTTTTGAAGTAGTTTGGCTGCTAGAAGTGGGGCAGAGCCAGGTGCTGGTGTGCTCGCCCATGGAATGCTGGGCTTCTGGAACAGGTGAGACACACCAGGAAGATTTCCCTTCCAGAGGGCTCAGAAACTAGGCTGATCCAAGATTAGGAAGAGGAGATGAAGGAGGTGGGGAGAAAGAGAAAGAACTGGGAGACTGGGGCTGGAACAAGGTGGGCTTTGCCAGTGTCAGTGCTTCTAGGGCAGCAAGAGCCTTCAGAGCCTCCAGGCCTGCGTTTCACAGTGTGTTGGCTGTGCCTCTCTGAGCATCTGGAAATCGACAGAAGGCGTGGGCCTTGTTAACAGTGCCCGAAGTGGCCAGGGTATAAACAGGTGGTTCATGTGAACTGTAGTGAAAGTGTCGATGACAGAGTTTATTAAATCATCAAGGCGGGCTTTAAGCCTGTGAAATAGTCTGACAGATTCTCCTACAGTCCCCAGTTTGAGTCCAGCTTCTGTGCCTTTTACAGAGTCGCATGCGTGCAGAAGCAGCACAGGGACAGTGAGTCATTGATGCCAAAATGTAATTATCGCTGACAGGTTTTGGTCCATAGGTTTAGATCTTTTGATTTCCCAAGTTACCTTGATCTAAAGAAATGTCGACGTCACCTACGCACAGAGGAGGGCAAATGCCAGGATCAAATCATGACCCTGACTTCCAAAGCATTGGTAGTGGGGACACAAAGGCCAGGTATCTGTCGTCCACATCTTCTTTGACTGACTTCTTTGGTCATAAGCAGGGTCGTTTCTGCAGGCACCAGATTCCTGCCTGCTGCTTCACAGAGCAGGACGGAGCCCACACTGCCTTCCAGCTGCTGCTAGGCCAGGGAATGGGATCCCCGATCCTTCACACTAAGTTCACTCTCCCGATGGAGGAAATGCAAATGGCTGAGGAAGGTTAGGAAAGAGGGGAAAAAAGATGCTTAAGTTCACTGGTGGCTCAGGATGCGGCTAATGAAATCAAGTTGATAGCATCTCCAGGCGGGCCTGTCACGGAGCTGCTCCTTGAGGGCCGCTGGAGCAAGGGGGAGGGAGCCCCGTACCTCAGAGTGGGGCAGAAAGCACCATAATCCTCAGAGTCCACCTCTGGGAGTTTACCTTGTAGCCATCAGTACCACTCAGGAAGGCACAAAAACAGCAGATTTATAGCAATGGTTGTGAAAGGGAAAAAGCTGGTGGCAGTTTGAATATTCATCAAAAAGAAAATGGGCAAATAGGTTGTGATGTGACCAACAAGGCACAGTCCCTGTGTGCTACAGTAATGGCAACAGAGGGCAGCACTCCGAGTCCGTCTCCCCACCACTGGAGGCATGTTGGGCATTGTAGAAGCGTAGTTGGGCACTGCTAGGCTAGCTGTGCATGGACATTATTCAGGGTACGGATGAGGTTGTTACAAGAGACCCCGAAATAAGTGGTTCAAATGACTGTAGTTTAATTTCCTCTCACAGAACAGTCCAGAGGTAGGTTGGATGGTAGGTGGCTCTGCCATTCTCGCCATGTGGCTCTCACCCCTGAGTCCAAGGTGGATGCCCCAGCTCCTGCCGCCACAGCTGCACACTACCTAACGGGAGGGGAGAAAGTGCAAGGGTAGTAGTGCAGGACCAGCCAGCACTGGCCCCCCCTGTCATGCCATCAACCGGACCACCATCCTTGATAGTGGTGTCATCCCCTTTGGTAGAACTGAGCCCCGTCATCGCAGCGGGGGGCGGGAAGCAGCCTGGCTGGCCATGTGCTCGGCCCAGAGCCATGCATCCTGTCAGGAAAACCAGAAAAGGGAGACACTGTCAGACAGGAGGCAGCCTCTGTTCCCAGATCACCAGAAACCTAAGTGTTTCTTGTGGGCAGCAAATACAGTGAATCCTAATTTGTACCAGGCTCTGTGAAGTCACGGGGGCAGGCAAGACAGCCTCTCGCTCTCTCATGCAGCCTGCACTCGGGGCGGGTGGCTTTAATGCCTGCAACAGAGAAGGAGCGGGTAGTGTGAGGAGAAACTCTAAGGGTGCACCCTGTTTACTTAAGTTTTGTTTATTGATACTTTGTAGGTCTTACCTGATCACACTTGAGAATGTTTTTGTGGGCACAGAATAGAAAACAGCCCGCTGTACAGGAAAGGTGCCCTGTGCGAACTGGAGGCCTTTCCAAGCTCGGGCTCCGCGAGCGCCTCCCAGGCCCCTGACGTTTTGCTCTCCTCCCTCATCTCACGCAGGGGACCTGCCAGTCATGCGGCGTTACCGGGCCGAACCTGTGGGCCTGTCTCCAGGTAAAAGCACCATTGCAGCCGTTTGGCTGGTTACCCAGGCAGGAGCTCGGCCTGCATGTCTTGGGTGTGGAGCCCTAGCCAGGAGGGTGCCCGGGTCAGCTAGTCCCTGGGCCGGCATTAGAAATAGCCAGAGGAGAAGGCCACTGGGAAGATGCTGGCTCAGGAGATCCCATCACACTACAGGCAGGACTCCAGAGCCGCCGGGTGCATGCAGCATGTCTCCGAGCCCGGGAACCACTACCCAGCAGCCTTCTGTCCCGGGGCCAGCCGGGGCTACATCCCTGGCTCTCACAGGAGATGCTGCCTGTGTGGATGCAACCCAGTAAACTCAGACCAGGCGCGATAGTTATTGCTCACTGGAGGGCTCACGGCGGCGCAGCGAAATGTGACTCTTTCTACTGAACGGTGGCATTTGGGATCATTTTCTTTTAACTTTATGGTCTTTTCCAAAATTTCTGCAGTTAAGTATTGGGTTTTATAGTCAGGAAAAATGACTGCAACTCAAAATTTCTTTTAAAAAAAAAAAAAGATTTATTTATTTATGCATGCAAGGATGGGGGGTCTAGACCAGAGGTGCAGGGGTGAGAGGACTCACCAGAGACAGAGTGGGGAGCAGAGCAGGCAGATTGACTGAAATACACTGCTGAGGGGAGCAGCGGGGAGACAGGAGAGGTCTGCTGCGCCGTGTGGGTCAGCTCCCTGCCTAGGGATCGAGCTTAGGCCTCAGTGGCTGGGGATAACTTGATAGTACTGAAACTTTACCCCTGCACCACCAAGGAGGCATAACTTGGAATTTCTTTAAAAACAAACACACAAATAGAATAAGCTAGCCAGCCCGAGGGTGTAAGGACCTCACAGTTCAAGTCTCTTGGCAAAAGAGCTGGGGCTCCCACACCCTCTGACCTGTCACTTGTGGTAGAGGCTGCTGCCAGACACCATCTGGGCCTCCAGGGGACAGTAAGAGGCACAAGACGTGGTCCTACTTGTGGGAGCCCACAGTCCCCGCAAGAGACAGACAGAGAAAACTCATGCAGAAAATGACGCAGCCCTCATGACTCAGCAAAGGTCATTTCCTCAAAGGCCCTTCCTTGCCTGGGCCACAGACCACCTGTGGAAATGGCCCCTGCTGGTGGGGAGGAGGGGCGCACTGGGGAGGCGCTTGAGCTGGGCCTTGGAGGATGGACAGGTTTGAGATGGAAAGTATAAGGCTAATGGCAGGGGCTCCTCCCATCTCCTCCCCACATGGGGCACTCCCCAAGTGGGTCAGCCATGGGCCTCAATAGCCTCTGCCCATTCAGTTCTCCCCACTAGAAAATGGCCATGAGGCCCAGCCTTCCCCACAAAAGTGTGGTCCAGATAACGGCCCTTCAGGAAGTGGGGTTTTAGGGGCCAGGGTCTGGGTGGCCGAGGTCCATCACAGCTCTGCCTACACTGCTTGCAGGAACTCAGTAGCCTGGGCATCCTGCCTGTCTCACTCCAAGGGCAGAGGCAGCTTTTATAGTGGCCCTTGCCCGATGTGAACGTAAGCTCAATCTCAAGCCCCTGTGGATCCTATTGGGTAGAGATGGGGCACTCGCTCCTGGCACTGCCCACCGGGCCAGCCCCATCCACTTCCTCCCTCTCCCCAGGTCTCCTGCCCCTATGTTGGCTGTGGAGAATCCTTCGCCGACCACAGCACCATTCACGCACAGGTGAGTGTGGTGGCCAGAAGCGCTGGCTCTGCCAGGGTGCAGCCCCAGCCTGCAGCCGCGCTGACCTCACGGAGCCTTGGTGCTGGTGCTGTGTGTGTGACAGTCACAGCGGGCTTGCTGCAGGTGGAGCCCTCAGCACAGTCCAGCACTTGGCAGCCCTTGGCGGGGTGGGGGTGGGGGGAAAGAGCCTCTGTGCTGCCGGGTCTTTTACTGAGAGTCCAGGGGCCCTCGGCAGACAGGCACCAGATAGGCCCATGTCTCCTTGTCCTTACTTGGGATTTTGTCTTCCAGGCAAAAAAACACAACCTGACTGTGAACCTGACTACCTTCCGCGTGTGGTGCTACGCCTGTGAGAAGGAGGTGTTCCTGGAGCAGCGGCTGGCGCCCCACCCACCAGGACCCTCGCCCAAGTTCTCAGAACAGGTCAGGGGTACCATGTTGGGTTGGTGTGACAGTTGTTGAGGGTGGGCACTGTGACCCCAGCGTCCGTGGGACCCGGGCTGGCGGGGCCCGGATGGCATCTGCCCCTGGCCAGTGTCCCCAGGTGGCTCTGAGGAGCTCTTGTCAGCAGATGCCCCCTGAGGCCCATCCACATGCCAAGACCCCGGGGTGGGGGGTGACGAGACACCAAGGTGACTGAGTAGGGCCTCCCTTGGGGAGCTTGCAGGGGGGAGGCCAGGTGTAAGTGCGGGGTTGGGACTGGGGCCTGTGGGGAGCCTGGACACCCCAGGTCTAAGACACTTCCCAAGGGCATCACAAGTGGTCCCCGCAGCTCACTTCTAGAGCACCCTAATACACCTGAAATAGAAGACAGCTGCAGTAGAGGCGCGTTGTTTGCCTATTGTTTTCCTTTGTTTCCATTTTTCTCTAACTTATTACCAAAAAGAATGATGAGGATTCATTATTGCAAACATAATCCCAATCTAGGAGTTCCAGGGTGAGGACACCAATGTCACCCCTTTACATAGAGTCCTCTGCTCTGGACTGGGGGGCACCGCCCCTCTCCTCTTTCCACCATGATTCCTCACTCTGAGCCCTTAACAGGACCCCCCACCACACCCCCACCCTCTGAAAGCCGTCCCTATTGCCGTGGCTGACGAAGGGGAGTCTGAATCAGAAGATGATGACCTGAAACCTCGAGGTAAGGGGCCCCCAGAATAGTGGTGGGGGCACTTGTGGGTCCCATCAGGGGCTTCAGTGGCTGCTGTGACAACGTGGTGGCTGCCCTTGGAGTGCCAGCTGCCCAGGCAAGTCCCAGAACCATGGCCCCCAACATCTCGCTCGCCGCATGGTCCAGGGCAGTCCAGCCCCTGCGCCCTGGCCTCCTGCCTGGACCATGCACATGGTGGGCCGGGCTGGGTGGAGGCAGAGGAGTGTTTGATGCACTCAGGTCACTGTGGCCATTTGAGCCTCAGCCACATTCACTTAGGGTTAGGTTCCTGCAGCCAGCCGGGGCCACCTTGCGCCGGGTCTGGGGGCTTGGGAGCTGCAGCTCCTCTCTAGGTGTGAATCAGGAGCGTCCTTGCCAACTCCCTCCTCATGTGCTTTGGCTTCTAGGCCTCACGGGCATGAAGAACCTGGGAAACTCCTGCTACATGAATGCGGCCCTGCAGGCCCTGTCCAACTGGTAGGTTGTCACCGTGTCTGGGAGGTGGGGGAGCGCGCCCTGTCCCTGGCAGAGCCCTGAACCAGCTGCATCAGCCCCTGGGCTGTGCTGTGGGTGTGCGTGGACGCCTCTGCAGGGGTGCGCACCAGAATCCCTGAAACTTACATGCCCTTCAACCCAGCAATCCGTCCTTCTGGAATTTCCCCTGAGCACATAACCAGAGAGGTTGAAAAAGTTTTCTGTACCAGGATGTCTGTCATGCTGTTGGCTTTGGTGCACCGAGCCTGAATTCCCAGGAGGCTGGCCTTATGTTGCGTGCAGGAGTAAAGGGTGCAGGGAAGTGCTGAAGGAAACCCGACAGGGTGACAGTGCACTAAATGGGACAAGGCGGTTACAGAGCTGTGGTGCCGCCCTGATTTAGGGAAAAGATTAATTTCCATTCAGGATCGGCCGTCAGGTCTCAGAGTCCCTCCTGGCTCGGGATCCGTGTGTGTCTGTAGGTGAGCGGGAGGGCTGAGGGGCGTCTGCATATCTGGAATCTGCCCAGGTCTTCAGAGTGTCCTCACGTGGCAGGATCACGGTTGATTATTACAGTCTGCTTGTCTGCATTTTCTACTTTTTCCACCAGGAAGGTGTATTTGCTATGTGATAAGTTTTAGAACTAGGTGAGAAAGGGGAGGGGACTCGCCCTTGGACCTGGGCAGTTCCCACGGAGCAGGCTGGCCGAGGCACAGGTGGTAGTCTCCCTTCATGCACCAGTCCCCGGGCCACAGGCCCGAGGGGGGAAGCTCCTCCCGCCCGGAGGCTGGTAGTTTCCCTGGGCCACCATCACAGGGAGCACAGACAGGGCGGCCTCAACAGCGGTTTATTCTCCCACAGTTCTGGAGCCCGGAAGGCCGAGGTCAAGGCGTCTACGGGGGTGGTTTCTCCTGAGACCTCTCCCCTGGGCTTGTGGACGGGTTTTCACGTCATTGTCCCTACGTGCATGTCCATGGCCAGATTTCCTCTTCTTACAAGGGACCAATCCTATTAGATTAGGGCCCCCCCGAGATCTCATTTTCACTTAATTACCTCTTTACAGACCCTGACTGCAAATTCAGTCACATTCTGAGGTCTCTAACGTGAATTTGGGGGGCACAGTACTGTGGGATACGCTGAAGGAATCCAGACATCTGGATTCCCATACTGTGGGATCCAGACATCTGCGGGCGTTTCTGGCTCCAGGGGGTCCCCTGTGTACCCCCAGATGTTACACCTCTACCCTCCACCTAGCCCTTTCTGAACGCTGCCGTCTCCTCTGTTCTCTCCTGACCGGGCTCACTCCGCCGCCCCCCAGCCCTCCGCTGACTCAGTTCTTCTTGGAGTGTGGTGGCCTGGTGCGCACGGATAAGAAGCCAGCCCTGTGCAAGAGCTACCAGAAGCTGGTCTCCGAGGTCTGGCACCGGAAACGGTGAGCAGCCAAGCCCCTCCGCAGCTGCGGGAGGATGGGTGCTTTTCGCTTGCCCCCTCAATCGAGCCCGGCCACGCTTTGCCCGGACGGTGCTCACAGGAGCCCTGCAAGGTTGCGTCTTACACTTCGGGGAAACTGAGACCCAGAGAGATTGAGATCCCTGCTTAAACTCACGCAGTGGTGCAAGGTAGAGAATTTGGACCTGGCAGTGATCTTGGCTGGCAGCCGCGCCTGCAGACATGCATGGTGACCACGCCGGGGCCTTGCTGGCGGTGCACCTGGGCACTCTCCCTAGCGGCGGCGGTGCTGACGGGCCGGGGCTTTAGCTCCGTGTGAAATGAACTTAAAGGCCAGAAGCTTGGGTTAGGTCCAGGAAAAGTTAAAACTGGGTATAATTTATGATGGGTACGTGCAGATATATTAAGTGTAAACGATTATAACACATTGTCTTGCTGTTTAATTGCAGCTCTGTAAGGAGCCACGTCTGTGTGTTTGCGTCTGTGTATTTCCATGGAAAAGTCTGGATACCTTAATGGTAGCTCTTGCTGGGAAGTGCTGCTAGTGGTGATGCCGCTTTGTTGGGCATCTCTGGAAGTTTAGATTTTTCAACAATGAGCATGTGTTACTTTTGAAATGAGAAAAAGTGTAATATTTTAGAATGAAACAGTTTTAAAGTGGGCTTGTCCTGGGCTAGCGGGAAGTGATGCCATCTCAGCCAAAGCTCTGCCCGGTTGAGTCACAGCTGACCTTTCCCCTCTTGCCGTAGCAGTGCGCATGCCCGCCTGGGCTCCTGGCACTCTCAGTCTGGCCCATACTGCTGGCGGCCGCCGCCCTGGGAGGAGGGAGGCCCTCGGCAGGGCGCCTGCGCTAATGGTCTCGTCTTCCTACAGCCCAAGCTATGTGGTGCCCACCAGCCTATCCCATGGGATCAAGTTGGTCAACCCGATGTTCCGAGGCTATGCCCAGCAGGTAGGCCATGCAGGCTGCCCCAGGACACCCAGGGCCACTACCGAACAGGCCTGGCTTTGAACCCAAAACTGGCGTGGGGAATCGTGACAGCAGCTGAGTGTTGTGAGGTATCCTCTTGCGACCTGAGTCCTTTGTGTGCGAGAACATGGAGCCTCCCAGCCCCACTTGGCAGATGGGGAGACAGGCTCAGCGGATTAGGTCCCTGGCCTGGTCACTCAGCTGCTTCATCGCAGAGGGAGATGTTTGCTGCAGCTGACCCCAGGGTCTGTGCATCTCAGCGCTGCATTCCACCCACACATGGTTTCTCATTCCCTGAACCATTGGGGCATGTCACTCGGGAAACCTTTTAATGATAAGTGTCTTTAAAATCTAGAGAACCCCTTTTGAAGCCAAGGCTGCCTTTCTATTGTGTAGACATGGGACCACAGCAAAGCAGAGCACTGTGTGTGTTTAGCCCCCTCAAGGGTGGTTCCGTGGTCCTGTCTCTGACCCAGATGGCTGTGTGGCTTAGGGTTCCTCCACCGGGCTGTGGGTGCAGCTGGACCTCTCTGGGTGGCTGTTTCTACTGCCTGGGGGCGAGGTCACTCCAGGGATGCTGTTAGCCCCACACTTACTAAACAGTCTCTGCCACCAAGCGGGCCCCATCCCAGGGGAGCAGCTTGGCACAGGCAGGTCCTGCTCCTCTCTCAGGTTCCACAGCATGTAGTGGCAGGGGGGGAGTGCAGGCCGTGGCTGGACCATCCCTCCGTGCAGTGTCTCATCTGTGCGAGGCACCCTGCCAGGCCTGGGCTTCTCCGTGCGGACACTGTGGATAGGACCCGGTATCCATCGGGACCCCCGAAATATCCTCTCTGGATCCTGGGCCTTTGAGTCTGAGGTGTGGATGCAGCTGTGGGTTTCTGTGGGCAAAGCATGAGGGCCTTGGATGCTGCTGCTATGCTTCCACGTTGCTGGACAGGTAGTGGACACAGAGCCCCTTTGTTAAAGGGAAGAATCAGAAAAGGAAGTTGATGGCTTACTGAAGGCCTGTTTCTTAAAAGAACTTTCCAGACACGGGGCACACATCTCTTCCTCCTCTCCCCACTGAAGATCAGCCAGCAGCTCATTTCTCTGATCTGAATATTTGACACTTGGCTAAGGAAATCCATCCAGAGTCCCATCCTCCTTCCAGTAGAACTGAGGGAACAAGGACTCTGGGGTTCTTGGCTGGGTCTGGCTACAGCACAGCCCCTGCCTCTCATGATTGGGAGCGGGGCCCAGGGCTGAGTGGCCGGGCACTGAGCAGCCCTGCTGTGGAGGAGGGCCGCCACCATGTCCTCTGACCTACTGCACCTCCCGTGTGCCAGTTCTCAGCTGGGCCAGAGGCCTCAGCACCCTGGCTTCCTGCTGGCTTGGCCAGCTGGTCCCAGGGAAGCCTGAGTGACAGTGTCACTGCTGTGACTGGAGCCTCAGCCAGCCTGCAATGGCAGCTTGGTGCAAGGCATGCCCGGACTGGCAGGAAGGTGGGAGGCACAGGGCTACAGGTTGTGTCGTGGGAAGGTGTGGGCACTGGTAGGACTGGGAGAGCAAGAGGCCTGCGGGAAGACCAAGTGTATAGGCGGCCTGGCCTGCCAGGGGGCAGTGTTCCCACGGCACCCAGCCAGGTGCTCCAGGTGCACACAACACTGGTGTTGCTCACTTTGGTCTTTCCACGTGCTCCGTGCCCACCCACTCACCCGAGGTGGCGGCAGTGCTGCTGGTGGCGCAGAGCAGAGCAGGGTCCGATAGACTTGGGGCAGGAGTTCTCGGCTCTGCCTCATCACAGCTGCCTGGTCCAGAGGGTCCCTCGGCCTCTGAGCCTCAGCATCCTCAGCACAGCAGAGACTGGGGCTGAGTGGCCAGGAGACCGCCGCGAGGAGGTAGCAGTGTGTCTGCTCAGGCGCCTTGGAGGACCCTCCAGTGACGCAGCTGGCATCCTGGTCAGCAGAAGCAGGGGGTGCGTGGCCAAGTCCTGCCCTCCCCCGGTGCCCTGGCAGCCCTGCTGATGCAGCCCCCATTCCAGGACACCCAGGAGTTCCTGCGCTGCCTGATGGACCAGCTGCATGAGGAGCTCAAGGAGCCTGTGGTGGCGGCAGCCATGGCGCTGGCAGAGTCCCGGGACTCGGACTCGAGTGACACAGATGAGAAGCGGGAGGGTGACCGGAGCCCATCAGAGGACGAGTTCCTGTCCTGCGACTCGAGCAGTGACCGGGGGGAGGGCGACGGGCAGGGCCGCAGTGGGGGTGGCTCGCCGGCTGAGACGGAGCTGCTGATCCCGGACGAGGTGGGCCGCGCCATCTCCGAGAAGGAGCGCATGAAGGACCGCAAGTTCTCCTGGGGCCAGCAGCGCGCCAACTCCGAGCAGATGGACGAGGACGCTGACGTGGACACCACCATGGCCGCCCTGGACCAGCCCGTGGAGGCTCAGCCACCATCCCCCCAGTCCACCAGCCCCTGCCGGACGCCAGGTACCCGTCTGGGACCCACAGCACAGTTTGTCCCACACTGTGTCAAGTAGCCCACTAGGCTCGCCGACCCACCCTCGGGGTGCCCACCCAGGCTCAACGTCGGAGCCAGGACTCGCTTAGTTAGCGAGGCTGGTTGCGGTCCAGAGCCACCCTGGGGTGAGCGCAGGCAGAGGAGAAGACACAGTGGGCTCTCGCCTCTGTCGCAGCCTTGTCCCTTCTGCCCCCAGAGCCGGACAACGAGGCCTACATGCGCTGCGCCTCTCGCCCCTGCAGCCCTGTCCACCACCACCATGAGGGCCATGCCAAGCTGGCCAGCAGCCCTCCTCGCGCCAGCCCCGTGCGGATGGGGCCGTCATACGTGCTCAAGAAAGGTTCGGAGGAGTGGGTGGGAAGGGCGCATCGGGGCTGGGCCGGGGGGATATGCAGTCTTGGGGCTGAGTGCGGGATTCCTGCCTGGGGCTGCCACCCCAGTGCTGGCCGTGGGGCGGGGCCACGCGCTGTGACTCCCCCTGAGAGGGGAAGGGAAATGCAGTCACACGATGTGTGTGGCCGTGACCGTGCCCCACTGCCCCAGGTAGGCCTGTGGGCGCTGGGCCTAGTCTGTGCTGTGTCCTCAGCCCAGGTGCTGAGTGCTGGCAGCCGGAGGCGAAAGGAGCAACACTACCGCAGTGTCATCTCCGACATCTTCGACGGCTCCATCCTCAGCCTCGTGCAGTGTCTCACCTGTGACCGGGTCAGTTCTCCAGGAGGATCCTGGTTCTGGGGCTCCCGTGTCCCAGGCTTGGGGACAAGGCCCTCTGCCCTCACCTGCCCTCTAGTGACTGGGGTACAGATATTGCACCATCTGGGCAAGGCAGCTCCGGGAGGTGGAGACCCAGGCTGACCTTCGCCTCCACAGGTGTCTTCCACAGTAGAGACTTTCCAGGACCTGTCACTGCCCATTCCTGGCAAGGAGGACCTGGCCAAGCTCCACTCGGCCATCTACCAGAATGCTCCAGCCAAGCCAGGTGCCTGCGGGGACAGCTCTGCTGCCCAGGGCTGGCTGGCCTTCATCGTGGAGTACATCCGCCGGTAGGCCTGCCCTCCTGCCCGCCGGGACGTGCTGGCCTTCCTGGGACTCGCAGCCTGGAGGGCTGGCGGGACTGAGGGCAGAGTCTGGGAGGGAGCTTGAGTGGAGGGTGCTCAGGAGTTAGCTAAGCGGGTGGGGGATGACCTGGGTTGGGGCTGACTGGGCAGCAACTGGATCCAGCACCTCCCTCCCCTTACCCACTGTCCAACAACATGCAGGGCCCTGCTTTACCTGCCTGACCTCAGGACCCCACAGCCAGCCCAGGGAGGGGCCAGTGTGAGTGGGAGCCCTTCACAGATGAGAAACACAAGGTTGGGAGAGATGATGTCACCTCTAAGGACATGGAGCTGGTGGCTCCAGGTGTCTGGCTCAGACCTCTGTCCGTACCTCTGTCCATTCCACCCTCTCTGGGTCTGGACAGACTTCAGCCCCAAAGCCCCCCAAGTCTATTCTTGCCTAGCCTTGTCAGCACCCAGCCAGAATGCCGGCCAAGCCAGGCGACTGCAGGGACAGCTCTGCTGCCCAGGGCTGGCTGATATGATTAAGGGGGACGCCTGCCAGCAGGTCTGCCTTCCCACCTGCCAGGACACTGGCCTTCCTGGGGCTCCACAGTTCTTTGTCTCTACAGGTTCGTGGTATCCTGTACCCCCAGCTGGTTTTGGGGGCCGGTCGTCACACTGGAAGACTGCCTTGCTGCCTTCTTTGCTGCTGATGAGCTGAAGGGTGAGTGGACTGGCCTGGCTAGGGTGGGGTGCAGGGTTTGGTGGGTGTCTGTGCAGAGCCCCACTGACCTCAGATCAGCATACAGGTCAAGGTTTTGGGGACTCACTGACAGACATTGCTTCCAGAGTCGCACATGTTACTCCCCACCTCTCCAGCTGGGCCTATCCTCCTGAGCATGCCACCTTGTAGCTCTTTGGCTTTGCTTATTTTTATCTTTTACGCATTTGGTGGTTAAAAAGGATTTCATGCTTTAGTTTTGCATTTCCTCAATTATTAAAGCTCCAGCATTGCTGCATAAGTGTATTGGCTGTTTATATTTCTTGGTAGGAAATTTCCCATTCCTGTGCTTTTTGTATTTTCTTGTGTTTGGGATCTAATGAGATCTTTTTCAAAGGGATTTTTTTACTGAGGTAAAATACACATAAGCTAGCATTTGCCACCGTAGCCATCTGACTATGTTCAGATGGTCACACACGGTTGTGCGAACAATCTCCAAAAAACAGTTCATTTTGCAAAACAGAAACTCCTATTAAGCAGCAGCTCCCAGGCCTCCCCAGTGACGCAGCGGTTGAGCGCTGGGTTGCGAAGCTGCCCGCAGCCTCTGCAGCGCTGGTTTGATCCTGGGCCACTGGGCGAGGGTCCCACATGGCACACAAACCTCTCCTGCCGCCCGCTGCTCCCCTCAGCAGTGTACTTCGTCAGTCTGCCTGCTCTGCTCCCCGCTCTGGCTCTGGTGATTCTCTCACCCTCCCGCACTTCTGACTGTACCCAGTGCTTGTATAAATAAATAAATACCTCTTTAAAAAAAAAATAAGCAGCAGCTCCCTCCACCTGCCCCAGCAGTTCCGGTGGACACTCTGTATCAATGACTTACCTCTCCAAGGCCTTCTTATAAGCACCATGATAGACTATGTGTCCTTCCATGTCTGGTGTATTTCACTTGGCATAATGTCCTCAGGGCCCAAAGTGGATGGCATCGAAGGCTGGGTACCATGTCTTTGTGTGGCTAGACCAGGTTTTGTTGGCCCAGCTGTGGGGCGGTGGGCGCTCTTGCTGGTAGCTGTCACGGGTGATGCTGTGAGCGGGGGGTGCAGATACCTCCCCAAGTCCCTGCTGTGTGTACTTTTGGATCTCTCCCCACAGGCGGGATCGCTGGTTCCAAGGGATGTTCTGTTTTTAACATTTTGAGGAACTCTTTTACCATTTCCCATAGCATTTGCACCATTTTCCAGTGTCCTCAATGGCTCACAGTTGTTCCTGTCCACGCCACGTGGGTTATTCTGGTTTCCCCATGGCAGCCATCCTGGGGGCGTGCGGTACTATCTGGTCTCCCTGTGGTTTTGACTTACATCCCCTGCTGTTTGGGCACTGAGCAGCTGTGCCTGCAGCCATTTGTTTATCTTAGAGAAATGTCTGTTCAAGTCCTTTGCCCATTTTTGTTGTTGTTGTTTTAATTTTTTTTAATTTATATACATTTTAAATCATTGTTCACTTTTAAACAATATTTGCTTTCCCCCCCAGGGTAGTCCCCATAGAATTTCCTCCACCAGTGCACCCGTGCACCATCACCTCAGTCCCCTGTGCTCCTCCCTCCTTCCCTCGGATCCCGCTCCCGCCTCCTCCCCTGCAGGATGTCTCTGGTTTATAATTGTCTGTCTGTTTTTGTTGTCTTGTGTTGTGTTTTGTACTGTTATTATTTTTCTCCTCTGATGTCTTTTGGTTCCCCTGTATTCCTCCTATAACCATCTGATATTTTTCTTTTTCCTTCTGACTTACCTCACTGAGCATAATTTGCACACCATACAACTGATAAGGGACTGATCACAAAGATACATAAAGAACTCACACGACTCCACAAAAACAAAGTAAACAATCCAGTCAAGAAATGGGCAGAAAAACTTAAAAGACATTTCTCCAAAGAGGAAATGCAAATGGCCAACAGGCATATGAAAAAATGTTCAACATCCCGTATAATCAGGGAAATGCAAATCAAAACCACACTGAGATACCAGCTTGCACCAGTGAAAATGGCACATATCAAAAAACTAGCACCACAAATGTTGGTGAGGATGTGGAGAAAAAGGAGCTCTCGGGCACTGCTGCTGGGAGTGCAAACTGGTCCTTTGCCCCTTTTTTTAAATGGGGTTATGGGGCGGGAGGGTTGCTGCTATTATTTACTTGTCTGAGTTCTTTCTTTATTCTAATTATTGAGCCTTTATCAGATCTGCCGTTTGTAGATGTTCTCCTAAGCCATGGGCCACCAGCTTTTGTGCTGTGTTCCCGGGTCCACCAGGGCTTGAAGCTCTGATGGCGCCGTCAGTTGTGCTGCTGTGTTGCCCAGGCCTAGCGTCAGGCCCGAAGAGCCAGGCCCAGCACCGGATGTCCCCCTCTGTTTTCTTCTAGGAGCTGCACAGTGTGGCTCTCATTCTCCCTTTGGTCCCTTTGGTGGTGATTTTTGCAAATGTTTGTAAGCTAAGGGGGACGGGCTTACGCACGAAAGCTTTTAATATGTTTTCTGTCTTTAATGTTGCAGCCTCCCCTCCATTTCTCCTTTTTTATTTTGTTTTTGGTGCTGTCTATACAGGAGTTTTAAAAGTGTTTCTAGGGTCAGACATGTTCATTTTCTGCTTCGTGTGGATTCCATCACTGGGCCTTCCCTCTGCCTTTGTTTTGTTTCCTTTTCCTCCTCCCCAGCTTTGTTGAGATGTGCCATTGTGGCAGTTTAAGGGGCACATAGGGTATGTGGATCTGATAAGTAAGTGTATGTGTCTCAGAATGACCCCCGCGCTTAGTCACATAGTGTGTATAGTAAAAACATTAGTGATTTTGTGCACTATATGCCCAGAACTCACTATCTTTTTAGCTGGAAGTTTCTACCCTTTCACCAGTGTCTCCATTTTGGCATTTTTAGATTCCACATGTAAGTGAGATCCCATAGTGTCTTCCTTTCTCTGCCATTATGTCACTTCCATAATGCCCTCAAGGTTCATCCATGTCACAAATGGCAGAATTTCCTTCTTTTTATGCCTGAGCAATATTTCCCTGTATATATGTGTATCACGCATGTTCTTTATCCATTTACCCACTGTGGAAACTTAGATTGTTTCTGTCTCTTGGCTGTCATGGATAATGCTGTAATGAACTTGGAGGTGCAGGTAACTCTTCGAGAGAGTGATTTCATTTCCTCTGGACATGTACCCAGCAGTGGGGTCGGTAGAGTCTGTCTTTAACATGTCAGGGAACCACTGTATGGTTTTCCATCTTGGCTGTACCGATTTGCATTCCCACCACAATACACAAGGGTTCGCACATCCTTACCAACACTGGGTTATCTTGGCTTTTTGATGATGGCTGTTCTAACAGGTGGGAGGCAGAGCTCAAGCTCATTGTGGTTCTGATTTGCATGTCCCTGGTGATCCGCTTGTGGGCACCTTCTCCAGACCTGTCGTGTCCTTTGAAAAACCATGTCCAGTTCTTCTCACTGTGCATGGTTTTTTTTTTCCCTTTTTGCTATTGAGTTATATGAGTTCCTTCTGTGTTTTGCATATTAACCTCTGATAAGGCTTACAAATAATTTCTCCTATTCCATAGCCTGTTGCCTCATTCTTCATTTTGTTAGATTATTTCCTTTGCTATGAGAAACTTTAGTATTATGGACACCTATTTGTTTATTTTTGCTTATGTTGTTTGTGCTTCTGGTGTCATAGCCAAAAAATCATCAGGAAGGCTACTGTCACAGAGTTTTCCCCTGTTTTCTTCAAGGACTTTTACAGTTTCAGGTCTTACATTTAAGTCTTTAATCCATTTCTAGTTAATTTTTATTTTTTCCTTTTTAATCCCATTTTAGTCCATTCTGAGCAGCTCAATATAAAACTGAACACTAATTCTGAATTGCTGTAAAAGTGCAAACTCTGCCTGCAGTTCAACTCTTTGATTAAATTACCTGTCACTTGGTAGATTTCATATAATGAAACCATCAAAATAATTAGTGCACTATGCTGAATTGATTGGAAAAGAACTTTGGAAAGAAAGGCTGGAAGATTACTAGTCATATGTTGCAAGAGTGTTAGTAACATTGCAATGCACATGTTATCAGCAGTAGATACATTGTTTTTTTTTTTATGATTCTAGCCTGTGTAGGAGCAGCTGAAGCTCCTTCCTTTCAGTTGGGGTGAGAAGGAAAAAATATTTTGTATGCAGTTTCAAACTTTTGCATGTGAAGATCAATTTTCCTCAGCAGCATTTATTGAAAAGGCTATCTTTCACCCATTTTGTGTTCTTTGCACTCTTGTCAAGCATTAGTTGACCACATGTACCCAGAAGTATTTCTAGGCATTCTATTTTGTTCATTGGGATCTGTGTCTGGTTTTGTACCAGTTTTACCATACCATGCAGTTTTGAGTACCGTTACTTTGTGGTATAGCTTGAAATCAGAAAGTACCATGCCTCCAGCTTTGTTCTTGCTGAAGTTTGCTTTGGCTCTTTGGGATTTTGTGTGTGTGTGTGTGTGTGTGTGTGTGTGTTTCCATATAAATTCTAAGTTGGCTTTAAAATGTCATTGAACTCTTGAAAGGGGTTATATTGAATCTGGAGATGACTTTGGGTATTATGGACATTAACAATATTCTTCCATTTCATGAACTTAGCATGAGTTGTGTCATGGTGTAGAAAAAACTCAGTTTTCCTCCTGTGTTTCTTTCCTATATTCTCACACTACTGCCAAATCCACAATACCTGTGACGCTACATGTATGTTGGTCTTCCTATCCCGAGCAATTCTGTGACACCAGCAGGGTATCCTAAAGTTTAACTCAATTCTGACACTATCCACCTGGACATTACACGAGGTCAGGCATCAGTCATTCAAGATTGCTCCCCCTCCAACTTCAAATGCCACTCACAAGTCCAGGGGGTCAGCAGTTCTCATGAACTGATTGTAGCCTCAGAGGTTCTGATGACCCTGATCTTGGGTTCGATTAATTTGCTTGAATTTCTTATAGAACTCAGATAAACATTTTATGTACTAGATCACTGGTTTACCATAAAAGCATACAGGACTAGGATGTGGGATAGAAAAGGGTATTATACTCAGGAACAGCCAGATGAGATGGAAGAGTCACAGGCATGTGAGAAGGGGCATGGAGTTTCCATGCCTCTGAGTGCCTCTCCCTGAGTGTCCACGTGTTTGCCAACCCAGAAGCTCTACAAGCCCCATACTATGTGTATTTGTATGGAGGCTGCATTGTGTGGGCATGGCCAGTTATAAATGCCATTTCTAGCCCTTCTCCCCTCTCTGGAGAATGGGGGGCGGGGGGAGGCCAGTGCTAAAAATCCCAAGTTTCTAACCATGACTTGCTTTTTCTTGTGATCAGCCCCCATCCAGGAGTCCACTAAGGTCACCTTGTAGAACAAAAGATGCAGCCATCACCCAGGAAAATTCCAAGGCTTTTAGAAGTTCTGTGTCAGAAACCACCAGGGTCAGAGACCAAGTATTAGAACAAGAGTGCTCCTAGTCCTGCCACTGCTTGGGAGATTACAAGGAGTTTAAGAACTCTGCACCATGAACAGGGGTGGAGGAGGGTGGGGGACAGAGACCAGTATGTATTTTCTGTTATCCCAAAGTCATCTTCAGTTTCTCTCAGCAGCGGCTTCCTGTGTTCCGTGTATAAGGTCTTTACCTCCTAATTATTTTATTGTTTCTGATGCTATTGTGTTGCTGTTTATTTCTCCTTTCAGTTCTGTTAATACTTGGTTTAAATACTCATGTGCGCCAATGTTGGGTGCATATTTGTTTCCAATGGTTATACCTTCTTCATGGGCTCCATTATGCATATAACGACCTTCTGTGCTTCCCGGGACCATTTGGACTGACAGTGTGTTTTACCTGATGCAAGCACAGCCCCGCTTGCTCTCGTTTGCACACGTCTGCTGGAATCTCTCTCCACCCCTCCGCTTCCCCCCTGTGTGTGCTTACAGCCCAGGCGGATCTCTTCAGGCAGCGCGTTGTGGTTTGCTTTCTGGAGTGTAAGTCGCTGTGTCTCCTCCCCTCCTCCACCCCTGCTGACCTGTGTCCCTTATTTGTGTATTTTTTGCTGCAGGTGACAACATGTACAACTGTGAACGATGTAAAAAGTAAGTGCATCCTGAGGGCTTCTCCACTTCCTGTTTCTGGCCTCTGTGGCCCCGGGTCCTCTCTGAGAGCCCCATCACATGAGAACGGGCAAGGCACGGGGCATTTATTAAAGACCTAGCTGAGAGCCACCTAAATCTGGGAAAGGAGCAGGATTTCTGATTCCGGAGACTCAGAGAGTCCCAAACATCAAAATATCAAATAGACACACCCCAAGATAGAGTCCCATCGAGCTTCTGGAAACAGATGACAAGGAGGGAATGCCAAAAGCATCAAGAGAAAGAAGAGTAACCTCCGAGGAAACCCCCCCTGGGCTGTCTGTGGACTTCTCAGTGGAAAGCTCGCAGGCAAGAAGGGAGTGGCAGCAGATGTGTAAGGTTCTCAAATGAAAAGATTTCCCAACTAGAAAATTTTATCCTGCCAGATTATCTTTCAAGACGGAAGGCGAGGTAAGGAGCGTCACAGGAATATAAAAATTAAAAAACAAAAGATGCAGCCATCACCCAGGAAATTCCGCCCTGACCACGTGGAGGAGACAAGGGTAGGAGGGGAGCACACCTAGCCCTGCCGCCCCGACACTGGGGTGCTCACCATCTCCTGCTCTCTCCTGGCAGGCTGCGCAATGGGGTGAAGTACTGTAAGGTCCTGCAGCTGCCTGAGGTGAGTAGGGCGGCCTCCTGCCATCCCGCCTGCCAGGTCTGGACCATGGTGAATGGTGGTGTTTGGGCATAGACTGACCCTCCCTGCCTGGTTTTGAGCTAATGAGTCATAGTGATTCACTGCTGTGGTCGAGAGACCTGGGGGGGTCTCGGGCATGGAGAAAGCTCAGTGTTGGTGTGGTACTTAGCACCCCCTCTCCACAGCCTCAGCTCTTTTGTCTCAGCAGAAAAGAGGTGCCCTGAGGGACCACCTTGAATAAGACAGCTGTGGGGGGGGGAAGAACTGTCGGAAGGCCTTTCTGAGGAGGTGACCTCTGAGTGAGCCCGGAAGAGGGCAGGTGCTCTCTGCTTCATGGAGGGAGACTAAGGTAGAAATAGGGGAGCAAAACCCTGAAATAGGAACAGATTTGGCTGAACCAAACCCTGTGACTGGAGCATGAAGAAGTGGCTCAAGATGCAGGTGCCTGGGGTGGTGCTGGGCAGGTCTGAGAGAAGTCTTCTAGAAGTTGGCGCCCACGGAACTGGTTATCAGGGTTCTTTAGATGTAAATGCAGGGCCAGTAACAGCCTGCTGTGCAGCCCGGCCAGGCTCCGCGGGCTCCCATCTCGGCCACCCATCCTGTTCGTGCAGCTGGGTCTGGCCGGCACATCTGCCTTAAGCATGGGGTGTCAGGCAGCCTTGCTCCGCTGCCGTGCGCACCCCTTACCTGTGTTCTAGTGGAATCGGCCTGGGCTGTAGCCAGGACCCTTCCTGTCACTTCCACCTCGATGGCAAGACTTGAGTGGCTCAGGCGGTAGACTCGTGGGTGTCCTGGAGCCCTGTCTCAATGGACCTGTCAGGTTCCTGGAGTCCCAGGACCCCGGTCAGCCCTGGAATCACCTCCCCCTTCCCCTCCCCTTCAGATCCTGTGTATTCACCTGAAGCGCTTTCGGCACGAGGTGATGTACTCATTCAAGATCAGCAGCCACGTCTCCTTCCCGCTGGAGGGGCTCGACCTGCGCCCCTTCCTCGCCAAGGAGTGCACGTCCCAGATCACCACTTACGATCTGCTCTCGGTCATCTGCCACCACGGCACGGCAGGCAGTGAGTGCAGCCCTCCCCTGCTCTGGCCCCGCGCCCCAGAGTGTGTGTGACCCGCCTGTCCCCTGTACCCCCCCCCCCGCAGGTGGCCACTACATCGCCTACTGCCAGAATGTCATCAACGGCCAGTGGTACGAGTTTGATGACCAGTATGTCACTGAGGTTCACGAGACGGCGGTGCAGAACGCCGAGGCCTACGTGCTCTTCTACAGGTGTGGCCTGGCGGCCGGCAGGCTGGGACAGCTGAAGGACAGTGGTGGGGCCCCGCCACAGGCCGGGTGTCCTGCCCCTGCTCCCCTGGGCTTTCCTCTGAGTGCGTGTGTCTGGGGAGGGTGGGAGAAGTGAGGGGGGTGGCACCCCGACGGGTCTAGGTGGGAGGAGCTTTTAACCAAGAGCCTTCTGGCTGCCAAGGGAAAAGCCAGAGACCTGGAAGTGGAGTCGGGGTTTCTGGGGTGGTCCTGGGGGTGGTGGAGGAAGCTAGAGCTCAGGCTGCCGAGATGTGGCAGGTCGCTGAGGGTTCCGGCTCTGGATGCACCCATATGGGTGGCAGGACCCAGGCCAGCCACTCCCCCTCCCCAGGAAGAGCAGCGAGGAGGCCGTGCGCGAGCGGCAGCAGGTGGTGTCACTGGCCGCCATGCGGGAGCCCAGCCTGCTGCGCTTCTACGTGTCCCGGGAGTGGCTCAACAAGTTCAACACCTTCGCGGAGCCTGGGCCCATCACCAACCACACATTCCTCTGCTCCCACGGAGGTGAGGGCGCCTCCTCTAGGGCCTGAGAGCCGGGCGGGCAGGCCGAGCCCCCAGCTCTCCTCCCCATCTCCCTCCGCAGGCATCCCGCCCAACAAGTACCACTACATCGACGACCTGGTCGTGATCCTGCCCCAGAACGTCTGGGAGCACCTCTACAACAGGTCCGTGCTGGGGAGCCTCTTCAGAGGGGCGGCTGGGCTGGGCAGGAGAGGAAAGCGGGGGCAGGAGGCCACGTCACCCCCACACTGCCCTGCAGCAGGTGGCAGATCAGTCCGGAAGCAGTGCAGGGGCCTCGCACTGTGCAATTGCAAAAAATGTCAGGCTGAGTCAGGCACAGGAAGCTGCGGGCACCTCTCTCTGCGTCCGGCTCTGTATCTAGCCTGTTCCCTCCTGAGCTCAAATCCACCAAGACCGAGAGTGTGTCTCTGCCGCCGGGGACCTGCCTGGCCTGCTCCCTCTGTGTCCGGGTCGGCCGATGTTCCTCAGCTGGGTGCTCAGGCAGGTGGGGCAGGAGAGGCCGGAGTCTGGTTGCCCCGTCCGCTTGCAGGTCAGCTGCAGAGTCTGCCCTCCTCATGTGGGTGGGTGGGTCAGAACCCACAGGAACGGGCAGCTCCCATGGGCATCTCCCCTCCCACCTGCAGGAGGTCCTGCAGCCTCGGGGTCTGCCAGGCAGGCTTTGGGGGGGCTCCAGGTCCTACCAGGAGCCCGGAGAGGAGTGAGGGTGCCGCTCCATGCTGTATTTCATTGCCTGCCCGCGCCAGCGGGTGCCTGGCCAGTCTGGTGAGGGGAGGCCTGTCCTGGGTGCTGAGACAGTGTCCTGGATGGAGAAGGGGGAGCCCCTCCACGGAGGGCAGTCGTGGCTGCCCCCCGCTCAGGGCTCCTCTCTCCCTCCCACCTGGTGCAGGTTTGGGGGCGGTCCCGCCGTGAATCATCTGTATGTGTGCTCCATCTGCCAGGTGGAGATCGAGGCACTGGCCAAGCGCAGGCGGATCGAGATTGACACCTTCATTAAGGTGCGTGGGGGGCTCTGCCCCCTGCCTTGCTGGGCACTAGGGGATGAGAACCTCTGCGGTCAGACTTGGTGTGGCGCTGCTGTGGGGCTGCTTCCTCCTCAGTTGGGGGCGCTGGCCTATGTGTTGTAACCTGTTAGCATCCTGGCCTCTGCCCACTGGATGCCCATGGCCACCAGAATTCCTTCCAGACACTGCCAGGCGTCTGGGGGCGGAGATCCCCCATGAGAACCCTTGGGCTCTACAACTGACGTGGGAAGTGCATTCAATGAAAAGAGCGAATTCCAAGGGAGAAGCCAGTGGGTCCCTTCTGGGAGGGGACTCCTGCCCCCATGCTGCTCAGGGCTGGGGCATGGCACCGAGGCTCACCCTCATCCAGCTTGGGGCTGTCAGGGACGCTATGGGACACCATGCTTTGTGGGTACCGCCACATTCTCTCAGGTGGGGAGTATGGCACCTGCTGAGTGTTCTCCATTGAGTTAAAAAGTGGCCTGGAAAGAAAGTCACAGGTCAGCGGCTGTCCGAGCGGCAGGAGTCTCCTCGTTGACCTTGTCTGGGAGTGCTTCCCTCTCAGCCTTGAGTGTCTGGTATTTTGTACGCAGGGGGGTGAAGATTTGGGGGTGTGGAGACCTTGGTGTTGACCTTGCCTTCTGCCCCCTCCCCCCGCCAGCTGAACAAGGCGTTCCAGGCCGAGGAGTCGCCCGGCGTCATCTACTGCATCAGCATGCAGTGGTTCCGGGAGTGGGAGGCCTTCGTCAAGGGGAAGGACAATGGTGAGTGGGGCCAGAGTGGGGACTCGGGCAGTTTAATGTCCCTCGAGATGGACACGGGGCAGTGGCCCCTGAATCCCAGCAGCAGCCGACCCGTACCTGTCCAGTAGGCTGCCAGTGCCACCCTTCCTGGCGTGTGCCCCCAGCATGAGCAGAGAACAGAGGTTCTCAGCCACGTCACTAGGACCCCATCCCCCGGGCCAGGCCGCCCAGCACCCACCTCCCTGCTGCAGCGGGACAGAGCATGTTGTTCTGCCCTGCCTCTCCGTGCCCCTCTCTCTGCCAGTGCCCAGGGGAGGCAGGCCCTCCTGCCAGACCCTCCCCTTTGACGATTCTGTTGCCCTAAATAATAATTTAGCTGATGGGCATTTGAGACCTCCTAAGAAGCACTTGGAGACTGTGTTCTCTGGCCCCTGGATTTGCAGAGGTGATCATCACAGGGCAACTCCCAGAGCCCCCACGGGCCTGCGCGAGGAGCGGCAGAGCCTGGGCCCTGGCCCACGGGTGGCAGCTCACCTTCTCTTGGGGTTCACGTGGGCTCCCACACAGGGGTGTGGGGTGCGGCGCCATAGGTTCCAGGCACCGGATTGATGCTTAAAGCAGTCGTCAGTCATTAAGAGGGGAGAGGGGCCTCCCTGCCATCCAGACCTCACTGGGCAATAAGGGTGCCAGGGTGCCCCAAGGCCTCCCTAGCGTGGGTGTCAGCAGCTGCAGCCCCATCTGGCCTTGCCTTCAGCCAGCTCTGACCTGGTTGAATACTTTGCCTATCTGGGCAATTGTCATCCCAGGCTGGAGGATTCCCCGAGATCACGGGCACATGGGAAGGGTGCCTGGAGCACGCTGGCATCAGGGACAAGGGTGTTCGGCCAGCACCAGCTCCTGCCCCCCGACCCCAACACAGCAGGTCTAACACTAGCACTTGAGTCCTCAGACTCTGCGGGCTCAGGGTGCCTCAAGGCCCCAGCCCCAGGGCTGGTGTAGCGGTGCACTTGACATCACAAGAACCTCCCCACAAGGAAAGTGCCCCTGTATCTGGCACAACCTCTCTGGATAGCAGGTGTGGGCATCACACCTAGAGGGTGGCTCTTACCTCTCAAGGAGAGGGCATGGAGAGGCCGGGACTGGGGGGCTGCCACAGCTGAGTCAGCCCAGGGGTGCCGAGTCTGAGCTGTGTCTGTTCCAGAACCCCCTGGACCCATCGACAACAGCAGGATCGCACAAGTCAAAGGAAGCGGCCACATCCAGCTGAAGCAGGGTGAGCCTGCCCCTCTGGCTGCCAGTCCTGGTGCTCTGGGAGCACCCCCCCCGCCCCCGCCAGCTGCCTGTGCCGGCCGTAATGTCTACCTAGGGCAGGCCCGGCGGCCCAGATCCTGGCCCTTTGCTCTGACCATGCCTCCCCTCCCCCCACCCCTCGCCTGCCTGCCCTTCGGGTGAGCCTCACCCTGGGAAGTGAGGGGCAGCGGCCAGGGGCATGCCCTCTGGGTCTCCAGAGAACCAGCTTCTGCTGGGAAATCCCCCGGTTTCGTTTAACAACTTGGCACAAAGGCCAGTGGTCCCCCGACCCCCAAGGTCTGCCCTCTGGAGCCCCCCTGCTTCCCTCAGGGGCCAAGGCGAGCCCCGGCTGACCCGTGTGCTCCTGGGGGGCAGGGGCTGACTATGGGCAGATTTCTGAGGAGACCTGGAGCTACCTGAGCAGCCTGTACGGCGGCGGCCCGGAGATCGCCATCCGCCAGAGCGTGGCCCCACTGCCGGACCCCGAGAGCCTGCACGGGGAGCAGAAGATTGAGGCTGAGACCCGGGCCGTGTGACTTGGGGGCCCGTCTGTAAGTCTCCCCCATCCTCCAGAGACCCTCTGGCGTCCCTCTGAGTGTGGAAGAGCACGTCCTGCACAGCCACCCCCCGGGCTGTGGGGGGGCCCCGGCTGTCCCCACAGGCCCACCTGGGCCCTCCCCCTTGCGGAGGGTGTTTGTGCCTGGAAGACAGGCAGCCGCTTGGGGAGCCGGCCTGTGAAAGGTGGGAGAGTGGTTTCGGTTCGCAGCGGGGAGCGCCGCGACCAGGCAGTTCCTGCACAGGTGGCTGTCGCGGCGGCCCCAGCTCTGTGACCTTAGCTCCGGCCCCTGTCCTGGCAGTGCCCCCCCGTCACGGGCATCGCTCCCCAGATCGGCCGTCGCGCTCCTCAGGGGCTGTGACCGGGCGTGCCTGTTGCTTCCCCGCCAGCGCCTGGGGCCTCGTGCAGCCCGAGGCTCCCGTGTAGATGGGCGGAGCGGGTGGAGCAGCCCGGGGTGCGGCCCCCGCTTGCGTCACCGCCGACTCCTCCTGAGGGTCTCCCCGCACCTCCGGGTGTCCCAGAGGCTCCTGCCCTCAGAGTTTCCTGCAGGCTCAGGACTCCTTCGTGGCGGGCACCCAGGAGCGGGCGCGGGTTCCTGTCAGCGGGGCTGTTTGTGCCCCTCGCCCTGTGCTGCTGAGCGGCCCGCGGCCGGGCTGACCGCGCCGCACCCGGGGAACCGGATGATGACACAGAAATACCTCCTGTTGCTCCCGTTTGCTCACTCGCGCAGTTTCGGGGGGCTGGTACCAGAGAAAACGGACTCCTCCTCTCTCCCCAGCATTGTCTGGAGCCGGGGCCGGGGTGGGGCGGCGCTGGGCAGCTCCCACACGTCGGTCCCGGCAGTGTGTGGTCCGGATGCGGATGGAGGCCTTCTGGCCGCAGGAGCCGCCGCGGGTGGCACCAAAGCCCCGGGATGAGACTGCAGGGGACGCACCTCCTGAGCACCCATGCCGAGGGGGCTGGGGACGGGGTCCTGGGACCAAACCCCCAAACTACGGTGGCCTTCAGTCTCCGCAGAAGCGGATGTCGGGATCCCCGCAGGCGGCTCTGGTGGAGCCTGAAGCTCTTGCAACGCGCCGCTCGCGTCTGCGATCCGGTTCCTTCCCCACAAGGCAGCGAGTGGAGCGGAGAACAAGCCCCCGCTGGAACCCCTGGACCTCCATGACCTCTGCCCCAGCAGCCAGCGGCTCCCCTCGCAGACCTCTCCCAGAAGCGGGGATGTCCCCGTCTGCGCCGGCTTGTTTGTGTTGAGAATGTCACAATAAACCCGCAGGCTCCCCTTGCTGCCCCGGCTCCAGCTCACTGCAGCCCTGTCCGGGGCGGGGCGCGGTGGGGGTGAGCGGCGCGGGTGCCCACGAGGAGGCGGCGCTGCCTGGCTCCCCGAGACTGCGGCCGCCTCTGCTGAAGCACCTCCGGCCTCGGCGGGGGTGGCGGGTCGTGGTCGGGCCAAGGCCAGTGAGTCCACCCAGCCTCCCACTGGCCTCAGCCACCCTTGGGAGCGCCTCGCGCCTGTCGGCCCGGCAGGGGCCCGCCCCATCCCGGCCTGCCCTCTCCAGGCCGCCTCCGCTCCATCACAACACCTCGGTTTCTGGGGGCCGGTGGGGCTCTGAGGTCCCAGACTTGGGGTGCCAGCGTGTTACAGGCCTGGTGGGTTGCGTCTTGTTTCTGCTCTTTGGGGGGCAGGGTTTAAGGTTGTTTTTTTTTCTTTCAGTATTTAAACATTCACCTATGAACTCTCATTATCTTGAGTGAGAAACACGTTCCACATAGAGCTGAGAAAGCGGCCGTGGCCAGTGCACAGCCACCGGGACCCTCTGAACATGCTAGGGCCGGGGCCCGCCCAGCCCCCCATGGCCTGATCACACATGCGCGTGAGGCAGTTTGAGCCTCGCTCACACGTGAAGGTGTGTGCGGACCCCGCGCACGCTGTGACGCTGCCTAGCTGGGCACCAGTGAGGATGGAAGCCCGTCTGGAGGCCCGACTCTGGAGGTTTGAGACCTGTGGGAGGTGCCGAGTCGCCTCACAGCCTTGCTTTCCTAGCTCCCGTGAACCCTCAGACGTGTAAGTGTCTCCAACTCAGACGCCGGGGCCGGCGGCCGGCGCGTCTGCTGTGCTCCCCTCATGCCGCGGAGGGGGCTGCGCTGGGGGTGGTGGGGTGCTGGTCAGTCTCTGCCCTCAGCTGGGGCCAGGGCTCCTGGCACAGTGAGCGTCTTTAGAGGCACCAAGTGCCCCCGCAGACTGGGGAGCTGCGTCGGAAAACACCTACTGATGGCGTCGCTTCCTACCTGGCTGGGCTGGCTCGAGCTCCGTGCAGACGCCAGTCCTCAGCACAGCCCTTCACCGCTCTACTTTGAGGCCTAGAGAGCCTTCGGGCAAGTGAGCGGCCTGTGGGGCGCTGCCTCCCTCGGCTCTTCAGCTCCACAGCTTTACCCACCGCAGAGGGAAGCCGAGGGCGGGGGGCGGGGAGCCAAAACGAGGCCTTCCGGAAGAGCCAGGAGAAAGCCTCCACCTTTTAGCAGGACGCTCTGGGGTGCTGTCCCGGGACGGCCACCCAGTGCTCCCTTGGACTCCCCGCTGGCAGCAGCCCGAGTGGGACGTGTTTGGGGTGAAAGTGGCGCGGGGTCCTGCAGCCCCACTGCCTGGCTGCCAGTGCCCACGGGGAGGAAGAGCCTGTGTTTCCCCTGCGGCCTCTGTTCCCGCTCTACCCCCGGGGGGTCCTTGCTCACCGGAGGTCATTTACGTCCGTATCACCCACGTATCAGCTGGACAGACCGGGGTGTTTACATCAGGACCAGCGGGCTGCGGGCTGGATTGTAGCCTCTGCCCCGGAACCCCAGGTCTCAGGGGCCGCTGGCATCGCGGGTTACCGTCTCCCCTTCCTAGCGCAGGACAGCAGAGAGGGGGGACAGGCGAGGCCTCCTGGGGTGTGGGCAGCGCCAGGGGCTGGCCCTCCTGTTCCAGACAGGGCGAGGGCCCTTCCCGGAGGCCTCTGGCCGCTGCCCTGCCCACCTCCGCGGGGCCCGTCCCGCAGCCGCTTCGGTCTGGCTCCAGGCTGCCACCTGGGCCCAGCGGCGTCACCATTGCAGAGACGTTTTGCTTCATGAAAGGCGGGGTGGGGCTGCTGACCCCTGCCCACTTGGGGGCCTCAGCTTGGCGCGGTCCCCGTCTCTGGCGCGCTGACTCCTGCTTCCACCAGGGGTCGCCAGCGTCAGGCCTGGGTGTGGCCCCGCAGCCGCAGCGGGAGGCTCCAGGGAGACTCCGGTTCCACCGGAGGAGCCTGACGGGCCGGTGGACTGTGTCACCCAGCACCTCTGAGTCAGGAGTTTCTGGCTTCGGGATGCACCACCCCAAAAAACCCGAACAAAAACCCTGGCAGGAACCGAATGGTCCGGCGGCGCTGTCTGTGTGACCCCCACTTGCTTCCAGCCCCACGGAGGAAGTGGGGGCCTGAGTGTCCAGTGGAGGTGGGGTGAGGGGCTGACTTCCCCATCGCTTGGGCCAGGCAGGTGCTGAAGACCCAATATGCCCGCCACGTCTGGTGTGTCCATTGACCTGCTCGGGGCGCGCCCTGGGCCTGGCCCGGCTGAGTCGGCTCACCCTGGGCCCCTGCAGTTGGCCAAGTGCCTCCCCACATCCTGGTGCCGAGGCCCGGGGGGGTGGCACCATGGCCCGCCAGCAAACCCAGCCCCTGGGGTCCAGGCCCTGGCGAGGCTCCCAGCCCCTGCCGAGGCTGTCAGAGAATGTCCTGGAATGTGACCAAGCCCAGGAGGAACATGCTGGGGAGTCTTCCTAGGCTGACCTTCCACTGGCAGCCTGTGGGGTAAACGAAGTTATCGGGGTCATCACGCCCTCCGTGACCGCCTCCGTGACCGGCAACTGCAGTGCAGCTCCATGATCGTGGACACTGGGCCCAAGACCGCGGCGCACGCGCGTGTGAACGTGCACACCTGGGCCTAGAGGTGAGGGCTAGAAGGGCGTCACTACGACACCAAGAGCGCCGGGGAGCGTGGGACGGGCTGGCAGTGAGGGGCTTGGTGACCTCCCAAACCTCCCGGCCCCCTGCCTGACTCCAGGGGGCACCTGCCTGCTCTGCCTGGTTCCCTGTGCCAAGGTTAAAGGCCTATAAAATCCTCTGAGGGCTCCAAAGTTTTTTAGCCCCTGCCTGACTCCAGGGGGCACCTGCCACCCCGGGCGTGCTCGCGCTCCACAGCCTCGGCGGGAGGGACAATCATGGCCCCGACTGCCCGCCTCTTAGAGAACCATCGCTTCTAGATGGTTCAGCAGCTGTGGCTCTCAAATCCCACCTCCCCGAGCCCGCATGGCGGTGCAACTGCCAAGTGGGTGCTTCCCAGGCTGCTTCCTCGCCTGTGTGGGTGGAGGCCAAGGTCGCGGGGGGCCAGGGCAGCCCCAGCGCCTCCCTCAGCCTGCGAGTGGTCCTCGCAGCAGCCCGGCCACCCTGCTGCTCCGCTCACCCACGGGAGGTCCGCCCCCCTCAAACGGTTCTGAGCAGCCTTAGGGTGCACCGGCCCACAGGCCGGTCCTGGGGAGGCTGGGGTGAGATTTTCAAGCTGGAGGTGGAAACGCGCCCACATGTCCATTCGGGGGTGCCAGGCCCTTCAGCTCTGAAGTGGGGGTCCCACCAGGCTCCCAAGAGGGTGGGCTAGAGTACTTGGGTACCAAACCCCATACCCTGCAGACATGCCCCCCCAAGCCCCCCCACACACGGGGCCCCTGAAAAGCTAGAGTCGCTGCGGGGCCACACAGACCCCCAAGCGGGACCCCAGACCCCGCCCACCCCGGGGCTGGTGCTCCAGGCCGTCCCCAGCCGACAGCCAGGCCGCCCGTCCTGGGGGCACCGCGACGTGGAGAGGCGCAGCCGCGGGACGAGACACGAGACCACGGGGATGAGCGTTTATTGACGCGTGGAGGAGGGGCAGGGCGGGGCCGACGCCTCGGGGGAAGCTTGTTTAGTTCCTTCTCGACACTCACCCGGCAGGAGCCCCGCAGGGCGCCCGCAGAGTCCGTGCCCCGCGCCCGCCCGCCCTCCCCGTCGGGAAACAATTTCGGAGACTCTGGAAAGAAGCTGCGGCTGAGACGCTGGGGGGAGCGTCAGGCCAGCCGGCCCGGGCGCGGGGGGGGGGGGGGGGCCAGGAGGTGCCCGTTTCCTCCCCGTTCCGCGAAGAGATGGGCGCTGCGGCGGGACGCGGGGGGGCGGGTCTGACGGCCCGAGGGCGCCCCAGGGGCAGGGCGGGCGCAGCCGGACGCGCAGCTCGCGGGAAGGCCCCGTTTCCACGTGTCCGCCGCGTGACGACAGGCGGGTGACGTCAAGCAGGTCCCCAGGGAAACGCCCGCGCTGGCGAGGAGGGAATCTCCATCCCGCGCGAGACGGGGCTCCGCACCCACGGCGCGTCCGGGCGGCCATCGTGGCTGGGGGGGTCAGAAGTTTCTGGAACCCCCGGACACCCCGACGGAGGAGCCCGCGGGCCGCTGCCCCAGGCGAGGTCCCGGCCCGTCCCAGCGTCCACGCATCTGCCGGGCCGGGCCCTCGAGCAGGAGCCCCCGCGGCCCGCCCCGGCCCCTCCCGCGCCGCCCCGTGCTGGCTGCCCCGACGTGGCGCTCGTGGGCCCCAAGGCCTCGGCTGGGCTGCGCCCCCAGGGAGCCTGGCGTCCCCCCCCCGCGCCCCTCCCCCGCGCTCGGAGGGCCCCTGCGCTGCCACCACCCCAGGGCCCGGGCACCCGGGGCACCGCCCTGTCTCCATTCGGGGCGCGGGAGGCGCTGGGGCGGGAGGAGCTGGGGCGCGGGCGCAACACCTGCTGCGAAAGCCAAGCCAGAGGGGTGCGGCCCCCGCAGGAGCCCCTCCCCCCCCCAGCGACTCCCCGGCAGAAAGACGCCGCTCGGCGCGCCCCCAAGGGGGGAGAAGCCGCTGCACCCCAGGCGAGCCCGACGCCCCGCGGGAGCCACGCGGGAGCCACGGGCGGAGCAGAGGCCGGCGGTGGGGGGGTTGGGGGGGGCTGCGGACAGGGAAGCACCAGCTCCCAGAACGCGAGTCGGGCTTCCCGGGGAGGGGCCGCCCCTTCGGGGGTGCCGTCCAGGGGGAGGCGGTCCCCGAGAACCAGCGCGTCCTGGCCCCGGGCGCCGGGAGGGGCCGTGGCGGGGCCGGGGCCGGCGTCGGCGTGGCGGGGACAGGCAGGGCCCAGACAGTGCGTGGGGGCGCGGGGTGCCCGCGGGCCGGGAAAAGCCTCCACGGCCCCGCGGGCGATCAGGAGGCCCCGCGGGCTGCTCCACGGGGCGGGGGGACAGGAGTGTTTTCTCGCGCACAGGGGCCGCGCTCCCAAGCGCCCGTCCAGGTTCCGAGGCCTCCCCTGAGCCCAGGCGCGAAGTTGTCACGAAAGGCACAGTGTGAACAGGGCGGGCCGGGGCGCAGCCGGCGGAGGGGGCGCTCTGCTCTCCGGAGACCCTGCGGGTGGGGGCTGGGGCAGACCCGCCCCCAAGAGGCCGCCAGGACAGGGGGCGCATGCTGTGAAAAATAAGAAAGAAAAAGGCGAGCGGCTGCAGGGCGTAGGACCTTTGTCACTCGGGCTGCGATTCCGGGGCCGCTGCCCCAGAGCACAGGGGGCCTGGGGTCCAGGCCCCTGGAGACCGGCAGACCGCAGGGGTCCTCCAGGACAGCTCCCCCAAGGCTCCGCTCCCTGGCGCCTCTAGGAATCTACAACACAAAAAGAGAGAATCCCAGTTAGAGAGGAAGGCAGCAGGCCCCGCGCAGCCACTCCTGGGGCAACTGCGCGGCAGGCAGCGGGGGACAGGGACAGGGCTCGGGAACGCGGGTGACCCCAGCGGGGTACGGGGATGAGGAACTTTCACGGTTTTCTCTCCTGTCAGTCCCTCAGGCTAAGAGGGCAGAGGCAGCCCCCACCCCCAGGCAGCTTTCTAGTCAATCCACCTTTAAGAGAAAGAAAAATGCCACCAGCTTCCCCGGGCCCCTCCTCAGGACCCTCCCGGGCCTCTGGCCGGAAAATGTCAACTCTGGCGAGAGGCAGACGGGCGTCCCGGCCTGGCATCCCGGCCTGGCGGGCAATAAACAGTGAAAGTTCGTCATCCCGGACGGGCGGGGACCAGGGAGACAGACTCGTAGAGCCCGGGGTGCACACAGGGAGAGACAGAGGTGCCCTCGCTCCAGACAGGAAAGGGCGGAAGTTTTAAAAAGCATTGGCTAGAAAACCCCCAATTACTGAAGACGAGAGGTTAAAACTCGCATGACAGAAGAGTCATTTTCTTGGAAAGGTGAAAAATCATTTAAATGCACAACGCTGAGAAAAACATCACGTTTATTAGAGAGGCAGATACGAGGGTACAACTAAAAGATGCCAGACAGAGTCTTGTCTTTTAGGGTGAGAGAAGAGAGACAGAGTCTTGTTGGCCGCGTTCAAACAGACTTACTCAGAACCCAAGTGTCTACAATAAACTCAAGTGTGGAGCAGCCGTGGGGCCCCAGCTACCGGGTCCTTCCGGCCTCCCCAGCGGTTACAAAAACCCAAAGGTCATTAGGCAGCAGAATCACCCATAAAACAAACAGATAAAAGAGTAAAACGTTAAAAACAACGAATTCAAGTCATCCTTTTCGTTTTCAGTGGCAGCATAGACACGTGCACGGGCGCGGGAGGTGACAGACACTTCACGGAAGGCAGCTTCACACGACAAAGCCATCCAAGAAGACAGGCGCTCCGCCCGTCAACCATTTACACGCTAGTCTAAATGTTTTGGCAATTATGAAATAGTCACATCGTAGGCAACAAACACACATGCTTTGCGTACACACACACACACACACACACACACACACACACAGGCACACACACACACACACACAGTTGCTGGAAATAAAACAGCTGCTGTGAGTTCAGAGCACCCGGGAGCAGCACCCAGCCCACTCGGGTTCTTAACAAGGGGCGAGGAAGGGCTTCAACCTGCACACAACTGAGCCCCAAGTGCATCTCTGAGTAACAGGAGAAATCTCTGTAACCTGACAAAAGAGACTCCTTTTCTTTTAAGCCCTAACTCTTGGGAGACCTATTGCCCCTGCGTGGAGATTTCCTGAATCTTTGGCGTTGTTTGGTGCTCTCTGCTCACACGGCAGCGTGCGCCACAGGGGCCCAAGGCTGCAGATCCTCTGCTCAGCCGCGGTCCCTGGGTTCACCTGCTCGCGGCGCCGACACAGCTGAAGGTCATGGCCACAGCTGGGATCCCACAGGCAGCCCTGCCCCCAGCACGGAGCTATTTTGGGACTCCAATTTGCACGACTCCAAACAAACACACACTTCCTGGGCTGCCGTGGAATGCTCTGCAGGGTGGGTTTTCAGGAGGCCCACGCGCTCTGGCCCCCGAGGCCCTGAGCTGCTGGAGCGAGTGTTGGGCTTTCTCAGTCGCCCACGGTCTGGGAGCGGCGGGGCGTCTGGACACCTGAGGCCTCTGAGCCTGGGCTCATGCCTAAAGCTGTGAGGTGCCGCAGCTGCTGGAAAAGGCCCTTGACGCCGGGTCAGCTGACTAGCCCCAAGCCCTTAGGACAGAAACCAGCCCCCAGGAGCCGGGCCGGGCCGAGGGGCCGGGCGCTCCAGGTGGAATCATTCAAAAGGAATCTGAGCGATACTGAAAAGAGTCTGGCTGAGCAGCACTGGGCTCATGTTTTTCCTGCCCTGGGACGTGTCCGGTGGGCACTAGGGACGGGGTGTGGGGGTGTGTGCATGGATCGCGGGGCTCTCCGAGGCTCCCCGAGAACCTCCGTGATGGGACCAGGCTGTCACTGAGTAGCGGTCGCTAAATTCCGTGGTGGCAACTCTTAGGAATGAAAGCAACCTCTGTGCTTGCAGGAGCAGCGAGCTCCGTGGCAGCCGCCAGGCCCAGAGCCCCGGCCTCGAACATGGGCTCTCCGCGGCCTTCAGCCGGTGCGAAGTGCACACGCAGGGGCCGGGAGCTGGTCCACCGAAAAACAGGAAGGCCGCGGGGAATTCCAAGCCAAATAAGGGCCTCTGGGCCGGACGCCCTCATCCCCGCGCGGGCGGCTCTGGGTGTGCCCTCACGTGGGCCTGGAAGTGGGCACGGCGCCGCCTCCCCCTCGCAGCCAGGCCCAATTTAAAACCCCCAGGTGACCCCTAGCAGCGTGAAACTTGTTCATTCTGATTACAGTTAATTATGTAAATTAAGTGAGCATTTCTACAACAGCGTGCAGTGCACTCACACTGGGGCCTGAGCATGGCGATGACTGAAAAACCCCCCCAAGAGTGGCGGGTGGCATGGGTTCTGCAGGCCAGGCTGTGTGGGGGCCTCCATGCTCGGCGGCAATTTCTAGCCCCACCTGGGGAGGTGCGCGCTGAATGCAGCTGCACCGGCTGCAGCCCCCCCATCCCCACGCACTGCTCTTGTGTCAGCTTACAGCACCGGCCCGGCCCAGCAGCCCGCGCAGGGACAGCACCCCGTCCCGCTCGAAAATCACCGGGTGGTGGGCTGGCCCTCTCCCGACCCCCGTGGGTCGTTGGGGTGACGTCATAGGGTCTTCAGGGCGCCCTAACTGTGATCTTTACCAAGACAAGTCAAAGCACACCCTGGGGTCCCTTCCCTCCGGAAGGGGCAGCCGTCCTGGCTGACACCTCCGGGGGGGGGGTGTGCAAAAACCAGTACCCCCGCCTCGCCGGGCATCTGTCACCAAATCTAACAGTCTAAGGGGGCTGGTTTACGGCAGCTCCTGGCGTCAGGGAGCCCCGACGCCTTCTGCACCCCTAGGGCGTGCGTGCTCGTAAGGTCAGAAATATCAGAGCTAGAAGGTAACTTCTGCTTTTTGTCATCTCTGGCTGCTGCCAAAAGAACAAAGGTTTATCAGACTGCAAGGGACACAGTGGTGAATTGGCAGCTGGCAGCCTTCCAGAGAACATGTCATCAGCCAGTGAAACTTGATTACGGTCAAAAGCAGCCAAGAAAATGCAGGAGTCCACGTGCGCCCCGCCGGCCCAGGCCGCCCCGCGCTCCGTCCGGCCGGGCCAGGCGCTGCCCGTAGCAGTCACAGTGGTGGGGAGAAACAACTCCAAGGTTTTTTTAAAGTTGTATTAAATATAAGTCTTAGCACCTTTGGCATTTTTGTCCAAATAGACTTCGACGTACGAGGTGGGGACGTAGCCCTCCTCGTCTTCGCTCCTCCGGATGCGCGTCCACCCGTCTCCCTTGTCTTCCTCGATGACGTACAGCGTTTCTCCCTCCGCCACCGAGATGGTTCCTTCATTCTGACCTGAAAAGGCAGCAGCAGAACAGCTCAGGTTTTTGTCAAACCCAGGCCGGGAGCAGGCCGGAGGCGTGGCAGAGCCAGGGGTGAGGCGGGCCCAGCTCCGTGCCATTCACCCCCTGACCTCTCGGTGCCCATTTTGGCCTGAAATCTCCTTCCATGTGGAAGCTTCCAGGGCCTCATCTTTGGTAGATCAGGACATGCAGGGAACACGGGGTACTCGGGCTCGCTCTGGCCTCCCGCCGCCCCCCTCTACAGCCGCCACCTGCGGCCTCTCTTTCCTCCCGGCTGCATCACCTGCGCGGGACATCACGTGGACGCAAGAGGTGCTGGGGAGCCCGGGCGAGCACCCGTGGTTGCGGGCGCCGGTGGGCCGGGCGCGGGCCTGCAAATGCAGACACGTGGGCCGAGAAGCAGCAGATAAAAGGGGAGGTTCGCGGGGGCTGGGTTGCTGCCTCTCTGCCTGCGTCCAGGCCTCTGAGTCAGCACCAAGGGCGTGCTAGAGATACCGAAGGCTCCAAAATTCTCTTTTGCCTGCCGTGAACCTGCCCGGCCTGGGGGGCACAGCAGGACCCTTCTCTCTTCCGTCTCTCCTCTCCCTCCCAAGCGCCAAGTGGTTCCACAGGGGAATCTGGCTTCTCTCTTCTCTCTGGCATTTCTCTCCTGGCTTGAAAGTACCCGGCCTCTCTAAGCAATCCCCCACCTCGCCCCCGACTCTGGTTTGTCTGTGACTAAGGGCCCCGTTCTTCTGCCTGAAACCTGTCTCTACTTCGCGCGGCCCTGCACCCAAGGCAGCGTGGGTGAAATTGGGTTCGCGGCTTCTCCTCCCCAAAGAGCCCCCTCCTCCTTCCCCACTCGGTGGGCACCTCCACTGCCCCAGAAACGCAACTTCTGAACTCCTGTGTATCCTCGTCTCCTGGCCCCCGACTCCATCAGCCAGGAGCCGTGTCCATCAAGGTCCCCAGAATGTTTAAGAAAATTCCCCAAACAAGCCACCCCTGCTAAGACCTTGAAAGGCGCGAGCTACCTGTGGGGACCTGGGGGGTTGGGGGGGAGGGTGGTGGGCCGTGGGGTGCTGGCGGAGGGCAGTGGGCCATGGGGAACTGGGGCAGGTGGGCGGGCAGCGGGCTGGTTTGCCCGGGAAGTAAAGTCAGGGATGTTTATCCTGGCACTTTTTGGGGCACAACAAACAAGTCATTAAAGGCTCTGAAAAGTCCTAGTAAAACGAATCTGTAAGCTCCCCCACCCCGGGCCTTCCCAAGGCTTCCTGGCACCAATGGCCGCTTCCGAGCCTGGTGTAGCCACTCCGCTCGCGGCCGCCCCCAGCTCTTCAGGTCAGGAAGCATTTGCCTGCTTTCTGGCTGATCCTATACAATGGCAGCAAGCGTCCCAAGGCCGCGCTGACTCCGTGTTGGCCAAATAAAATCCAAGTGTTTCCAGCTGCCCCCATTGGAAACACACTCTCCAGCCTCCCATTCCACGGTTACCACGAACCCCAGCTGAGCTCCGGCCACAAACCCCAGGCTTCCCGCGCCCCTGCTGGGGCCTCTGGCACCCGCTGTGCAGAGCCTCTCTCAACGCCAAAGGGCGTGACCTCACTCCACAAAGCCCAGCACCCCGGGCTTTCACGGGCCACCCACAGGGCAACTACCCTCTGCTGGCTTCTCCCAGGGCCCACCCATCCCTGGCTCTCGCCCCCACCCCCAGGGGCCTTTCCGCGTGGGCCTGTGTCCACTCCAGGAATGGATGAAATCCTCACCATCCCCCCCCAGGAAAGCTCACTGGAAAGTGGTCAGAAACTCCGCGGACCCAAAGCCGACATGCCCAGCCCCGGCCCAGTAGCCAGGCCCTGAGCAGAGCCCCGGCCGGGTGGAGACGGGGCGCTACCTTCAAAGGTGTACAGCGCCTTGCAGGTGCCGATGGCCGGGAGCGGCTCCTCGTCGTCAAATTCGTCGTCGAAATCCGTGGCCAGCACCTTCACCTCGCTCTCCTGACTCTGCTCCTCCGTGTAACTGCCATCGGGGCTGCTCAAGACAGGAAAGCACGCGGCAACTATAGCGACCGCCCGGACCCCGGCCCGCCCCGCACCCGCCCAGCGCGGCCGCAGCGACGGTACCTCTCGCGGTCCTGCGCGCAGTTGGCCACCGCCGGCGGGTTCTGCGCCTCGTACATCCCGCTCTGCCGCCGGGCCTGGTCGCCGCGCGCCGGGAGCCGGCCCTCCACCTCCGCCAGCCAGGCCTGCGGAGCAAGCGGGGTGGCCTGAGCGCCCGGCCCCGGCGGGGCTCTCCGGGGCACCCAGTGGGTGCAGCAGGACCCCCGGGGTGTGTGTCCCGGGGTTTGCATCTGACGGGACCGTCCCCAGGGCGCTGCGCCCCTCTGCCCCCCTGGGGAGCGGAGGGGACAGGGAGAAAGAGCCTGTGAACACGCTCGGGCTTTGGGACAGCTGTGTGACTTGGGATAAGTGGCTTCTAGTGCTTTCTGGATCCCAAAAATCTAACCCCGAGGTCCCCCTGGGAAATCCGCGCTGCAGGGACGCTGGCTCCCTGAAAGCCAGATTTCCCGCTGCCGAGGGAGGGGCCTTTCTCCTCCGTCCTGAGGACACGTAGCCAGGAAATGAGAGCAGATAAGATTGTCTTCAGCTGCGTTGGAAATGGTGTAAAAAAGGCAAAAATAAAACTGACCAGAAAGGCCTTTGGAGGTTCTAAAAACTCAAGCCTAACTCGCTGGCGGTCTGGAAGGGCGGGGAGCGGAGCTGCTGGAGCCGTCGTCGCTGGAAATTCCCTACTGATCGACACGCTCAGTAATTTCTCATGACTCCGAGGCCTTAAATTGGGGGGCGGGGGGGGCAGAGAGAAGCCTTCTGTCTAATTCCGAGGCTTGCTCCAAAAACAAGCGTCACGTGTGTTTCCTCGTTCTTCACGCGAGTCCCGTGGGTTCCCTCTCACCTGCTCACGCCGACCCCGAAAAGCCCAAAGCCGTGTTCCCCCGATTTCTTAAATTGTGTCTGTGGTTCCCTGCGATGGCCGGACACCCCCACTGCGTCCTCCATCAGCAGGAGGCGAAGCCGACCCCGCACCCCAGATGCATAACATCAGCACTGAGCAAAGGCGACAGCGAAGCCGCGTCGGGGACGGCGAGCTCGGGACGCCCCTCAGTGGAGGGCCCGGCTGTTGTTGGGCCAGGGCGCCCCAAGGCCGGGCTCAGGCGGCCCCCACACCGCGGTTCGTACCTCGAACTTGCGGGCCTCCTGGCGCAGCTTGTCGATGCTGTGGCTGACCTCCGCGAGCTTGTGGTCCAGGCTCGCGGGGTCCCCCATCTGCGGGTTCTTTAAGTAAACATCTTTCATTTTCGTGATGGCCTCTCTGAAAGGAGAACGGGCAGGTCACGGAGGGCGCGGGCCGGGGGCCTCTCCTCCAACAGCCCCAAATGCAGAGTGGAAGGGGGTCGCTGTGTGGGGGCTGGAGGGGGAGGGACCCCCGTTTCCTCGAAGACGCTTCTAAGAACCCCTCCTCCGCCCGGGTCTGTGGAGCCAGAACCCAACATTGAAAATCCCGTTGTTTTCTGAAGGGAGCGCCCTGTTGTCTTCAGCACGAAACAGAAATTGATGCTGCCCGGCCCTGGGCCCCAAAAAACAGCAAAAACAAGCACCCCAGAGATCTCCCAACCTGCTGGCACCAAAGCAGACCTGACGCCGCCCTGGGGGTCCCGTACCCGAAGGCACAGCTCATCGCTTTGCAAGTTGTACCCCACACCACTTCCACTAGTAAACTGCACCCTCGGGGGCCTCGCTGACGGGGTGCAGAGCTCAAAGCTACAGACCCCAGACTCCACAGCCCCCGGAAACCAGACTTGGAAAGCCCACCCTCAGCTGCCTGAGGGGCATCCCTGGACTGGGGGGGCGGGTGCTGGGGGTTGGCCCAAGGGCCAGAGAGCTGAAGGAACGTGAACCCCAGCTTCAAGGGACTCCCAGCAGGGTGTGCGGAGTTAGACCAAAGGTCTGCTGGGAGGTGGGGGCAACTCTGAAGTGTCCCAGCACAAGGAAGTCTACACCCATGTGCAGCACAGACCAGCAAACCAGACCATCCTTTGGGGCGTGGGGGAGAGTCTAACTGAAAATGCTGACACGGCAGGAAGGGAATGGCCCTATGTCCTCACCTCCCCTGCCTGCGCCTGACATCGGAGCCCATCACTCCAACACCCCTCCCCGCCGAGTCCCCATCAGAACCCGCCATCCCCAGTACCCCCTGGCCCCTGGCGAGCTCGACCTCCTTTTACCTCCAGGGCCTGGACCACTTGCCAGTGTCCCGCCTGGTATTACTGAGCCTCTTCCCACCGCTGGAAGCTCCTGGCAGAAGCCCCAGGGCTCAAACTTCCTGTTCACTCGCTGGACCCCCCCAGTGCAGGTCTCCCCGCCCCTAACCCGCGGGCCTCGGACCATAACAGCAGATGCTCTGGAGGCGCCTGATAGATGCGTAAGTGTCCTTGCAACAAAGGCACGGCCACCGCTGCAGAGCGCCCCCCTCCACTTCACGGCTATGCTGCCAGCTACTGGCCCCCTTCTCAGCAAAGCTTTTCTCTCCATTCCCTACTTTTCTAAATTCTCAGTCGCTGAGAGGGTGGATTCTGGAGTCGGTCAGGCCTGTTCTCAGCCGGGAATCCTCCCAGGAGCTGGCCGGCCTGGGGCTCGTCAGTGCCTCCTGCAACTAATAGTGACGACGGTTCTTTTAGTGACGACCGTTCTTTGTCTTAGATTCCAACTGAATCCACCTGCCTCTCACTCACGGAGCTGCGTGATTTGGGAGGTACGACCTCGTGAAGTGTATTTCTAAGCCCAAATGAGAACAAAGTTAATAACAGGTGCTCCTCTTTTTCCTAAGTCGCAGCAGTGTTTATAGAGCAGCTTCCAGGAGTTACTCTGGCAGAGGTAAAGGAATGAAGAACTTCCCTTTCGCATGTCTGTAAGCTGGACTGTCTCACCAGCTTTGCGCCTTTGTCACATGGCCCGATGCTCACCCCAGGCTCCTTAGAACTAAACCCTACGCAGGACCACCACTCGCTCGGTCTGCAGGTGGATAATAAAAATCTCAGGTTTTCTATTAGAAAATGTCAAGTTCAAGTCTCAAGTCAGTGACTCACCAGTTCACTGACTGGGGAGCGATAAGGAGAGGGACAGAGGGTTTCCATCAGGATCACCAGCAAGTGTCTCCTGAGTGATGTCAAGGTAATACAGTTTGGCATGGGAAAGACAAATGTTTGCCTACCCACCCCCCCGCCCCATGTACACCAGCCCTACTATCTCTAGCATCAAATGTAGAAAACTGCTCAGAAAATCCAGGAGGGGTGGGGGCCGGTGCAGCCCCTTCTTAAGAGCAGCCAACTCGGCCTGGAAAGGCTGGTGGCGTGAATAACGCGCCGTGCTGGGCTTTACCTGCTGGCACCGCCACGCTCCCGATAACAGGCAAGAAGCTGTGAGAACCCAGAGGAAGGTCGAGTTCTACTACTCAAACAGAAAGGCAGGTACCTACTGGGCCCAAAGCTAGGATGTGGGACATGGGGAAGTCCTGCTACTTTTCTCTTCCTCCCTGCTACCTAAAAAGGACTCACCTGTACACTCACGACAGGCATTTTGTTTCCCCAAACCCCAAGTAAAACCTATTGTATTAGGCAGGCCTGACATCACCCAGCAGACCCCCGATGACAGTCACAACCCGCATTGGGCCATGATCGGATTTAGGACCCCCCGTCTTCCCAGAAGGAACCCGGATTTCGGTCCACTCTACCTTTGGTCCATCTCCTTTTGAATTTCTTTATTTAATTCATCGACTTTCTGCTGTAGCTTTTTCCTTCTCTGTTCCGGGGGGAGGTTGCTGAAATCCTCTGGCGACGCACCCTGCAGAGGCAAATATAAATGAGCCAGGGAGCCTGACGGTGCTCCTGGAGAAAGATACCCAAGAAAGCCTGCAGGGAGAGTCCCCCAGCACCAGGAGGATGAGGCGCCTGCTGCATTTCCACCAAGTAAACAAAGCTTTTCCCACGGCACCCAGCTGAGAGGCAACATCGGTGCATGCAAACAGCGAGTCCCACGGCCATTTCACAGGCCGTCTCTGCTGGCCACGCGCCCGCGGGAAGGCAGGGAGGAGAGAGGGCAGGAAACACCCGATTGGCCCAGGAGCACCCACTGGAGACTGAGCCCTCAAGGCCGTCAGTGCCTGAGGCAACGCGGAAGCTTAAGGAAGTTTTTCTCCATTTAAAACAGCCGAGATGCCTGGGCTGCTGTTCCCGGGGCTGCGCATTCCTTCCTGTGTCTCCACTCAGGCTGAGGCCAAGGGTTCCCATCCCCGGCCAGGGACTGATGGGAGTCGAGCTCCCCTGCTCCCTGAGGATCCCCTGTGTTCCCCCCGAAGAGCTTGGTCATTCCTTTTTGGTATCTTTAGGGTAATCTCAGAACACCCGGCCTAGGTCAGTCTCCCCCCGGCAGGAGACCTCGGCCGCTGTCAGTCCAGCTCAGTCCGTTGTGGCCTCCGATTCCCTCTCGGGGCAGGGCTAGCTTTCAGCGGTGCATGTGATGTAAGCTGAAAATGTCCAGGTTCCAGACGTTGCTTCCTTGTTAGAAAGTTCTGGTTCCTTGTGGTTGCTGGACGTTTTCACTCTGGTGGGGCTGATTTCATAAGGAGAGAGAAATCCAGGGCCAAGCCAGGGAGCCAGGGGAGAGATTTCACCTTAGAACGCAGTAAACAAGGGCAAGGCTGGCTGGGGGAGGCTGGGAAAGCTGGGACCCAGGTAACGTCAACCCAGAATCGAGGCCGAGGTGCCAAGCAGCGCCCGCGGGGCTGGTGACCCAAGTTCCGAGGCTGCTTCCAATAAAGCGAATTCCTCTGCAGCGTGAACCAGGCCGGGTTTCTCGTCCACAGACGACCGTGTTCTGATACTTGAAGCCTCCGCTGTGTTCCTCCACACACTCCTTTTCGTCACCGCCCGAAAGCTCACGCCTTTGTTCTTGGGCTCAGTGGACTTAGGACCCTCCACGGGCTTCCTAAGACGGAAGGCAGCCCTGCACGCAAATGTGCCCAGGGGACCATGGGCGTGAGTTTTTAAATTTAGGTTTTCACTAAAATGTCAATAGCCACACGTGGTGAGTGGCTCCCCTGCGGGGAGGGGGTCTGGCCTGTCCAGAGGGGCAGCGCTGTGGCAACAGCGGCAGAGAAATCTGTACGTAAAACACCCCGTACTTGTGATGCGCGGTCGGGCCCCAGCAACACAGCAAGTGAGGACGAAACACTAAATAAATGACTTCTCTTTGCTCAGTCAGGGCCAGCAGGTGGGGTCCCCTGTGTTTTTCTGCGTCATCAAAACCAATCTCAGGGACGATGCCTCCGACAACTTCTCGTTGCTGTGGGAGACTCAGGACAGCAGCTTCCTCTAGATCCAAAGAAACTCAAGGTTTCTGGAAAGTTCTTAAAAGGTCACTTCACCCCATTGTCTGCTGATGCTTCGATTCTATTAAACAATGCTCTGCCCTGTGATTCATTTTGCCTTGAGGGGATTATTTCTAGCTTTGAGTCAGAACAGACTTCCTGGAATGGCCCCCGGTGCAGGGACTGGCCATCCCGGTGGCACCAGGTATGGAGCAGGGAACACCAGAGATGGGAGCTGCTCTTCCAGGCGGGGACCAACACCCGATAGGAGTCGAGCACCTGCTCCCGAGCCCCCCATCCCGCCCCCCAGCACCAGCTACTTCTTGAGGCTTCACAAACCATCTTGTGCAACACTTGGTATTAGCTTCAAAACAACGGTATGATTCAGTACCGGCCGGTTCCGGGATCGTATGTTGAACAGAGAGCCTGTCTTATGCTACGCTGCTCGGCACCTCCGCCAAAAAGTTCAGGACAGAACCCCGAGTGTTCCCTGCGGCACCCACATGGCCTTCCTTCCAGCAGAAGCCCTTCACAGGACTCTTCATGGGATCTTCTCTCCCATCTAAGAAACGTTTAACTGTATAAAATATTCTCTAGGGCTGGGTCCGTTGCCAAAAATACTGAGTTGGGCTGAAAAGATGAATGTGCACGTGTCGATACTCAGAGGAGTGTTTCCCTGAAATATTCCCCGTCACCCCCACAGTGCACGTGGTACTGACCTTACTCCCGGCTGAATTGTCTGTTTACCCCTGCAGATCATTCCAGAATATTCTCAGCCGGCGTGTGGGAGAATACTACGTAGCTTACGCATATTTGAAGTACAGTTACGGGTTACAAGGTTAAGAGTTTCTTTTAATAAATATGCTGATTAGTTTGTTTACTAGGGCTAGACAATTAAGGAGAAACTAAGACATACTAAGGAAATACTTTTAGAAAGGCTTAGGAGGCTATTTTCGCTAACATCACCTTGTGCGTTCTCAAATCAGCTTGGCACAAGGCGCCGCGTGTTTCAGTGGCACCTTCAGGATGGTTTCGATTCTCGCCTGATTTGAGGCTGGCATCCTTCTGGCAAGCCCCCCAGGGATTTCCATCACCCTTTAGACTCCTGGGAAGGAGCAGCTCCCAATTATTCAATTTACCTTTATTCAAAATGCAGGCCCCGATATTTCATATTTAGGATCATATTTAAATAAAGCGTATCATCCTCTTAAGGCTCCCGTAATTAAAGAAAACCAAAGCATGGGTTAAGAGTTAATTTTCTTAGCTCTTGAGGAACATTAAGATCACCGCTGAGATTCGGGACCTTTGCACCCCCGAGGGCAGATGAAGAAACACCCATGAAAGCAGCGAAGGGGCAGGCAAGTCCAGGGAGCTCAGAGACACACCACACACAGCACCCACAAACACACACCAGAGGCCTCCGCAGGCCCGGGACATGCAGGGGGAGTTGTGCTTACCAGCTTGAGAGAAAGCTTCGCGTAAAATGCCAGGGGAGGAGAGAAGGGGAGAGAAACAGAAACACATCAGAAGAGCAGCGACTCGCAGTCCCCGCTATAACATAACACAGACGTTCACCTGCCGCTCGCGAACTGGCGGTAGCGGGTCTGTGCGGAAGCTCACACGGGGGGCTGGACCCTACCGAACCCCTCTTTAGCTGCCATGTTGCCAGAGCAAACATTCAAATGGCGGGGGGCCCTGGTTTGCAGTTCTGGGTCAGCTACATCAGCCTAGAAGCACTGAACTAACACGACTTTGCAGTCGTGACAGATAATGATTATAAAAGACAAGGAATCCTGCCGGCTTTTGGTCACTGCATTTCTCCTGGAATGTTCTGGGCAGCCTAAAAGAGTCTGAAAGGCAATTACTTCCACGACGTACAAGCAATCCTTTTAGCTGAAAAAATCGAATCTATTCGAACTCTGGCATTTCCTAAATGTGAAGACAAACTGGCAAAGGGGTGTGTGGGCGACCAGGATGGAAGTGGAGGCTCTGTTCTGAGCCTCCCAGGGCGGCACAGTGTGGGGAGTTCCCAGGAGTGGCTGCTCTGAAAGTTACTGTAGGAGATGATCGCCGTCAAGGAGCGCACGGGGTGTTCCTTGCTGCGGCTTTTTGGCTAATAATGAGCAGGGCCCTGCACCCTGCGGGGGCTGGAGAGGAGCGTGCGTCTAGCAATCAGGTGGACCCAAAACTGATGACAAGGCAGCGCCAAGTGGGGAACAAAGGGAAACATCTGGTTCTTCAAACTAGCAGGTGAGACCGACGGCTGTGTAGCGGGGTTTTGAGGGGACAATGTGCGTTTCCTTGGCTGGCGGCCATCGGTAGTGCAGGTGCTGGTAATAGGGTCCAAAAAATGTAGGGGACAGAGCCCTGCCATGAGGAGAGGGTGTTCAAAATCCTTCACCACAGTTAAATAAAATCTTCCCCTACAGGTTAACTCAGTCGGCGCCTCTTTGTGAAGGGGCAGTAAGCTTGTAAAGAAAATGTCCCAAGGAGGGAAGAAGAGTTTTAAGGGAAGAAGCAGCAAAACACAAAACTTTGGGGGGCCCAGGAGTGGCAGGTGGGTGGAGGTCCGGGGCAGCGGGGGCTCCTCGGCCCTCCTGCGAGCTTCCGCACAGACCCCTTCGTGGCGCGGGGCTGCTCAGAGACGACACTGACGGTGCGAGCAGAGCCTGGCAAGCCTGCCCTCCAAAGCACTGTCCTCGGCAAGTCTCCTTGCGCTTTTCTCAGCGCCGCTAACACAGAGAACCGAGTCTGAACTCGGCACGCTGTCTGCTCTGTCCCTCCCTGAGCGACGCCTGGTCTTCCCTCGGCGTCCCTGACGCGGAGTCCTGACTACTCGCGCGGCTGACGCCCGCTTCATCCTGAAAACCAGTCGCTCGGATGGAGCGCCAGTCCCCGTGGAAACGGGGAACGCCGAGTTCTGGGCTCTGGGGTGACAGCGATGGGTCACGGTGGGAGGCGCCATCCCAGCATCGGGGGCGCTTCCCAACCAACACAGACTGGTGTCCGGCCCTGAGGGGTCAGGCCAGCCAGCTGCAGCATGAAGGGCGAGACGCCTGGGCACCTGCCGGGAGAGCTCGCGCACACTTGGGGACCGCAAAGCCGTCAGTGGCAGGCGACAGTTATGGGGTCGGGGAGCCACACGTGTCAATAACACATGAGGGGCACAGAGCCGGCGGGGCCATGTGTTATTGGGCCGTCACAGGTACTAACCTCAGTACAAGAAAGGGGACAGGGGACATAAACACATTGGGAGGCCCGGGAGGCGCCCGGGAGGCATTTTCCCGCTCCCTGACCTGGCTCGTGCTTTATCCATTCTGTTTCTCCCAGTTCAAGCCTCCCCGGGGCCGTGGGTCACCGACAGGGTGTGTGGCCGAGTCCCTGGGCAGCCGCCTGCGAGGTCGTCTGCCCGCGGCCAGCCCCACGGCTGCGTTTTAGGGGTGAGATTTAGACTCAGACACCTCGGTGATATACAATCACTGAAATATGGGGGTGCTGGGGACACCAAGCGCAGCTCAGTGGCACTTGGAGGAGTTCACTATTGCTGGAAACCTGGGTTCCGTTTTCCAAGCACATTTTCTGAAGGAAGGAGCCCGTGGCCGGGTGCGTATCCCACAGGCTCTCCTGTGTCCGGGTGTCTCAATTGAGAATTTCATTTTGCGGTGGCGGGGGGCGGGGGGGAGCCTACAGGGTCTGGGTCCCCAGTCTTGGCGCTGGCAGCGGGTTAGTGCCTGTGTCGTGACTGAACGACCTGGCCGCGGCAGGGAAACTTACAACATAGTCCCTAGCTTCAAAAGCATACGTGGGCTTCCCTATTGTCCTCTTCATGAGTTCTTTGTGAAAACAGAAAGAGTGAGTCTGCCAACAATCGGGAGGAGAACAAGGTGAGATAAATAAAATGAAAGGAACCGTAAGATTGTAACAGCTGACAACGGAAAGGATTTTCAACAGCTTTTGCTCACAGACCGTGGCATCTTCCCACAGAATTAATTCCAGAACGCGGCCGCGGCCTCTTTCTGACGAGAACAGAACCGCCTCGTCTCCCTGGGCGCGTGTAGACGCAGCGAGGACTAGGGAGGCCGGGAGAGCCAACCCGGCCTTAGAGGTTCAGCGAAACCAAATTTCCTTACCAATGTCAGTGATTGACAACAAAAAAAATCAGTTGACAACAACCAAATCAGTTTAGCTAAGACATGCGTGCACTAGACCACACGCTCTGAGAACACAGACAAACCGTGAGAACTGGATCTGAAAACAGCAAAACATGATCGATTAAAAGACATTGAAATGAGATTTGTTATCCTCTCGGGATACGTTCCCCTCTTTGGCACAATCGTCTAAAAGTTAAAAAGTAGAATATAAGCAAATAGCACAAAACCCAGGCGTGGGGCCTCCAGCCACGCACCTCCCAGCTGTCACTGGTTCAAGAGCCATTTCATTCCCCCAAACTCCTCATTTTACTTCTGTGATGCATTTCCTTTCTCTTCCTTCCTGCACTGGTCTCTCTCTCCGCCCCCCCCCCCCTTTTTACAGGACTGCTGTTTCCTGAAGAAAAGGCTAGCAAATGGGACCGTGCCCATCAACAGGTGACGGGACTTTTTCACCCTTAGGACATTATTGAAGCAGTCATTTGCTGAGCTCCATTAGAGGAGTAAGAAATAAGGTTCATTTTGCTAATTATAGTTAAAAAAAATGGTCTTTATCATCAAAACATCCTTTGTTTAAAAGGATCTTACATCTCTTCTCTCCTTTTCCTTACCCTTACTGATAGCAGACACTCGCTGGTCTTGGGCTAAACACTTAGAGGCCATGAGACACGTATGCAGAAACTGCAATTAGCAGATGGGGGTGACGCTGCGAGAATGGAATAAACCCACCAACACGCTGGGCATAATCATGAATAGTTAACATCCTCCACGCTGAGCTTCCAGAAGCCAGCACAGAGACATTTATCATGAGTGTAAACGAGAGCTCGTAAAGGTGTCGGAGCGGCAGGGGAGGGTTCACTGCCTACCGTTAATCTAACACTTCATGGCTCAGCCAGAACACCCTGTCCTGTGTGGGGCCTTCTCCAATGAAGTCGAGAGGATGGACCATTTCAAAGCTGGCAGGGGTGGGGTGGGGGTGCTAGGAAGAGCCCCATGCCCATCCCCCCCGCTCCACAGCCATCCTCTGCCTTCTGATAGCGGCTCTCATGACGCCTTTAGGAAATTAAATTTCTACTTCTTGACCTGACGTGCTGGGTAAATTTAAAATGAGATCATTCCACCAGCTGTATTCTGAGGGTTTATGCAAAGAACACAGCTTATAAAGGAAGGGCAGGGCGGGGTTGCTCCTTATCTAAACTAACAACTGAGTTATCTATCCTTTGTCTATGTTCTTTCTTATCTAAACTAACAACTGAGCTATCTATTCTGTGTCTACGTTCTTTCTTACAGAGGGAGGGGAAGGTGAAATCAAGAACACACCCACTTGAAGGCCTACAACACCCTCCAGACAGGCGAGGCCTCGGGGCCTGTCACCACCCTGCACGCTGGCTGGCTCTGCTGACGTATTCTGTGTTCATTATGAAAAATATTTTGGGACAGTTTAGTCTAAACTGGCCGCTCAGGTGTTCTCAGGAAGCTGCCCAGGACTATTCCTGTTTTTCTCAGCCAGACTGGTACCTACTTTGGGTTGCTGGAGAAATTCCAGAAGCCTGCGACGTAAGCACGGGCGCTGGGATTTGAGTGCAAACCCAAGGCCGCTATCACCCAGGAGGGAGGCAGCCAGAGCCTGCAGGCCAGGGGCAGGCCTGGCTTTGCTGCTTCCTGACTTCATATTTTTCAGCCTCAATTTTCTTATCAATAAAATAAGGAAATCCTAACAGTCCTCAGGCCTCCCAGGGTGGTCGAAAGAAAGGAAATGAGCACAGAACAGGCCCCCTGCGAGTGTCGGCCCTTATTAGTTCACCCTTTCAGATAGACGCTGCTGAAGCCTCCAGGCAGCAGATCTTGTGTCGACCTCTCACAAACGCTCTCCCATAGCTAAGGGAACCGCTGTGACTCGCCACGTTTCCCTTCCAGCCCCGGGCACAGCTGAGGGTCCCCCTCACACACGCTGCCAGTGATGATGAAGCAAATATTTCCTGTCTACACAGCAACTTCCAATTCCTCATCTCCTATGTCACTAGCTGTAGAAATGGAATCGAAGTTTCTCTCTGAGATTTTTTGGGGTCACTTCAAGGTATAATATTTATGAATTCCATGTTCCCAAGGGAAGTGGAGAAAAGTCCTTTCAAATTGTCTTAGAGACAAAAGGACTGGGGCCCGGCTCCCTTCTCTTTCCTTCTGCCCATCCTGCCTCCTCTTCCTCCTCGCTGGTCACCTTCCCAGCTAGCAAGAATCCCGGGCTCTGACTGTTTCATCTTAGGGGAAACACCCTGGGTTCATTCGCAAGCAAAGTAGGTTTTGCCAAACATGCGACGCAGCGCGGACGAGACAGGACTCGGCAGCAGGACTTACCCCACGCTTTAGGCTCCTGAAGCAGTGGATTTTGGGTTTGGAGGTCATGAACTCGTTGAAGCGATGGGAGAGGGGTTCCTTTTGCTGCTTGGGAGACTGGGGGCCGTTGGGAACAGCAGAGGGTGAGGCAGAGGCAGGGGGAGGAGGGGGGGGCTGATGGGGGGATGTTAAAAGGAACATAAGCTGTGTGTAAGAGATGGTGCAGTGACAGAGTAAAAAATCAGAGACGAGAAAATAAGACACAAAACGAAAATAAGCATCAAATAATATTTGAAATCCAAAGCAAGTAAAACACAAACAATTAAATATTTAGGCCATGGTCCAACAGAAAGCGTGGAGGAGATGGTCGATGAGGATGGGGTGAGAGGAAGCCTCTTAGTAGGTCAGGCGGCACCAGGAAAGCAAGAAACACTCCACAAGCTCATGCAGATTTCCCCATGCAAACTACCCGTTACTTCCTCGAAACCCGGGTAAGCCAGAGGGGTCAGTACTTCTAAACCACCTGAACTGACAGAGCTCGATGGGACCAAAAAGGAAAGCCCTCAGCGCTAAGGTTGTGGAAACAGCAGGACAGTCTCTACAATTAAATATTAAATGATTCTGAGGTTAAAGCGTTACGGTTGCCTCGATCCCATTCTACGCCCGGGTTAATTCCATCATGCACGGGGTGGGGGGCAGGCTACAGAGAGAAAATGGAAAAATGTGGATGGAGACACATGTTAACATGAATTCGAAACCAAGTTATCAGCCGGGGAGACCATTTCAACCAGCGAGGCAGATAAAACGTGACAGAAACGCCAAAGGAAACAGCCGCTCCCCCGCGTCCAGGGCACGGGTCGAGGACGTCGGGGGGGGACAGGCGAGAGGCACAGCAGCCGAGGTCAGTAACCGTTAGCGGGTGACACGGGACGGGTGAGTAGGCACCGGAAATCAGACTAGAGGCCATGGCCTAGGCCCGCCACCGGAGAGAAATAGTTTCCCAAGGAAAGAGCACACTAGCTGTTTTACTTTTTTTGCATTCTGAAACTACACGTTTAACATCTTTTTTTAAAAGACTAAACGATAAAGTCCAAATGTCTGCACTTTGCCAAATTCCTTTCACGCAGTTCAACCATCAGTACCTTATTTTTTTTGATGAACGGCCATAGCTTTCCTTTGGATTTGCCGCCGAACTTGAGCTCCGATTTGCCTTCTCCTCTGGAATTCGAGAGGCTGTTCTCAGACACCGTGCGTTTCATCGACTGGGTATAATCCTCAAACTCAATGTCACCGGGAGGCTCGAACCCCGACTTATAGGCCTCGATGACCAGTTGGGAATCCTGCAATGACACAAGTGCATTCAAATGCAGGCCACGAGTGACTGGCACCCTGAAAGAATTCTAAGAAAGCTTCCTTAAGTTAGAACAATTTTCCCCAGATTTTTTTATCATTAGAAAGGATAAGTATAATTCGTAAAACACAAGCATGATATGTCTGGTTGAGGTTTGAAGAACCTTCCCATAACTGGTTCTCTAGTTAGAAAAACATTAGATTAAGAATGAATCTGTGAAAAGCCGGAAAATAGGCCAATATTATGTAACTCCCTTGAAAAGTACAGCCACACAAAAATCTCCGTTGGGCCTCCCTGGTGGCGCAGGGGTTAAGTCTCAGCGCTACCAAGCTATCGCCAGCCACTCTGGCATGAGTTTGAGCAACATGAGTTCGCTCCTGGGCCAGGGAGCTACCCACATGGCGCAGCAGACCTCTCCTGTCTCCCCGCTGCTCCCCTCAGCAGTGGGTTTCAGTGGATCCACCTGTTCTGTTCCCCACTCTGTCTCTGGTGAGTCCTCTCACCTCCACCCACACTTCTGGCCTGCACCCCAGTTCTTGTATGCATAAATTAAAAAAAAATCTTAAAAAAAATCATCTGGCTCCTGCCAGCAGCTCTGGAAGCCACAGGGCAAACAGTCAAAAGGAAGAGGACAGTCTCCTGTCGTGCCTGGCTCACTGTGGTTCGAGTGACGTGACTACATGCTTTCCTGTGAGTGCCCTCAGCCTTCCCTCCACGAGAAGGCAAGCGCGCTGCTCCTTTCCCTCCTCTGTGTTCCCAGAACCCGGATGCTGCCTGGGGAAACTGTGTAAAAACCTCAACTTGGTGTGCAGTGGCCGAATGGCAACTCCGGTGTGCTGCTGCTGGGGTCCAGGGCCAACATGGTGGGATGCAGAGTCAGGTGGTAGAGCCAAATACAAAAGGGAATCACAACCAGTGTCAGGTGGACGGACAGATGGGTAGATGGATGGATGGACAGATGATGGATAGATAGATACAGAAGATAGATGGGTGACAGACAGATGGATAGACAGACAGACTGGTATATAAAAACACAGGTGATTTGTAACCACATACTAACTCAATGCACAAAAGCTACCAGGGTAAACAATTTGGAATGTTTTCCACTTAACAAGAGCCCACATTTTCTTTTCTTTTCTTTTTTTTTTTTAAAGATTTATTTATTTATTTATTTATTTATACAAGCACTGGGTACAGTCAGAAGCACGGGAGGGTGAGAGAATCCACCAGAGCCAGAGCGGGGAGCAGAACAGGCAGAGTGACGAAGCACACTGCTGAGGGGAGCAGCGGGCAGCAGGAGAGGTCTGCGCGCCATGTGGGACCCTCGCCCAGCGGCCAGGGATCGAACTAGCGCTGCAGAGCTGCGGGCAGCTTTGCAACCCAGCACTCAACTGCTGCGCCACCGGGGAGGCCCAGGAGCCCACATTTTCATCTGCTATCACTTAATGTGCATTTTGCCACAGTCTCCAGTCCTCCCAATACTCCATCACCCTTTCTTCTTGGTAAGAACCCCGACTTTAAGTGGGGCACGTGAGCACCCAGGTAAAGGCTTCACTCTCCAGCCTCCTGAACAGCAGTGGGGGGGGGCCCTGTTTAAGCTGGAACCTCCAGGGTCCCCACGATGGAGGAGTCTTAGGGGCGGCATGGGCCCTTCCGCATGGCCTGGGGTTCAGGGGCCCAGAGGGGCTTCCAGGTCTCATGTCAAGGCTGTGAACTGGGAGGAGCTGGGTCCTATTGGACCCTCAGCCTGGAGACATGGTTCACATGGGAAAGGTCAGCTTCATGGGAGACACTCGGCTGCCGCACAGACGAGGCCCACGAGGCGGTTCCTGGCCACCAGGCGGCCGCCTGCTCTTGGGGACAGCGGATGTGAGCTCAGACACCTCATAGAAACAGACCAGTCTGGCGTTTAAGTGGCCGTGCAGCTTGAAAACTGCAGGCAGTGGCGAGGGGCGTCCGGCTGGCTGGGGAGAGGGTGTGGGAGCAGGGGCTTCACCCTATCTCACAGAGTGACAGTAAATCGCCCCTCCAGGCTTCGCTGGCACTTTGTGCCCCACCGTCCTACTTGATTTTTTCCCAGTGTGCTCATGTTCTGCTGCTCTGAGGAATGTGCTCCTTGACTTTGCCGTCGCTCCAGAGCAGGGCCTACCTGGCGGTGCAGGAAAGCTTATGCAGGGGCAAGCAATAAAAAGGACAGGGCGGGCCTAAGGGGAGAGCAGGGCCCTGGGGCACGGCCAGGCGTGGCCTCTCTGGGCGGACGACTCTCTCCGGTGGCTCTGGGAGGACGATCGACAGGGACTGAACCAAATGAGTGTCCAGGGACCACTCACCAACAAGGGGATAAACACACACTCCGCTTCCTCCACGTGAAATCCGTGGGACGAAACAGCCACAACCAGGCAGGAATAAAACAGACACCATGACATGAAAACTGCAATAAAACACCTACGACCAAGGCAGCAAGCTCGTAATTACCTTTGCCAAGAACCGATTCTGCAATGGCAAAGACACTGGAAAAACGTTCAACACATAGCGAGGAAGTTTGGGAAGAGGACAGGAAGCAAAGAAGGAGGAGCTGACCAGACTCAGAAAGCCGAGCTGGGATTCTCGAAGAAGAGAGCAAAACGGAATATACTCTCATTCGGCGAAGGAGGTGAGGAAGGCCCCAGGCCGGTGCCGTGGGGGGCTCTTCCAGGCAAGGTTGTTTGGCGTTTTCAAGGAAAACCAATATGGTGTGAGAAATGGTCGGTTCTGATTGGCGTCCGAAGCTGAAGCCCGCAGGGCTGGCTGATAAGCTGACGCAGACATGGGGGGAAAGGGAGGTTCCAGGGAGACTGAGATCTGAGCCCCTGGAAAGACGGGAACGCTGTGCCGGGGACAGTGAAGACACCCTGCCAGGGAGGGGCGGGAGCTCCATTTCGGATGTGCTGAGCTGGAGGGACATCTCCGGTCCGCGTGGACGGGACACTCGGCCCGCCCTGAGCAGGGAGGCGGCAGGCGGGAGGGTGAAGGGATGCGCAGGACAGAGAGAGGCTGAATGCTCTGCGGTGCGCAGACAAGAGGAAAGAGCTCAGCCGTGGGGTGCCCCCAAAGGCCCGCGGGAAAGGACCAAGTGGAGGAGCCGAGGCCAGCGGGAGGGACAGAGCAGCAATTTTCCGAGAATCTAGTGAAGGAGCAGGAGGAGGGTGGCCAGGTGGGCGCCAAGCTGCCCCAGCCCCTAAGACGCGGAAGCAGAACAGCCCCTCTGACGTGCAACACAGCGTCGCGGGTGAACAGCAGCCACCTGTGATACAGCAGAAAAGGAGGCGCCACCAAGGGAGGCTCAGCCGACAGATCCAGGGCTCACGCCGCCCCGAGCAAACGGTAAAGGGAAACCGTCATTCAGACAGAATCTTTTTGAAAGTGAAATTTTAAGGAATGAAAATTCTGGGCTGCTCACCTAAGGGACTAAAATCGGGCTTCCAAGATTGCAGCCAAGGCCAGAGTCACTGACGCTGAAAGGAGCCTTGGGGGTGGGGAGGCGCCGCATAGGGAGGCCCCCCTCTGAAGCTTGACTGTAAACCTCACTGTTACTATTGCCCTCTGGAAAGGCCTCTCCTCACATTCAGTTCTGCAGATTAATATGTGTGTGTCAGACAAAAAGCCCAAGCCGGGAGTCCATGAACTCTGTCAGAGAAACAGGCTTCCAGGATGGGAACCCGGGGGGATGGTCCCGGCCCCACAGCAGCAGCCTACTCTGCTCCCAAGGGACATTCGGGACCAGGGGCCCCCAGGGGGCAGGTGCTTCTCCACCACCCACAGGCCCCGAGGTCAAGGCTCGCCTGGCCCCAAGGCTGACAGTGCCCTGAGGAACCGGGTCCTGTCTGAGAAGCCCCTTGGCTAATGGACACGAGAACGTCCAGTTCTGTGCGTCACTCGCGTGCGATCCCTGCCAGAGGAGCTGGGAGCTGAATGGAAACACCCAGCGCCGAGCTAAAAAACTAACTTAGTGCTCGTGGCCCTACACACAGCCAGACAATGGCATGAGGCCGCCCTGGAGAACTCCAGTCTCCGGCATCAAGAGCCAACAGGCGATGCTTACGTTTTTCTGGTCAATCGACTCAGCGGCCTTGACGATGCCGTCCAAGCACTTCCCCAGGATCGGGGTCACCTGCCGGTCGACCTCGGCATACGTCTTCATGGACTCTCCGATCCGCACGATCCTCCGCTCCTCCATCTCTTGTATTTTCTGCAGGGTTCGAGTTTGCATGTAATTAGTTCAGGGAGCTGTGTCTAGACAGCTTGGTTACCCCTAGAGGAGGGTCAGGCAGGAGGCAGGCCTCATAGCAGGCAGAGGCGGCAAATCTGCCATGTCTTTTGTGCTGCCACTTTAGCCAGCTTTATACTTTTCAGGGGTCGTTAGGGGGCCCAGATGTGCCCCTCCCACCACCCCCTGTGCCCAGGAACGTTCTCCCTCTTCAATCTGCCAGTTCACCTTCACCAAACGCTTAGTCCTCAGGCAACCACCTCAGCCCAACAAGGGCTGACACGGCCTGTGTGCCCCTTCACAGGTGGAGGTTCTCCTTGGCAGCAGGCGTAGACGCCAAGGGGCAAATATTTATTATTTTTCTATAAATGAACTTGAATTTCTTAGCGATTCCTCGAGTGGGAGAACACACCTATGTATTTTTTTCTGATTCCATTCTTGACAGCACAAAGCAGTCAAAAGGAAAACTATCCAGAGGGGGGAAAAACTCATTTTTCAAACCCTGGGAATGCTGCTGTGGGACCGCTGCTCGGAGCCTAACGTTAACTTGGCATTTTGGAAAGCAAAGTGGACCCTTGAGCCAGAATGTCCACCTGAGAGCGGGTCCTGAGGCTGGAGAGCCTGGTGGTGGGTGCCAGGCCTGGGCACTGCAGAGGCGACTGACTCAGCTTGAGGTTATGCCATATTTCAGCTTATAGTGAGGAGGTGCTTGATCCGGGTGCTTTAGAAAATCCTCTCAGAGGAAACTTAGGATTATAGGAGTAGACTCGAGGTCCACGAGCCACGATTCCCCAGCAACGTGCTTCTGAAGCAGCGGCGCCTCCCTTACCTGGAAGATGCTGGGAATGTGCGTGTAGTAATATTCGTGCTGCTCATGGTTGAATTTCTGAAGAATGGACGAGTAATCGGCTTTGCTGTCCTCTGCCATCTGGTGACGGAGCTGAGCTTGCTGTCGTGCCTTTGGACAAAAATAAAAAAGAGAGGATGCCCTTGTGTTCACACGTGATAAAACTCTAGGACTGTAAGCTGAACGGGGCTAGGGGCCAGATCACCCTGAAACAAGGTGTACAGCGCAGGTGCTACTTTTAAAAAAATCACATAGAATTTTCATTTTCTCTTAAGGATGTGCATCCCCATTTGTCACAGTCCACACCATTCTCTATTGTCTTAGGCTGGCATTGTTTCGTAGTTTCTCACAAGAGCCACCATTCTCTATTGTCTGCCTTTGGCCCAATTCACATACTTGTTACTTGGAAGGCCCCTGCGCAACCACTACTCGTGTGTGTGTGTGTGTGTGTGTGTGTGTGTGTGTGTGTGTGTGTGTGTTATGTATTGTACATTATAGACATGTGGGAGAATTTGCAAATGTTTTTCACCAGTTCTCCATGGGGTCCCTGAACTAACAAGGCATATGGACCACTGATCTAAGGGAGTGTTCTAGAATTTTCCACTACGTTTACTTTTTGCTGTACACCTTGAAGCAGCAGCAAGCACAGAGCCTTCTTTGTGGTTTGGATGGTGTGTAAGTGTTGCTTTGTGGTTTGTTGCCATGCCTTCCTCCTAAATACACAATCATAAAGTTCATGTATTTGTTCTAATTCATATTTTGGTTAATCCCACACCCAAAAGAAAGAAACAAAAAGCAAAAATATCTGTAAACTCTGAAGTCGTCCACAAACTGGGGAGTGTCCCCAGGGCCGCCCCACCTTCCATTCATCTGGCACTTCGGATGAAAACACCTCAGGCATCTCAACGCCACCTGAGGCCCACCTGGCACAGCTACCCCCTGCCAGATGACGAGATGGCTCGTCCTGTGGGTGACTTGGCAAACGTACGAACAGAGCCAAAAACAACAGGAAAAGGGCTTTGTTCCAATATAACCAAGGCAACTTTTTGCTTGTTCACTTGTTTGTGTTGCGTTAAACCACAAAGACACAAACGGCCAAATGTGGACCCAGGGTGGGGGGCGCCCTGGCCCCTGGTGCGGCCGGCCCAGCATCTCTGAGCCTCGCTGGCTTCCTGCCTCTGGGGAGGCGTCACCTGGCTTTCACTTCCTCGACCCGCCTGGCCCCACTGCGTGCTGAAGGCCCCAGGCAGGGCGTGGGGCGGCTTCCTCTATCTTCTTCCCCATTCACACATAAACACTTCCCACATGAGGCGACAGCGTCGACGTGTGCGGCTGTCACACCCAGGGTTTGGTCTCATAGGCCTGTAGGTGCCTCGAGTTCATTCTACCCACGGCTCTCCTTCAGTGATCTGAGCTGCCACCTTCTTCCCCTTCGGGGCGCCTGGCAGCTCCCTCCCCGACCATATGCTCTGGTTTCCGCTTCTGCTGTGTTCACTGGTGAGTGTTAATCTAGTCCCCAAAAGGTGAAGTCCCAGCCACCCTCAAAATCCCCAGGCCCTGCCCGACAGCCACCCTGCTCCATGGCATGCAGCTGCCACCCACCTGCGCTCCATCTGTGCCCACGACACCGAGCCCCTCCCCTCCTCCAGCCACCCGCAGGTGGAGCGTGCGTGGCATAAAACAACACAAACAAGGACATTCCCAGCTAGACCTCGATTTCTAAGATGTTCTGTATTTTATCACAGACCGTGCTCAGACAGGCCGATAAAAATCCAAGGGAGAGCGGGCTTCGGCTCCCGAGAAGAGGAGGAACAAGTACCGGGCGGCGATTTCCCTTATTTATGTTGGAGAAATGAGTCGATGTTGGTGGATTTTTAAAATAGCTCAAGTTCTACCTAAACAGACCAATTACAATTAGCGAAATTGAAATGGTAATCAAAAACCTCCCCAAAAACAAAAGCCCAGGACCTGATGGATTTACAAATGAATTCTACCAAACATTCAGAGACGAATTAGTGCCTATCCTTCACAAACTCTTCCAAAAAATTGAGAAGGAAGGGACAATACCAAACACGTTCTATGAAGCCAACATTACACTAATACCAAAACCGAACAAGGACAACACTAAAAAGGAAAACTACAGGCCAATCTCCCTAATGAACACTGATGCAAAAATCCTCAATAAAATTTTAGCCATCAGAATCCAACAATGTATCCATAAGATAATTCACCACGACCAAGTAGGATTCATTCCAGGGACACAAGGATGGTTTAACATCTGAAAATCAATCAACGTTATCCAACACATCAACAAAAAGAAATATAAAAACCATATGATAATATCAATAGATGCTGAGAAAGCTTTCGACAAAGTGCAACACCCATTCATGATAAAAGCCCTTGAAATTCTGGGGATACAAGGAACATACCTCAACATCATAAAGGCCATCTATGACAAGCCAACAGCCAGCATCATTCTCAATGGTGAAAAGCTGAAAGCAATTCCATTAAGATCTGGAACAAGACAAGGATGTCCACTCTCACCACTGCTTTTCAATATAATACTGGAAGTCCTAGCCAGGGCAATAAGACAAGAGAAAGACATCCAAGGAATCCAAATAGGAAAAGAAGAAGTCAAACTATCACTATTTGCAGACGATATGATATTATACATAGAGAACCCCAAAAACTCCACAGAAAAGCTAATTCAACTCATCAATCAGTTCAGTAAAGTGGCAGGATACAAAATCAACATGCAAAAGTCAGTAGCCTTCCTATACACAAACAATAAATCTGAAGAAGAAGAAATAAAAAAACCCATCCCTTTTGTTATTGAAACAAAAAAAATCAAATATTTGGGAATAAATCTAACAAAAGAGATAAAGGACCTATACAAAGAAAACTATAAAACACTGTTAAAAGAAATAGAAGAAGACACAAAGAAATGGAGAGACATCCCCTGCTCGTGGATTGGAAGAATAAACATTATTAAAATGGCCATCCTTCCAAAAGCAATATACAGATTCAATGCTATTCCAATCAAAATTTCAATGTCATTCTTCAAAGAAATAGAACAATTATTGATGAAATTCATATGGAATCACAAAAAACCCCGAATAGCCAAAGCTCTCCTGAAAAAAAAAGAAGGGAATGGAGGCATTACACTCCCAGACTTCAAACTATACTACAAAGCCATAATCATCAAAACTGCATGGTATTGGAACAAGAACAGACATACAGACCAATGGAATCGAATAGAAAATCCAGAAATAAATCCACAGATTTATGGTCAACTAATCTTTGACAAAGGAGCAAAGACTATGCATTGGAGCAAAGAAAGTTTGTTCAATAAATGGTGCTGGGAAAACTGGGTCGCTACATGCAAAAGAATGAAGCTTGACCACTACCTCACACCATACACAAAAATCAACTCAAAATGGATTAAAGAACTAGACATAAGACCTGAAACCATAAAATATATAGAAGGAAATATAGGCGAAACACTACGTGATCTGCACATCAAAGACATCTTTACAGACACATCACCCAAAGCAGTGATAGTGAAGGCAAAGATAAACAGCTGGGACTACATCAAATTAAAGAGCTTCTGCACAGCAAAAGAGACAATAACAAAAACAAAGAGAAACCCCACCAACTGGGAGAACATTTTTGCACCCAACACTAATGATAAAGGACTGATCACAAAAATCTGCAAAGAGCTGATGAGACTCAGCAACAACAAAGAAAATAATCCAGTCAAAAAATGGGCAGAAGAGCTAAAAAGAAACTTCTCTGAAGAGGAAATGCAAATGGCCAACAGGCATATGAAAAAATGTTCAACATCACTTGCCATCAGGGAAATGCAAATCAAAACTACCATGAGATACCATCTTACACCAGTGAGAATGGCACATATTAAAAAAACTAGCAACAACAAATGCTGGCGAGGGTGTGGAGAAAAAGGAACTCTTCTGCACTGTTGGTGGGAGTGCAAACTGGTCCAACCACTGTGGAGAGCTGTGTGGAGATTTCTGGACCTACTAAACATAGAGCTTCCATATGATCCAGCAATTCCACTCCTAGGTATTTACCCAAAGGACACAGAAACATCCATTCCAAAGAACACCTGCACCCCTATGTTTATAGCAGCACTGTTTACAATAGCTAAGCTTTGGAAACAACCCAAATGCCCAAAAATAGATGACTGGATCAAGAAGATGTGGTACATATACACCATGGAATATTACTCAGCATTCAAAAAAGATAAACACATGCAATTTGCAGCAACATGGATGGTGCTGGAAGGGATCATGCTCAGCGAAATAAGCCAAAAAGAAAAAGAAAAATACCGGATGGTCTCACTCATAGCAGGAATCTAGAAAACTTAAATAAGGGACCAGGAAAATGAATAACTATAAGAAAGTGAAAATCAAAATCAACAAAAAACTATGAACCAGAGACACTTTTAGGGGGGGGGGTGGGAGGGGAGGGATTGGGGTCAGAATGGGGGGGCTGCAATTGTATGGGGAATATAACAATAAAATTTATAAAAAAAAAATAAATAAATAAAATAAAATAGCTCAAGTTCTGAGACAGGTCAGAGTGTCACCACGTATGTGTGTCTGTGCGTGTGCAAGCACACACGAATGCACACACACGAGCAGATAAGAGCTCAACAGTGAGTCCCCCCACTCATGGACACTTTATCAGAGCAGGAGGTGAGCTGCGCCCCAGCACCCAGCTCCACGGGGCTGGAAGTGACTGACACCCTCTTCCTCCTTACAGGGTAAGTAAAAACTCAGGCTTTGCTGCACCCCGCCACGGCTGGCGTGGATGCCCAGGGCTGAGGGGTGTGAGCGCGGGCTGCGAGAGGGATGCAGGCAGCGGCAGTCCAGTGAGGAGGACCACTCTGGGGCGAGACCACAAGACTGAGAATGCCAGGGAAAGGCCAGAGAAAGTGCAAAGATTTGTGGGGGCTTAGGGAGCTCAGATGCTTCCTGGGCAACCCCCTCCCACCCGCCGCCTGACTCCTTGCACGCCGGCCTCCCTGCCTGTGCACCTGGTTCCCCGGGAGCACTAAAAGTCTGTAAAAAGTCCACCAAGGGCTCTAA